CACGATATATGTTTTTACTTTGGAAATCATTTATTTTGAATTGCAATAAGTAACTCAAATCCTACATTTAGACCAGATCCCTTTTTCGATGATTGTTAGCATTTCATTTCCAACTTTCTCCTTAAAGTATAGTACAGTACTATGGAAATTGCCTTCATTCACAAAACATGGGAGTGTTAAGATAAGTATTCATTTATCAACTTTGAGATTAGTGATATAGTCGCTTTCTTATATTCCAAATATCAACACTATTCTTTGAAACCTAAATATATATGTGTTACATATAAAGACACTAAGGGTCTGTGACAGCATAAATGTCAATGTTTACGTACACCCACTGGTATTTAATTAGTGCACTCGGAAGGCACAGAAATGTGCACGGGTGTAGGAGGTAACAGTCGTCCAGATAAACCTACTCTATAGGTCAAAGACAATTCTACTGAGATATGCAAATTGTCTGACTTCTGTAATTGATAAGACGACATATATAAGCCCTTGTTTCCATTGATAGGAAAACTTTTTCGTTTTGACTTTTCGTAAACCGCCTTAAGATGTTCCGAAATATCGGATTTCTTCTGGCATCTTTCGCAGTGCTGACAACGGCTCAAGGTAGGATTTTATTAATTACTTCATGTCTATTTGTTTAATTTTCAACAGTTACTTAACTTTGTTGTTTATTTTAAGAGTTGCCTTTCTTTCTGGCAGATTTCCACTAAATGTTTTCAATAGAAATTTTATAAAATCAACTATTATATGGTATAGGCATAATTTAAGTGCAAATAATATGAGGGTTTGAATGAAGTTTATTTAAAACAAATATCAGGTCATAAAAACTATTTAAAGATCCTGATTTAAAGACTCGCAGCTACATTATTGATATCTTAGAACATAATGTTCGAAAACAAGAATATGCTCATGGAAACCATGTGGAATAAAGAACGTCTTCCAGGAATTAGCCTACCGAACAAGAAGTTGTGTCACCACAGGATGAAAGATTTACATGTCAGTGTATTAATTTACGATTGCCAAAAGGATGAATTTACAAAACAATGAACCTACATTATAGCTATGCTTGGTGAATGGACATAAATAGAAGGTTACAGTGTGATCAAATATATGCTTTAATTGCTGCTTTATTTATATCTTTGCCATGCATTTCGTCTTAAGAGTAGCTTAACTTGCAATTGAATGTAAAATTGAACTGGTCATGACGGCAAACATTGAATAAAGTTCTGTTAGAGAATTTTAATAGTGAATGGAGTTTTTTTCTGGAGTTTGGATCTACACAGAGGACAAAAAAGGCATGGAAAAATACTTGTTATAAGTTATTCTTGCCTTTTCATAAAATAGAACAGTGTTGCGTATTTATTATGAACATTGTTACATATAGAAAATCCCTTTACTATGTATTGCTGTTAACTGGCACTAAATGGATTGTTACAATTGAACCAAAAAATACTTGACAGGAATCCAGTGTACTGTACGGTGAATTGATGTGGCTATTGGATCCACGCCACAGTTCTGCTGTCGGATGATTGGGCCATCGAATGCCAATTAATAGTAATATCTGGTGTACTGAGACACCCTGTGAACAGTTGATAGACAAAACAATATACTGATGATAATTTGAAATGCCTTTCCAATCCTTAGAACTAAAACAAACTTTCCTGTATTTGTACATGATTACTAAACGAAATAGAAGGGTGTTCTTACAATAGTATAGTATGATCGTCTGACTGTTAATACAGTGTAATCAAATAGCTAATTTTGTTTCTTTCAATTGAACTGATAAAGCAATTGCGATACCTGTATCTAAAACCCGTTGAAATGTAATTTCGTGCATCTGTTCTTTCATTTTACATATCAGTTTTCAATCTATTTTCCTTTCTCAATATGTCTTTCTCGCGATTTCATTTCGGTGGACAGTTAATTGAATTTAAATGAACAACAGAAATCCCCTCAACAAAATAAATTATCATTTATTTTAATAACAAAATGCATTTAATCAAGTTGTTATAATAAGTTCTTGTTTTCCTTGTCACAGTTTATGCACTCTAGTAATCTGCGTTTCCTTATCAGAGGTCTATTGACCTTGTCGGAATAATAGCATATGTAGTTGACAGGATTGGCTGGTATCACGAGCTCTGTTATCAAACTCCACATAAGGTTGTATCTAAATCAGTCCAACAAAACAGCATATATTAGGTCCTTCAACAGTAAACTTATAACAATGGAACAGAATTTGTATCTAAATCAGTCCAACAAAACCACATATATTAGGTCCTTCCAATAGTTAACTAATGACAATGGAACGGAATTTGTTTCTAAATCAGTCCAACAAAACCACATATATTAGGTCCTTCCAATAGTTAACTAATGACAATGGAACGGAATTTGTTTCTAAATCAGTCCAACAAAACCACATATATTAGGTCATTCCAATAGTTAACTAATGACAATGGAACGGAATTTGTTTCTAAATCAGTCCAACAAAACCACATATATTAGGTCCTTCCAATAGTTAACTAATGACAATGGAACGGAATTTGTTTCTAAATCAGTCCAACAAAACCACATATATTAGGTCCTTCCAATAGTTAACTAATAACAATGGAACGGAATTTGTTTCTAATTCAGCCCAACAAAACCACATATATTAGGTCCTTCCAATAGTTAACTAATGACAATGGAACGGAATTTGTTTCTAAATCAGTCCAACAAAACCACATATATTAGGTCCTACCAATAGTTAACTAATGACAATGGAACGGAATTTGTTTCTAAATCAGTCCAACAAAACCACATATATTAGGTCCTTCCAATAGTTAACTAATGACAATTAAACGGAATTTGTTTCTAAATCAGTCCAACAAAACAGCATATATTAGGTCCTTCCAATAGTTAACTAATGACAATGGAACGGAATTTGTTTCTAAATCAGTCCAACAAAACCACATATATTAGGTCCTTCCAATAGTTAACTAATGACAATGGAACGGAATTTGTTTCTAAATCAGTCCAACAAAACAGCATATATTAGGTCCTTCCAATAGTTAACTAATGATAATGGAACGGAATTTGTTTCTAAATCAGTCCAACAAAACCACATATATTAGATACTTCCAATAGTTAACTAATGACAATGGAACGGAATTTGTTTCTAAATCAGTCCAACAAAACCACATATATTAGGTCCTTCCAATAGTTAACTAATGACAATTGAACGGAATTTGTTTCTAAATCAGTCCAACAAAACAGCATATATTAGGTCCTTCCGATAGTTAACTAATGAGAGTGGAACGGAATTTGTATCTAAATCAGTCCAACAAAACCGCACATGTAAGGTCAATCAACAGTTAAGTAATAACATAAGAACGGAATTTTAAGCAAATAGAGAAACATTTAATGCTTTCTTATTTGTTCGTGCCTTTTTATTCTCAATTAACAATTATTTGACAAGATATAGAGAAATCAACAAATACCAAACATTAATATTTAACCACAATGCATTGTATTCTGATTTTTGTCCTTGTTCACGAATATCCCTTATTAGTAAACCAAATTCCTAGATAACCTAATATGTTGTAGACCATTGTTGTACATTGTACCTTTGAAAATGTCATTAATATGAAATTATCATTTATATAAAATAAAATATAGGACAATTTACAACATGTAAGTTGTTTTCATTTGAACATTTGCTTTAAGCTTATCCCAAAAATATACCTTGTACATGCTTGTTATGGCGTAAATTATGCTTTGAGCTTTTTATTTTGGTTATTTCAAATATTGCTGAGGCTATTTGGTACCTGCATTGTTTGCCTCGATTTTAACCGTTTTAACTATGGCGTGGATTTTTTGTTTTGAGTGTAGTTGGTTTTATTGTGGGACTTGGTAAAAGATGACTTATCTAATCCTTTTGAATTTTAAATGGAGTAACGGTTATAAAGGAAACTTGTCTTTTTATCAATAAATGTTTGAAATTAAACCCAGAGAATTAAGGTAAAACAATTTGAAAATCATGTTCGATGTTTAGCCTGTCTACACCTAAAATTTTCAAGAAAATAGAGTTGTGGATCTTTTGTACAGATGAAAGATGGAATAACTGTTTTTGTGGGAATTTTGTTCAACAATGAAATTCTTAAGCTTTGCCTTTGCTTTGTCAATATGCTGTAATATTGCTTTATTGACGGGAGGTGCTTATCTATAGGCATGGTCTTTTATTTATTTTTTAAATTGAAATTGTTGAGATTTACTGTTTTTCTATATTCTACCAAAAGCAGTTTTAGATGTAATTATTTTTTACAAAACTGATAAGTGAAAATAACATAAAAGCATATCAAAGATAATCTATTATATAAAAACTCTGTAAATCATTTGTAAATTTTATATAATGAAAAATATAATATTTAAATAAAGAGATATAACCTATGGAGTTGAGAATATTTCTATTTTTCAATTTTAAATATTGTGGATGAGATTTGAGTTGCTATTTGTGTTCAACAGCATGCATACCTCAAGACATTGTTTTTATGGTGGATACCTCCGTAGGAGTTGGAGCGGACAACTTCCGAAAGGAACTAGAATTTGTAAAATCTACTATAAACAATTATAACATATCCCCACAGTGTATTCAAGTCGGCATAATAACGTTTAGTGGCCAAGTGTACCATAATATAAACCTTGGTTCTTATAGTACCAAGGCAACACTTATGTCCGCCATCGATCAAATACAATTCCAGCCAGGTCGACGTTATACTACAGAAGCCATTAAATATTTACAATCGAACAGCTTTGGACAATTTGCCGGCGCCAGGAGCAATGCAGCCCATATAGGTGTTTTGGTAACAAATGGACAGCCAACTAATAATTTAGCATTCCAACAAGAAGCCAAGAAAGCAAGGGACAGTGGAATAAGACTGTATACGGTTGGAATAGGGCAGGGAACTCACCAAAATGAACTAATGTTATCATCTACTTATCCTCAAAACAGACATTCAATGAGTGCTCAAAACTTTGACTCTCTCAGTGATTTAGCATATCCGCTTGCAACTAAAACGAACAAAGGTGAGTATTACAAAAAAAATGTTGTATATGTGTACCTATATTATATCCAAGGTTAAAAATCTTATCTTTTCTCAAAGCTTAGCTTTAAAGATGGCAGATTCACACAATCTTAGAAAAAAATTGAAAATTACTACAAGCATGACTGAGTTTCTTGATGTCATAACAGACATACTTCTATGGATTGCTGTTATATATCATATTGTATACTTATCTATGTATGTTCATTTAAACATATCATAGCCATTCTTCTCAAATATTTCAGTATTCTTCAGAAAAATTACTTAATCATTAATTTTCAAATTTCAGACGGCCAGCAACTTCCGGTAGCATCAGGTCAGTTTTAGTATAGACAAAAAAATAGACTTGTTTCAAACGGTTTTTAATGTTAAAACAAAAATGAACATAGAGGTTTTTAATGTTAAAACAAAAATGAACATAGAAGATCGGCTTTACTGTAAATTTTTGTATACATTATAAAAAAAATTGTTAAGGTTATTACTGTTCCCGATATTCAAACTGTTTGTTAATAAAATGAAAGAGTAAATAAGGATACAAATTCAGTAGTTATTCAGTTTGAGTCTAATTCAGCTTCCAATTAATTATTCGTGTTAATGAATTTATAATTTGTCTAATGATAATGTTAAAAGGTAACAGGTAAATTAAACCAAGGATTTGTATAGTAAGTAAGACTATACAAATCCTTGATGAAACGAAGAAAAAAATAATAAGAAATATTCAATGTTATTAAAACAAATTCCGGATAGTTATGTTAGTAATCCGTATTTTTTTCAGGATGCTTACAAAAAGCAGATTTAGTATTCGTAGTTGATGGATCAGGTAGTATAGGACCGGCAAATTTTGTAAAACTACAAACATTTCTAAAGGACATAGTTACTAAATTAAATGTCGGACCTAATGCTGTGCACGTTGGTGTCATGAAGTTTAGTAACTATCCATCAATCGAGTTCCCGTTGGATATGCATTTATCACGTCAAGAAGTGATGAAGGCTATCGATAATGTCAACTATATTGGTGGAGGTACAAATACTGCCGAGGCTATTAACTACATGAACCAACAGATGTTTTCTCAAAAGAGCGGAGCGAGATCAAATGTTCCCAGAATTGCTGTAGTTATAACAGATGGTAGATCATCTAATCCGACAAACACCGCAAATGCTGCAAATCAAGCAAGAACTGATAACATCGGAGTTATGTCCGTGGGAATCGGTGCCGGAGTAGACCGGTCAGAGTTGAATGCAATTGCTGATAACCCTGACAGTCAGAATGCATTTATGGTCAACAACTATGATCAACTTCAATCAATTGTAACACAGATTGTAAACAGAGCATGTCAAGGTATTCTTATTTGTAGTTTTTCGGATTTTTCAAATTACATATTTTTTAGTAAATGTATTCATAAGTTTTTTTACACCTATTTATCTCGCATCTGTATTTAATATTCACAGTTAAATATTTTTATTACTATATTTTCTTCATTTTTTTTTAACATTCACTACGTCCTTTCAAAGTTTTCTCACAGTTAAAAACACTATTATTTTTTAATACATTTACGATTAATAGTCCAGTTTTGTTTCTTTACAGTAAGAGCTACACAACCAGTACCAACAGTAAGAGCACCAGGTCAGTATTTCAACTGACCAATTACAAAACACATGGATAATGAATAAATGAAAAATATCGTACTATCACAATATATAAACTTTTGGGCTTAATATTTAAAATTCATTAGTCCTCTATAATTAAGATACTAGTAATTCCTGCCATTCAGATTTTGTAAGTTTACAGTTGAATCAGGTGTACTATATATATGTTTTTATATCATATGTTTAAAAGAGTTGTCTGATGTTTGAACCAAAATCTAAGGCTCTACGAATGGAAAAGTCTTCACATGTAGTTTCGTCACAGACATTTCAAAGGTAAAAATAAATATATTAAGCAATACAAAATGTGGAATTTGTAAGAATCAGTTCATTAGAAGTCCATTTATTCATCTTTTGTTTCGAAAGTTTTTATAAGGTGTGAGAGTAAAAATCAAAACTGGTAGTACTTCTTTTATAAAATATTAATCAAATTACGTAAACGAATAACATGCTATTGCTCATTTATTATATTAAGGTGCTACCCTGCCTCCTGATCCATGCCAAGACGTACAGCCAAACTGTAGGAGTTTCCAAGACAACATGTGCTATGACTATGCACCATGGGCAAAAGATAACTGTGCAAGATTCTGCAACATCTGTAAACGTAGGTTGTGATGTTTTGTTTTTCGCAATGGGAAAGTAGATATGTGCAGTATTAGTTCAGAACGGCAATTCGTTTTCTCACTTGACAGGAACTGTGCTTTCATTACTGATCTTCATCTCAAAGCCACAATTAGGCCTTCAACACGGAACAAAAGTGAACACCTCACTTCACGTTAAAGACGGCCCTGAGCATCGTATATATTTTATTTTGTTAGATACATTAATGATATATTTAATAATCTTAGCATTTTTGTTAAGTATGCTTTTTGTGTGTTTTTTTTTATATACATCAAATTCTATCAAATGTGATGTTATTTTCATGCTGTGATTCATCAGTATCTTTTGATTTTGGAAACATATATTTATCCTTAACCCTCACGACTTGAACATCGTATTTTTAATTTGTCTGGGAATGACAAATAAAAGTCATTAATTTTACATTATATTGTTATATTAAACTTTTTATTTGTTTTGGGGGTGGGATTTTTTTAGTATTTTTTATTTATTTCTTTTTTTTTATGAAACTTGTTTTGTTTGTGTCTTTTCTTTTTATGTATTAATTTTGAAATTTCAATCAACAGCCCTTTACACAACCGCACCACCACCATGTATTGACGTATTGAATGATTGTGCTAGTTATGGACTGTTCGTGTGCCATGATAAGCGATACAAAACTTGGGCTAGTGACAACTGTAGACAGTTCTGTGGATTCTGTGGTAAGGCTTTATTAGCTTTGGATCAAACCCCACTGCCCGGCTGTTAAACGGTTAACCCGTGTTAAAAGATGGGCGTTTGGCTGTGTTGGATTTATAAATACGCAGCCACTTCCGGTCAGAAATGGAACGTTAAATCCGATGCCTCTTCACAAGTTTTGTTTCCATTCGCTATCTTGCTTTTGTTGATATATAAATTTACCAAACACATCTAGATGTTATCGTATAGTATAAATATAATTCTTATTTTCATATCTTTTTTTAACTAATTCTAAAATGTTTATACATATATATATGCATGTCATACTGTATAATGCTCAGAGGTAGATTAAGTTATATGTTTCGCAAGTTAATAAGAAAAAAACCGAATGTACATCAATACTCGCTGTATAATATTATATCTGTTTCCTTTCTTCAGGCACTGCAAATGGAGCAATTGGATTTTGTAAGTTTTTTTAACTTTACTTTACTTTATTGAAAAGCACTTTTGAAGCCCATATGGGCCAATACATATGTCAAAATATGATGTAAAAATCATTTTCACTCCTCAACATTAAGTAGTACAAATTAATGTATTGTTTATCACTAATAATTTGATATGTATTTCTGTTACAAATAAATCATTAAGATTTAAAAAAAAAACCATTCAGTTTGAATTTTTCAAAGTACCGTTAAAAAGATGAAATCATCATATAGAATGTATAACCATATCAGTTAACGGTAAATAAGCATAGAGGAACTGTGATCACATAATCTTTTCTTTATATTTCAGATGGAAAATGTTATTACAAGGGACAGACATACAATCATGGACAGAAATGGACCGATGGATGTGATTATGAATGTGTCTGCGAAGATGGACAGACTGGAAGATACAAATGTTACAACAAGTCAGTTTTGATAATTGTTTAACATTTTTATTATTTGACTGTGTGTATTTCAGTCTTGTTGTAATTGGTTGAGTAGCAATTTGCCTCACAAAAACAAGGGAATGTCATAATCGTTATATATAGAATTTGTTATCGTTTCAGATGAAAGTAATGATTTTTTATTGTAGTTTTTTTCGTTTTTGTCGGGGGTTTTATTACCATCTACTGTGCACTGGCTTAAAAGACATTTATCAGCGTGTCCGTGAAATAAAAGCAATTACTTTACTCATACATAACATCATATTAATATAAAAATTAATCAGCAAATATTCAAGAACCATTCACAGTTTTTCTTGCAAAAAAATACTGTTTAAAACTAAACCATCGAACTTGTACAGTAAATTCTGCGTTTTGCAATTACAGATGTCCACTTTACTACAACCTTCCAAATGACTGTACTTTAGTACGAAGTCCTTCAGAATGCTGTCAACAACCTGTTTGCAACTTCAACCAAAACATACAAACATTCCAAAGTAACTCAATGGGTCGTACCCCTGCTGGCTTACGTAAGTTTGTATTACCATTGCTCTTCGTACTTTATTTGGCTTTAACTTCTTTGATTCGATCGTCACTGTTGAATCTTTTGTAGACAAAACGCGCGTCTGGGGTACAAAATTTTAATCCTGGTATATATGATGAGTTTATTATTAATGAAGTTTAACATTGGTGAGAAAGTTGTATATATATTCAAAATGCATAGTCTTATATAACTGGTTTTACTTTTTTTTTCACTCATAACCATGGAAACGTCAATTGAAGGACAACAATTGTCGTGCATGAATTGTTATTATCAAAAGGTCTATATATATCCATTTAATGTGAGTTGTGTGAAACATGAATCCTTCAGATCATAAGAACTATCACGTCGGAAAGTACGCTCTTTTTAAAAGACTCCCTTGTTCTAGCGTTTCTTTAACTAAAAACGTATGAGGAAGCTGTATAGGGTGAAAATTAGCAGTTTGGCAAAACCTTTTTAAATGTATGGTCCGCAATGCTCTTCAACTTCATACTTTTTTTGGGCCTTTTAACTTATTTGATTCTAATGTCACTGATGAGTCTTTTGTAGACGAAACGCGCGTTTGGCGTACTAAGCTATAAGCCTGGTATCATTGATGATCTTTTTAGAGGTCAAAATTATCGATTTTCATTGTTGGAGATGGGCTCTCTTCTCATGCCTTTTACAGTTGGTATTTTGTGCATCTTTACTTTGAATATGATAACCGGGGACTAGGCAACATGTTTTGAAATTTATATATTTTTTCTTTCAATTATATATTTTATATAATCATTATTTTTGTGGTCACAGAAGGTTTTGTGAACTATTGAATTGCATACGTCGTTTGTATTAGTTACTGCATGGTGTTCAACTGTCAGTGAGCTTTTGAGATATTCTCTTATGTTTGTGGTTTGGTAGGGTAAAGTTGTTTCCCATTTTTTCAATGATACTAAATTTACTGTTCGGTACATATTCAGTTTAACCGTTCTCATCTGTATTATCATGTGTTGTATAGAAATATTGGCCACTAGTATTTTCTATTGTATATTGATTAAGTCTCCGCTTCCAATGACCATCGTTGATTAAAACTTTGACTGAGTACACAGTTACTCTTTTCTTGTGAGTAGGAAAGCGAGGACGTGAATGTTGTTAATATATTTAGGTTTAATGTCAAATTGTTGAATCATTCCTTCCGTTTTGTTCCAGCTGTATGCGCATACAAAGGAAAACAATACATCCAAGGTCAATCTTGGCAAGATGGTTGTGATTATCAGTGCACGTGCACCAATTCTGCAACAGGAGCATACAAATGCCAGGACTTGTAAGTATTTGATGACTTAATGATATGTTTAACCGTACCCAAAGCCGTAGTACTAATACGTGAAAGGACTTGACAATTCAAGTAGTCACTGATTCGATCATTTTTTTTTCAGGGAACCGGTGATTTACTCAACATAAAATTTTTCTTTGGCATATGTCTCAAAGATTTTTAATAAATGAATTGATCAGATGTCGTTTTTTAAGAATGAATAATAACATCTATCGGTTTAAGTCCGAAGGCAGATTGGAGTATAAAAATATGAACACCTTGACTTCCCAACAGTGACTGTGAGGCTGTCCGATTTGGCTAAGCGAGATGTATAAATATACAAACACGTCCCATCCGATGTCCCATTCAAGATAGTGTTATGCTGTGTACACGTTGAAGAATGATTATGTCCTCTTCAATCTTCACTGGACGACTCACTTAAGATTGCCTTCAAACTTGATTTGTGGAGTTGCTGGCGAATTTATTCCGTTTGTCCGGAATATACTTGAATACTTAGAGTAGTTTACATCGCACCAGACAGTCACTCGTTTCCAATAAACCGGATCCGCGATACGAACATGGATTAGACTGTTAGTTTTGTTACATCCGGTAACAAAAAAAGGTGCCAAAAAGGTGTGGGAAAATGTTTTTGCATCATAATTTTGTAGGAATTGGTCCTTGCAAAAAACGTTACTACTTACACACTGTTTTCGATATTTTAATTGTAATTTTATGTAGAAATAATACTTGTTAAAAGATAAACCGATTGTGTAGATGGTTTTACTCTGCAGTAAAAAAAAAAGATACGTGTTTAATACCAAGATATATTTTTATATCTGCCTATTCTTGACTACCAGAATATGTGCACTCACCATTGTTTAACACAGTATTAAAAAAGAAATATAATACATTATTGGTAAGTGTATACACCACCTGACCTTTTATTACAAAGTGTAGGAAAATATTAAAATTATTTGTACCAGGGAAAGAAACTGGAAGGAAAGTGATGTTGACTTTAAAATTTTCTCCTGTAAAAATAAATTCTATGTTTACCAGACAATGTATGATAATCATAATCCGGCATTAGTTTATTGTAGATATATTCATAATCCTACATTAGTTTATTGTAGATATATCATTTATTCATGCCAAGATGTCTATTTAAAGGGGAAAATAAAACTGAATGAATATGGATGTCAAAAAGAACATTAAACTAAATTCTGCCCTATAAAGCTGTATTTAACTTTACATTGTGCTCCAAAGTATAGTGTATAGCATGCGATAAACCTTTTTTTGTAAGACATTTTGGGTAGCTTTATACATTATATATTATATAGTAAAATGAATGATTGCACCATGATTAAGTGTCAGCAGGAAGTAGAGGTAATGATTTTTTTTAAATGCATTAATTTGACTCTTGATTATTGAACAGATGCCCTACCTACACTTCAATTCCACCGTACTGCCATATGACCAAACAGAATGGAGATTGTTGTTCTAAACCAGTTTGTGATTTTACCACACAACAAGGAAGTTTCTCAGGAACTGGATCAATAAGTGGAAAAGGAGTTGGTAAGATGAGAGTTGCACCCTTAAACCTTTGACCGCTCTAGGAACATACAATGTTTATGTCACCGTTAGAAAATGACCAAGAGAGTAAATTTCCAATTGAAATAAAGAATAGTTACAAACTTGAATACATGTACTAATATAACATATATTAAAGGATTCTCTAAATTTAAAGGAAGAATGGTACATTGTCACAATGACAGATATGACATAAAAAAATGCAGTTTGGCGATGTTTCCCGAATTTCTTCACACAAGTTAAAGGAAAAATACTGCCAACGCTATGACTTTCATTCTAAAAACGTTGTGGTTAAAGGGTAAAACTTCAAAAACAGATTTACTTAGCTATTCATATCATACATGTATGAAAAACAGCAATAATTATAAATTGGAAAAAGGAAATTATTTAGACTAGAAGAGAAATGCATTTGACAAAACAGTTGTGATGTACAACGGTACTAGGAAAAAAATCACCACAAAAAATCTGTACATGCATTTTTAAATTGCGCAGTTTCCATAATTTTATATGAAAACATCATGAACAGCTCATTTCGGTGGCTTATCTATTATTTTAAGAATATAGGTACTTTAAAGTGTTTGAAACTTTTCCTGGTTATTAATTCATTTAGTAGGAATAAGAAATATGTGACTTTACATAAGGAGATCTGTATTTGCCACTAGCAGTTAAGTTAGGGAAACATGTGGTTTTAAATTCATTAGGCTAATCAATAAAATGTATCTGACTTAACATAAGGAGATGCATCTGTACTCATCTGAATATATAAAAATAAGAAGATGTTGTATGATGCTAATGAGACATTTATAACTCTCCACAAGAGACCAAATGACACAGAAATTAACAATTATAGGTCACTGTATGGCCTTGAACAATGAGTAAAACCCATACCGCATAGTCAGCTATAAAGGCCCCGAAATGACAAATGTAAAACAATTCAAACGAGAAAACTATTGGCCTGATTTATGTACAAAGTAATAAACGAAAAACAAATATGATATACAGCAACAAACGACAACCACTGAATTACAGGCTCCTGACTTGGGACAGGCACATGCATAAACATGTTAGCAGGCGCCCAAACCCTCCCCCGGTGTAACAGTATAGCATATGAACAAACTATAAATATCAGTTAAAAATGGCTTAACTCATCAGATCGATACAAAGCACAAAAACAAGTAACAAAAACATAGAGTGGACGTGGCAGTGTACTTATACATCCCCACAACAAAAAAACACTAAGTACAGATCGGAGAGTACATGTACTTGCAGTTACTGACAGCTAATTCAAAGCCAATAACAACAAAAAAAAATCATGCATCTAAGACTAAAATATCAATCAGTACACATCCAACATCCAATGGATTTAGTGTAAAGTGTCTGCTACTGACTGTTAAGGTTTAGAATAGTGTAAAGTTGATTTCAAAGATCTTGCAAATTTGCTAGTGTTGTAGGTTTGATATTAAACACTGACATATGAAAAAATATCTGATGTGGCTCAGCACAGCTAAAAATCTCAAATTTTGATAAATTTCTAATCATTTATAAAAAAAATTTCAGATACAACACCAACTACTCCTGCTCCATGTGCCAACACTGCTCCGAACTGTGAAAGATATGGAAAAAAAACATGTACAGACTTTGTTGGATGGGCAAGTGACAACTGCAGAAAGTATTGTGATATGTGTAGTAAGTAACTCGATTTAGGCTAAGTTAAAATAAAAGCCTTGATTATATAAACTGAATACCTCAAAACAGGCATTCAAAGGATTTAAAATGGCATTCAAAGGAATTAAAATGGCATTCAAAGGAATTAAAATGGCATTCAAAGGAATTAAAATGGCATTCAAAGGAATTAAAATGGCATTCAAGTACATATACAAATGTATCCTTGTTCAGTATCTTAGTATATGAGAATAAAAACAATTATGACATTTTATGAGATTCATTAAGTTCCCTTGTGTTTAAAACCCCCCATGGAGATTTTGAGAAGTAGGAAAGTACATGTATGAACAATATTTTTGTTTTTTAAGTTTCTGAGTGAACTGGCTGAAAAATGTTTTTTTTTTTCAAATTGAACGCATACAATGATATTACAAATAATAGCGTTTCAGAAAAAGCACACCTTTAAGATATATAATATATAAAAAGGCACACTATTAATTCCTTCTTCATTAATAATATATTTTTCTATTATGAACTGGTTGCTATTTTGCATTAAATTACAATTATTTCATTTTTCTAGTTATTTGTTTTTTATAGTACCGGTAATTTTTTTTTACTAACCTTTATAGATTTAATATTCGTACCAATTTAAAACAAAAACCTTATGTCAGATTTGATTTATTCTATATGATTTTTTTCAGATGTTAAGCCAACACCTGGACCAAATGGTTAGTATTTTAAATATATTGCTAAACATTGAAATGTAGAAAATATCTAGGATTAGCTTCATCAGGGCATTTCCATTAAAATGGATCTGGGAGGATGGGAAGGGACTTCAAAAATACCCCCACAACCAACATACTTTGTGTAATTTTACATACATCAAATGGACACACAACCATAAATGACCCATGACCTTTATAAAAAAAATTGCTTCCTTCCTTCCCATATAAAATAAGGAGTACTTGTTTGATTGTCAATGAGAAAACTATTCACAAGAGTTTAATGATGTGGATGTTAGCAATTATAGGTCACTTTATAGCCTTCAACAATGAGCAAAACTCATACTGTATAGTCTGTTATAAAAGACTCCAACATTACATAATGTGAAACAATTCAAATGAAAATAGAACAACTATGACAAAATAAACCAAAAAAACAAATATGACAGACCACAACCAAAGGTAACCATTGAATGACAGGCTCCTGACTTGGGACAAGCACATGTATAATGTGGCTGGGTTAAACATGTTTGTTAGGACTCAATACTCCTTCTAACCTTGGACAGTAATGTAACAGGACAACATAAGAAAGAACTGTAAAAATCTGTTTGAATCGGCTTGACTCATCAGAATGGCACGAAGCACAAAAAACAACTAACATAAAGACAAAAGATACAAAGTGTCGATCTAAGAATACTTGCAGTTACAGAACTCTAGTTCACAGCCAATAACAACTAATAAATAAATCATGTTCTCCCAGACTAATATATATCCATATAATTTTTTATGGAATATCCCATATTAGGATGCAAAGCTAAAAGTGTAGAAAAGAGATGTATACATTTATAAAGTACATGAAGTGTTATATAAGTAATGGCATCCTGAGAAGAATAGCCAAAATCAATGGTGGTAAATTTTGCTTCAGATTTTGAAAAAAAAAATATAATTAAACAAATTATCAGGTAAAACTTGACCAGAATATGAGTAAATAAGATTTTTGTTGGCCAACGGAATCAGATTTAGGGGGAGGGAAGAAGGCTTAGATCCCCCTTATGGAACTATGTATGTAGTTTAAGTTATTGCATAGATCTTTGACATATCCCACTCCTAATGTCACCTAGTTTGAGGGTCCCTTTTTTCAAAATCCTGGATCCACATCTAGGCAATATACATGTATATTATGATTTGTTTCTCAACAGATGAATGTATGTTTTTTTTCAAAATCCTGCATCGGCATCTGGGCAATGTACATTTATATAAGTAATGATTTGTATCCTCAACAGATAAATGTATGTTCAATGGTGAAGAATACAGCCAAGGACAGGGTTGGATGATTAGCTGTGATACACAATGTGTATGTGAAGATGCTATTTATGGCTACTACAGGTGTACAAATATGTAAGTTTATATGTAACATTTGACTTCTAAGGATCTAACTGATTATATTAATACCTTATTCCAATTTTTCACTTAACTGTGATTGCTATCTGTCAGAGACGATGTAAGGAAAACAAATATATTTGTGCTTCCTACCTATCCTAAGTAACACATTTTATGGACATTTTTGGTTAAGCATGGTTACAGATTTTTGGGGTAAGGACTGTTAAAGTTAAAATATTTTTGGTTAGGTACAGTTAAAGTAAAGATATTTTTGGTTAAGGACTGTAAAAGTACAGACCATTTCCCAATATAAGTTTATGAAAAATATTTGAAAAAATAAAAACTAATTTTACCATCCTACCTGTCCTATTTGTTTCTGCCAGGAGGCCTGGAAACAAGTATATATATATATATTTTTTTTTTGGTCTCATTATCAAGAGTTTTATTTTTAGGCATCAGAATCACAATGTTGCTCATGTTCTTAGCTAGGACTATCCTAAATATTGAATACTGTAACAAATTTTGTTTAAATTTTAGCATACTAATGCATTAATGTTTTAAAAAATTAGGGTAGAAGATTTAAAAAGGGAGAGGTTTATTAAAAATCATAAAAAAGACAGACAACACCTAAAAGTGTTTCTAAAGTTTGCAAATATTTAGTGATTGTAATGACGCCACCTATATTAAGGATACATACTGTTTATATACTTTGATTTCAGTTGCCCAAAATACAGCAATTTACCCACTGGTTGTTATGAAACAAAGAAATCGGGTGATTGTTGTGCCTCAGTACAGTGTGATTCTGGAACCATACTGACCTCAACCAACAACCTCGGAACAATTGGTAGTGGAGGACTGATCGTAGTTAAAAATCCAAATCAGCCTCAGATAGCACCCACAGCACCAGGAGGAGCCACTCCACAACCTGGTACAGGTGGAACTGGAATGCAAGCACCTACACTTCGTAAGTAAAATTGACTTACAAATGTCTGAATAAAATGAAGTGTAAGATAAATGTTAATGAGATGGGAGCCAGATAATTTAATCAGACGTACATAGACATCTACAGCTTCTCCTCTTGAATTTTATAAATTTTGGATGAATGCTGTTATATCTCTTATGGAAAACAATTGCAGTAAGTATGATAAATATAAAAAAAAGAAGATGTGGTATGATTCCCAATGAGACAACTGTCCACCAGAGAGCCCATTTTAAGCATAAGTTGAATGAATAATTCCTTATTTTCTCCAGCTTTGCACAATATTCTATATATTGGAAGAAAGAAAAGTAATTTTGAAATAAAAACACTATTTAAACTTTTTATTTTAAAATACATTTTTTTTCATATTTTCTTAATCTGCACATGAATTTCCCAGTTAGCAATTGTTTTCTGTTTAACAGGTGGTTGTTTGTACAAGGGACATCTTTATCTACAAGACCAGATGTGGGATGATGGATGTCAGTTCAGTTGTGTTTGTAAGAGTGCACAAAATGGATTCTATGAGTGTTCCTCAAAGTGAGATTTTATTTGAGCTTTCACAGTACTATCGACGTGGCATGATTTTATTAATTTTATAGATTCCTAGATACTTGAAAATATATCCATTATATTTATGTATTGAATCGATCACTAAAATTGTATAGATTGTTCAAATGCACTCCCTGAGTAATTTTGTAATTTTGGATTAAGTTATGAAATAGCTTAAATCCTTGTTTTGGGTTACTAAATAGTCATTCTTCTTACGGTTTCCTTCACATAATGACCATGTATGAAATTTGCATTATGTTTTTAATCAGAAACTACATATCAAGGCTTTCTGAAATTTTGAACCATCATGTGAGCATGCTATACCATGTATACCATTAGCATGCTATACCATGTATACCATTAGCATGCTATACCATGTATACTGTTAGCATGCTATACCATGTATACTGTTAGCATGCTATACCATGTATACTGTTAGCATGCTATACTGTCATACCTACCAACTATTCAAAATCTCCATGGGGGATTTTAAGTGCAAGAGGACCTAATGTTCCTCTTATTCTGTCATAAGTGTTCTTAATCTACAATTATATTCTTTGAATGAGTATATATGTGTTAAAATACCCTTTTAACTCATTTGAATGCATGTTTTGAGGTCTTCAGTTTATATAATAAAGAATTTCAAAATTCAGGTAAACACCTCTCATGGGGGATATCCCCCATAAATCAGGATAGTTGGCAGGTCTGTACTGTGTGATGAGTTTTTATATCCAACACTCATCAAAGTCCTGTTTATAGAATACTTTAAGCAGGGGTATCATTACTTAATGAGTAATAGTTCAAAGTTCAACTTGTTATTGCTGAAATTGCAGATGTCCATCCTACCCTAGTCTTCCAGTTGGTTGTCACATGGAGGCAGACGACAGTGAACCATGTTGCCAAAAGCCAGTATGCATTGACCCAAAGACTCCAGTGATCCCGATATTTAACCAGGGAACTACAGGACAAGGTGTAGTCCGACCACCCAGTATTACCGATCTGTACAACAACACCTACCAGGTTCATTACACACTTTTATATGGAAACCAGACTGTTGCCCCTCCTACTGCCCCATCAGCAACAATTAGACCTGGAATTGGTAAGCATTATTGTGTATTATCATATACTGACCGTCTCAGGCTGATATGGGAGTCTCAGGATGATACCTGGGCCAATATGGAAAAGGCCATTTATTAATCTTTTTATAAACTCTCTTATTGTATGGGATCATATACTGAAAAATGATTAATTTTCCTGGAGTTTTAAATTCCTAGGACCAAACCTATTCACAAGGAAATTTTTCCAATTTTCTTCTCCCTTATATAAATAGCCTTAAATTTCTGTTAAAGATCAAATTTTCGTGATTTTATTTTAATTCCTAAATTAGCACAAATATTAAAGTTCTTTACCAAATTTTTTCCATTTTTCTGTATTTTTATAAAGCAATTAATACAATCATATGTTGTTTCAGAGGCATTATTGTGAATTAATTGTAATTTAGTGTTTACTCTTGAAGCTTGCTTAAAGTTACTATAACACTGGTAAAACTATTAACTCAAAAATCAAGATATTAATTCCTATCTTTTTAATTTAATTTTTTTTTTAATTCTATATATAATATTACTGACTTTCAAATTTAGTAAACACTGAAATTATTCCTAGGGGTTATTGCTGCTTATTGATGGATCAAATAAGAACTGCAGAAATACCCACCCCCCAAACAAAAAAGTTTGTGCAACTTACTAATGTGAAAGGCACACTTCAGTTCAATACATGAATATTAACCCCATACATAAAGTAAATGCAAATGAAATCGCAAAAATAACAACCCACCAAAATATTTGCATTTTTACAATTACACCTATTAATGGTCATTTTGATTCAGATTTATTTATTATCTTTTTCACCCTTTGGCTAACATTAACAGTTCTTTTCCTAACTTGATTTATCTTTGTCATCTAGGTTATTGTGAATATAAAGGACAGAGATATAACCAAGGACAAAATTGGGACGATGGCTGTGATTATAAATGTGTATGTGAAGATGCTTCTATTGGAAAATGGAGATGTAGGGAAAGGTGAGCGTACACAATGAGATATCTTGTAAATATTGTTTAAGACAACATCTGTTTGACTTAAGACAAGCAAATATAAACATCTATAGATGTGATATGACTCTCAGGAATATGTACGCACCAAGACAGCAAGTTATGAATTGCCTTTAGTTTACAACAGTAAACAAATTTTACACACTTAAAATTTAAGTTACCATCTTCTAACTGTTTTGTTTATTTTTTGTAATAATAAATAGGTGGAATATTAATGTTATTTTGAATTCTATTTTTTTAAAGGCAATACTAGGTTAAAGTCAAAAAGTTCATTTAGCTTTTGTCATCACTTGGAACACCTGAGATCACTACCAGATTTTGGTGGGGTTTGTGTTGCTCAGTCTTTAGTTTTCTATGTTGTGCTTGGTATACTATTGTTTGTCTTTTGGTTGTTTTAACTTTTACATTTTTTGCCATGGCGTTGTCAGTTTATTTTCAACTTATGAGTTCAAATTTCCCTTTTGTATCTTTTGCCTCTAATTTGTACAAAGTGAATGGGAAGGGCAGTGGGTACACATTTAATTTTTGATCGATGATAATATAGTTTTTGATATAACCAAAAGCACATATATTTTTGCTGATTTGAACAGATGCAGAAAATATAATAACCTTCCTCAGCAATGTTTTCTCCAAACATCTGTGGCTGATGCATGCTGTAAGGAACCGTACTGTGATTTCACAGCTACTGGAGCATCTTTCACCGGTGCTGTTACACAGACCATGGCACCAATAACACCACAACAAATCACAACTACACCAAGACCAACATCACCTAAACCAAGTAAGTAAAACACGTTAAAGTATCCTGAGTTGTATCTATTCCTGTATTTTCAAAAGTTTTGACGGGAAAGGAGATAATGTCAAAAGTATTATTTGTAGGGAAGAGAGATAATGTCAAAAGTATTTGTGGGGAAGGGAGATAATGTCAAAAGTATTTATGGGGAAGGGAGATAATGTCAAAAGTATTTGTGGGGAAGGGAGATAATGTCAAAAGTATTTGTGGGGAAGGGAGATAATGTCAAAAGTATTTGTGGGGAAGGGAGATAATGTCAAAAGTATTTGTGGGGAAGGGAGATAATGTCAAGTATTTGTGGGGAAGAGAGATAATGTCAAAAGTATTTGTGGGGAAGGGAGATAATGTCAAAAGTATTTGTTGGGAAGAGAGATAATGTCAAAAGTATTTTTGAGGAAAAGAGATGTCAAAAGTGTTTGTGGGGAAGGGAGATAATGTCAAAAATATTTGTGGGGAAGGGAGATAATGTCAAAAGTATTTGTGGGGAAGGGAGATAATGTCAAAAGTATTTGTGGGGAAGGGAGATAATGTCAAAAGTATTTGTGGGGAAGGGAGATAATGTCAAAAGTATTTGTGTGGAAGGGAGATAATACCAAAAGCATTTGTGGGGAAGGGAGATAATGACAAAAGTATTTATGGGGAAGGGAGATAATGACAGAAGAGTTTGTGGGGAAGGGAGATAATGTCAAAAGTATTTGTGGGGAAGGGAGATAATGTCAAAAGTATTTATGGGGAAGGGAGATAATGTCAAAAGTATTTATGGGGAAGGGAGATAATTACAGAAGAGTTTGTGGGGAAGGGAATTAATGTCAAAAGTATTTGTGGGGAAGGGAGATAATGTCAAAAGTATTTATGGGGAAGGGAGATAATGTCAAAAGTATTTGTGGGGAAGGGAGATAATGTCAAAAGTATTTATGGGGAAGGGAGATAATTACAGAAGAGTTTGTGGGGAAGAGAGATAATGTCAAAAGTATTTATGGGGAAGGGAGATAATGTCAAAAGTATTCATGGGGAAGGGAGATAATGTCAAAAGTATTTATGGGGAAGGGAGATAATTACAGAAGAGATTGTGGGGGAAGGGAGAGAATGTCAAAAGTATTAGTGGGGAAGGGAGATAATGTCAAAAATATTTGAGGGAAAGGGGGATAATGTATACATGTATATATATATATATAAAAGAATTAGACTGTTATTGCTGTAAGGTAAATAATCATATATCAAAGAATTAGGCTTTTATCGCTGTTTTATATTTATTATTCATCTTGATAGATATGAGAAAGTCTTCAATGTTGAGCTAAAGTATTACTTGTTTGTTATCATTTTGCATTAAATGAAAATTAATATCCAATGAATGACAACTGCATGGATGGTTTCGTGATAGCATGTTTGACTTGAGTGGGGAGGGGGATGTGTGTCAAAGACCAAAGACTTTACAATTGGTATTTGCTGCTTCTCCGTTAAGCGTGCCGTATTAAGGATCAAGAGCAAAGACTGGTTGGCTCGGAGACAGAATAATATGTTTGAGTAGGGTGACATGTCTTCCTTGTAAGCTTGCATGTTAAAAATCTGACTTAGTGTGTCCATCTAGTACAAAGCAGTGACTAATATTCATATATATTTAACATGCTCTCGTCCTGAATATGCATTTAATTTTACACTGGACATTAAGCATCCATCATCATCATTCTTATCCAATGAAAGACAAAGGTTAAATCCACAATTTTGGAGATAATGATATATATTTGGTGTTTGAAGCACTTTTCTGGATTTACATTCAACAGTAATGCTCACACCCAAAAATTTAAATTCTTAAGTGTTTAGGATAAACATTTTTTACATGTAACTCTTTATAATCATAAAAGTAAATAATGAAAATAAAACATTTGCTTACAGCTCAAATTTTAGAGGAATTTTAATGAATAGGAAAAAGATTTTTCATACCTAAGATACTCTCTCAGAAATCATATGTACATTATTTTCGGATTTCAGAAATGTGTGTGTATGGTGGTAAACAATACTCACAAGGTCAGCAGTGGTATGATGGATGTAAATACAGGTGTACATGTGACAATGCACTCCTTGGCTTCTACAGGTGTACAAACAGGTAATGTACATGATGTATGAATTGGAAGTTGGAACATGTAACACTTTCTGTTCTGGCTGTAAAAGGGGCTGTTAAATTTTGGTTTCACAATTTTATATGATACATTTAAAGGACAATGAAATGTTTAGGTTAGGTAAATTTTACAGTAAAATGCTTTTTGCAAATATATTGAAAATTAGAAATATGAAAACTTCCAGATATGCAGTATATCCTGATGTAAGAGTTTATAGAAGACAGGTTTCCCCATGTATATAGGGTTTTGTATATATCAATTTAACTGTATTACTTATAGAATATACTTTACGACTACTTAGGATAATTGGAGAAAATTAATGTTTTATTCTGAAATTCAGATGTCCAGAATATCAGAATGTTCCTGATGGTTGCTCTATGGTCCCCGACACACAAGATCCTGTCTGCTGTAAAGTACCACAGTGTAATTTTACTCCAGCACCAGGTGTTAACACAGGAACAGGGGGCATAGTAACCTTGTCACCAGGATCATTCCAAGGATCAGGAAATTCAGGAACAAATATAAACATTGGTAAGTGTCTGTTAATTTCTATGGCCTTTATTTTAATATATCTAGCTGTGTATCAATGCACTGTAGTGAAATAACCTGATAATATACCAAAAACAGAAAATCTGTATTTACCAAAACTTGATGTATATTTAAAGAACACAATTGCTCATTTCGGAGCCAAATGTGTGTTCAAGTTTTTTGGTCCAAAATATGGCTTCTTGGGCCTTCTCCAAATGAAATTTACCTCTAAAGTAGCTTAATTCTTACAGAATGTGTTGAAATTTGAGGCATTTTTGCTGAGCATTAGTCTTTATACTTGACTCTGACTTCTTAATTCTAGGTTATTGTTTGTACAAGGGACAGAAATATTCTCAAAATCAGAAATGGGATGATGGATGTAGTTACCACTGTTATTGTAAAGATGCAAGATCTGGCCTATACCAATGTGATGAGACGTAAGTACTATGGGTTCATTAAATTTTGTGGGTACCAATTTTCGTGGATTGAGTAAAAATTATATTTACGTAGATATTTAATTTTGAGATTTTGCAATAAATTGTATACAAGCCTATTGACAATTTATACATTATTGAAAATTTAAAATTCATATTTCCCCCAAAGCCGCGAAATCAGCAAAAATTGGTACCCAACAAATTATAATGAATCCATAGAAAATATTTTAGATTTTTAGACCTGTATTTCTTTATAACACATTATTAATAGGGGTACCAGATCTTTCGTTATTAATTTTTTAATGGGGGAAAAGGAAATTATGAAATATTTGATTTTGAGATTTATATATTTTCACTGTAAGTTATTTGAAGGGGGTCTTAGTAAATATACACATGTATTGGGAAAGGTTCTAATAGTATTTATTAAAAATATTATGACATAGGAATCAAACTTTTTGAAATATGATAATTTTGGGGAATTCCGTGTAATTTTGAATTTTTCATTTTGGTGGTGGCTTTTAAATATGGCCCTTAGGGATGATGGATAATTCATGTTCAGATTGTCTTTTTCAGTTGTCCCCGATATGGAAATCTGCCATACCCATGTACTCTGATAACAGACTTCAGAAACCCATGTTGTAAAGTACCAGACTGTCAGTTCAATGGAAATCTTAATGAAATTACTGGAACTTTGACCCCTGCTCCACATATTGGGCATACTTTAGTGCCACCAAAGCCAGGTCAAAATGGACCATCCACACAAGCCCCAGTCCTGAGTAAGTAGTTACTACTCCACATGTTGATCTTATATAAAAACCATAAACATCAGGTCAGAATGCAGAATGGTCCTTCCACACTTGTTCCAAGACTAAATAAGTAGTGACTCCTGCTTCACATGTAGGCCATATTTCATTACCTTCTAATCCCTGATCGGAATGGTCCTTTCAATTTGACCTGGCCTAGAAATCTGTAAGTAGTTATCCCTATTGAACACTGGGATAGCTTAGATATGAGATAGAATGCCTATTGAACACTGGGATAGCTTAGATATGAGATAGAATGCCTATTGAACACTGGAATAGCTTAGATATGAGATAGAATGCCCATTGAACACTGGGATAGCTTAGATATGAGATAGAATGCCTATTGAACACTGGAATAGCTTAGATATGAGATAGAATGCCTATTGAACACTGGGATAGCTTAGATATGAGATAGAATGCCTATTGAACACTGGAATAGCTTAGATATGAGATAGAATGCCTATTGAACACTGGAATAGCTTAGATATGAGATAGAATGCCTATTGGACACTGGAATAGCTTAGATAAGAGATAGAATGCAGTAAAAAAAACAACAAAACACATGGAAATGACCAACATTTCAAATCAGTAGCTCTTGTCTTGCAATTAACATCATGAGAGTGGCTGGAAAATTACCCTAATTGACAACTTGATTTACTAGTATGCAGTCAGTACCGTCCCTTACTTAACTTTTTGGTTCTTCTGTTATGCTGCTAAAACACTAATAATTGCCTTATTATAAGATGAAAGCACAATTTACTTTTTTTATAGAGCCTTTAAAAAAAACTTGAACATTAAACTTGTTAAAGGTTTTGAAATGTTATAATAGTTTTTAATAATTTAAGCAAGTGCATGCTAACAATAAAAAGGTTTTTATATGCAGAGTTTGGCAAATCTAAAATTCAATATCCTATTGAACAAAAGAATTCTAACTACTTTTCAGATTACTGCCTGTACAGCGGAGTTAGGTATTATCAAGGACAGACATGGGATGATGGGTGTGATAAGCGATGTCGCTGTGATGATGCAACACAAGGATTCTACACTTGTAATGACAGGTAATTATCGTTTACTTATTATCAACAAACCTTTACAGCAGGTATATCGATATAATGTATTGATCAGAATTTTTACTAAATTTTATCACAAATGTAGAGATTTATTATTGAAGTATGATTCCACCTGCAGGAATTTGATAACAAGTGGTAATTTGCATCGAGCTTTTTATAGAAATATTATTAAAAAGCAAATTGTCTTTCTGATCTTTGTCAATGGCCTAATAGACTTATTGATAAAGATTATAATTATACTGTTGGTGTTCAATCACTGAGCCTGGTATTTTTTTATGCCCCACCTACGATAGTAGAGGTGCATTATATTTTTTCAGTCTGTGCATTCGTTCTTTCATCCATCTGTCCGTTCGTCTGTCCTGCTTCAGGTTAAAGTGTTTGGTCAAGGTAGTTTTTGATGAAGTTGAAGTCCAATCAACTAGAAACTTAGTACATATGTTCCCTATGATATGATCTTTCTAATTGTAATGCCAAATTAGAGTTTTGATTGGGGCATCCATGTACTATGTACACATTCTTGTTTTGGATTAACATGGATTTGCTATTTTATCAGATGAAATAGTACGAAAATGTTTCTTTTGTTTTTTTTGCATTGGAATTATGTACAGTTTGTTCTAGGCATTGTACAAGATTGTGTCTCTCTCTTTCCACGAGATATCACACATGCAACCAGCTACCTCAAGTAGATTACTTATAAAATGCAGAAGTTCACATTATGTGTATTGTGTAGATATTAAGAAAATATTTTACAGTAACAAAATCTTTTTAATTTGAATTTATAGATGTCCAAAATATCCAACTCTTGCAAAGGATTGTACTTTAGTAACAGATCCCAGTGATGTTTGCTGCCAGAAACCAGAATGTAATTTCCAGTCTATCTTGAAAAATATATCCGGAACCATTCCCCCTAACTTGATTCCAACTCTAGCGCCACCTGCTCAGATTACTGGACAAGTCAACACTCCAGCACCAACACCTGGCCCAGGACCTACACCAAAACCAATAAGTAAGTTTCAGAAATTTATATTTTTTCTAATAAGCACATGTAGCTATTGTGAAGTCATCAATAATACAGACATATGCCAATGAGCAAGTTTTTTAAAGGTTGAAAAAAATACTTTGATCAATTTTAAGAAAACTATCAGTTGTCTTCTTCAAAAATTTAGTTTACAGAGTGGCGAGTCCTTAGCTAAATGGAGGGAATTTGAGAAAGAGGACATACTTGTTCATTATTTGAACTATTTACAGATATCATAGTGGATTTCATTTCAGAAATTAATTGATGAAAGGGTTATGAAGATTTCAAGATATTATCATAAGTGTAGAAATTATGAAGATTTTCAATCACTTTCATCTTGTATAATAGCTTAGAAAACACTTAAAAAATCAGATTGCACCAATTTTAACATATTTTTAAAAATTTATTTTAGCCAAATGTTTCTACAAGAATGCACAATACTCCCAGGGACAGAGATGGGACGACGGCTGCAAGTACACATGTGTTTGTGAAAATGCAATGACAGGAAAATATACTTGCACTGAAAAGTAAGCTACTTGATATCATCAAATATTTTAAACTTTCATCTTTAGGAAAGTCATGTAATTTCTAGTATACATGTAAATATTGCTTTACATGCAACCTAAGATATCTAATCAGATGATCACAATCTATACCAATCAGAATGCCAGAATTCATTAAAATAATTTCCCAAGTAATGTTAATAACAGAAAAGTACCAATTTTTGTAGAATACTTCTTTTCATTTCTTTTTTTGTTGTCTTTAAAGTAATAAAAATCAACAATAAATCAAAAAAGGACAAAAAAGGACTAAAAAAATTTAAAATAAACTATTAGTTTTTCCCAATCAGAAATGTATGATGTCCCAAATTTTCCTTCCAAGTCTGTCGATATGAAACTGCAAACATTATGGCTATAAAATAAGTGTGTTTACAGTTTTTTAAACGTCAATAACAAGCATTCTAGTTGCAAGTTGTACTACATGTACTATTTATATTTTATTTATTGTTGCTTATAGATGTCCAAAATGGCCAACCCTGCCACCACAATGTAGCTTACAGAAGGATCCAGCTAACCCATGTTGTTACAAACCAGAGTGTGTTTTCAATCCTAATGTGAATGAATTAACAGGCAAAGGGACTACACAGGCTCCCCATATTGGACCAACACTTGTACCCACACCATACACTGGACAACCTACACGAGCTCCCTTTGCTACACCAGCTTTACCTAAAGGTTTGTAAAAGAACATGTAACGTGGGCCATTCGTTGTTACTAGTTAAAGATGAATGAAATTGAAATTTGTTGATTTGTTAGTATTGTATATGAAACTTTTTCAAAGTCTACTGTGGATTCATTTATTTTCGTGGGTACCAATTTTCGTGGATTGAGGAAAACTTGCATTTTCGTGGATATTTGATTTTGAGGGTTTTGCCACAAAGTCTGCATAAATTCCTAAACAAAATTTGTAATTGGTTGGACATTGGAATTCATGGTTACCGGGTAACCACGAATTCCACAAAAATTGGTATCCAACGAATAATAATGAATCTACAGTATTTGTTTCACTTTAATATAGGCAGTAGAAATGTTTGAGAAAATAAATATATGTAATATTAAAGTCATGTAATCCACAAAGTTTCAAATTTTATTGTTTTCTTAAGACTGAATTTTCCTATTACCTTTGTAGCTGTATGTGTGTACAAAGGAAAAAGTTATACACAAGGACAGAACTGGTATGATAACTGTGATTACCAATGTACATGTGAAAATGCCATGCAAGGAATCTACAGATGTAGCAGAAGGTAAGCAGATTATATTTTGTACAATGTGTCAGATTTTGAATGTTTAATACTGTAAATTCAGAAATTAATGCACACATTTATTATTGAATAATCACTGGTAAAATTTGTGAGATCTGATTAATGTGATTTCAAAACTTTTGTGAAGGAACAGTACTACTGAAATTAAATTTTTCACACATCACAATAATTTCTGAATTTACAGTATTTGATGCCACATACTTATGGTGTCATCTAGAAATGACCTAAAGTAGTCTGTGTGATATGGGTTTTGCTCATTTTTGGAGGCCTTGCAGTGACATATGGTTGCGTACATCCATGTCATTTGGACTATATAAATCGTGTCTGCTGAAAAATTTTATCGAAATAGTTGTTAATTGATTTTTTTATAACTGTAAGTTGATTAATTTTTGTGAGATTTACATGACTTTCGTTAGAAGAAAACATCGAACTTCTCTCATTTGAGCAGGTTTCTCACTAATCTGTCTGGACTCAATCATTTTCAAGACTGGTGAATCAAAAGATGCATCAAAATGGTAAAATGTTGTAACAACTGAGCACATATATCATCATTTTATAACTAAAGTTTAAAAATAATCTAAATTTGATGTCATTTCATTGCTATAGTTGGTCATGTGGACGGAATAATAAATCATATAGCAATAAAATTTCACATTCTCACTGTTGCACTTGCAATAGCCAAAAATGATGAGTCCCTGGACTCGCCTTTAAAACCTATAAAACCATATTGAGAACCCTGTTGAGTACAACCAAACAAAGTGAGAAAGTTTAGACTATTATTTTACCCAAGTTTAATTGTTTCAAGTAATTTTTGTGCAATCTGTTTTTTATTTTACCAACCTCTGGAAACATGTTAATAAGGTTTCTTTTTACTTTTGTTTAGTATTTTAATTATTGCACCAGATTAAAAAAAAATTCTACACTATAGTAGTATAAAACAAGAAGGTTCAATGGAGGATGTTACTAATCTCGATTATTCAGTGTTTTTACAGCAATAAAACTGAAATTTGAAAGATGTGTAAAATGTCAGTCATATCTGATAATCAAGCACATTTATTTCCACAGCTCATTTGATATCTACCAGTTTGCTTTAATTTTTCTTTCTTTGTCTAGATGTGCAGAGTACACTAATATACCCAAGGAATGCACTCTGGTCGCTGACGATAGAGATCCTCTTTGTTGTAAAGTACCTCAATGTAACATTCCTCCCCAGTATACCAACCAAACTGGATATGTTCCAATCCCCACAGCTAAACCAGGAGTCCTCACCGGTGGATCTGTCACCAAGGTACCAACCCCAGGAACTACCATGGTACCAGTGCCAGGACAACCAAACCCAACACCAGGACCAACACCTGCTCCAAGAGGTTAAGATTTAATTCAGATTAACAGTAGTTCTGTAAATTTAGAAATTATAGTCAGGTTTTTATTAATGCGAATAATGTGACTGGGTGAGTATCACAATGATAAGAACTCACATTCTGATAATCGATACATATATCTGTATGCAGGTATTCCTGAAATCACAATAATTAATCTGCCATTTTGTCCTTTCCTCAAAAATCGCAATAATTTTTACATGAGTATATCATTTAGCATTCTATTGTGCAAATTTTTAGTGTCAGAATCTAAAGGCCTGCCTGAGGTTGCGAGTTTGAATCCCGCACATGGCAGGTGCACTTGACTTCAATCTTAATTGACTATGATTGTCAGTTTTCCTTACAAAGGTCGGTGGTTCTCTCAGGGCACACCGGCATCCTCCACCAATAAAAGCTGACCGCCACGAAATAGCACAATAGTGTTGAAGGTGGCATTAAACACCAATCAATCAATAAAGGCCTGCCACTCTTTATAGGTCTTTTTTTGGTCATATTGCCTCTCATGTACTCAAGTATATATATATATGTTGTGTACAAGTTGTAATTTTGTACAAATTATAATTTGTACAGGGTTTTTGTACAAGTTATCAGTATTTTGACACACACCTTCTTTCACCAGGTGATACAAGTCTATCTTCAATAATTATCCAGTTTGATGTTTTACTCAGAAATTTATATACTTCAACCTAACATTAAGCACTGTCCTCTATGTAATAAAACTACAAATAATGACACCTGATTGGTTTAGATTATATATTTATTTTTTGACTGATACCAAATTCTATGTCCACAAAATATATTTTAGTGTTTTTATATAGACTTTGTGTCAGTACTATATGCAAGACTGTAGCATGTAGTTGTGGAAATAAAACAGTGATAAGCTTAACCAAAGACACTGTGCTTATTTTATCTTATTATGTAAAGAGATTCACAAAATACTGTACAAATTATAATTTGTACAACATTACAATTTGTACACAACATATATATCCTTGGCTTGCAAATGTTTGGGTTTGAGGGTTCCTGATGAAGGTATATCCAGAAGAGTGCTTCAAATGTACCAAAATTATGAAGTGTTATTTCAATTTATCAGACATTCTTACCAGTGCTAGTTTCATCTCGTCTTAATGACTCTTTAACATTGTGTATTCCATTTCAATTGACACATTTTGTAGTTTAAAGACATAATGAAATTATTCCAAGGGATAAGAGGGATTTAATATGATGCTTAACACTGTCCAGCTTGAAATTGTTACTAGACATCATTAAATTGGTGAATTTATAAAAAAAAAATTGCCTGATAGAGAAAGCCATTATGGAAGTAGTATAAAAGATGGTTAAATGATCATGTGTTGTTATTTGATTATTTTAGAAATCTGTATCTACAAGGGACGAAGTTATACACAGGGACAGAAGTGGCAAGATGGCTGCGACTATGACTGTGAATGTGTTAATGCTAAAATGGGTTTCTATAGATGTTCAGAGAAGTAAGTATTTAGTAGGTGGTAAATTTTTGTTTAACTTGTTGTCCCATTTTTAGTGAATGAACATTCATGTCTGAGGATGGAATACTTGCCGTGGTCAGTGTAAGGAAAAAATAATTTTTCTTCATTTCAAATATCCTTGCTATGGTCAAGTCTATGTTCTACTAGTGACACAGTCCTCCTCAATAATGAAGATGAAGATATATATATGTAAAAAAATATTTTACTTTTCAAAATTAAAGAATTTTAATATTAATTTTTTTTTTTAATTTTTATTCTACATGTATTGTAGTCCTAATTTTATCCAAGGGCTTGTTTTTTGTAATTCTTTTTATGCCTCACCTATGATAGTAGGGGGTATTTTGCTTCCCAGTCTTAGTCTGTCCATTGGTTAATCAGTGCTCGGGTTGGTCCCACCCATATCAGGTTAAAGTTTAGGTGTATGGTCGTTTACCATGAAGTTATGGTCCCATCAACTTGAAACATAGTACACATGTTCATTATGATGTGAAATTTTAAAAAGTAACCAAATTAGGGTTTTGACCAAGATTGTGTGATTTGTTTGTTGGTCAGGCACACTGACCAATGGACATTATTCTTGTTTGTTCTTCTAGATAGATATATCATTGTCTTGAACTAAAGTGTCACTTATATTTTCTATAATTTCTTTCCTTCTTGAAAAGACAACATTGTACACTTCCTTTTTAGGTGTCCAAAATACACCAACTTGCCAGCGCAATGTAGATTGGTTGCTGACTATCTAAAGCCATGTTGTAAGAAACCTTACTGCGACTTCACAGGAACTAATGGACAGATCAGTGGAACCGTGACTCTAGCTCCAGGTATGGTGACTACTTTGGCACCACTTGCTCCTGGACAGACACGCCCACCAACTCCAGCACCTACACCAAAAATGCCTGGTAAGATATTGCTCATCCTGAAGTTTTTCATTATCTTTTTTTTTACTATGATTTCTAATGTAGAAGTTTAAAGAGTATTGATATATGAATTGCTATCATTTTGTCAGTCTATCTATAAACTTTATAAATTAAAAAAAATTCAAGCAAATATTCATTGAAATTAAGGTCGTCAAAGCTGTTTGTAACAAAATAAGCTGGTGCAGCAATTTATGAAAATAGTTGTAGAGGAAAAAGTACTCTGTACATGAGGATAAAAAGTGAACATTTTAACAATATAGGTTTTACATATTAAGTTTTTTTCATGTTATCAGAGTATTTTTTAGCTGTTCAATTTTCAAACAATAGAAGTATAATCTGTCTTAATGTCTTTGCTGAATGGATAAGTTCAACTTGAAAATTCACAAAACTGCTGAGCTAGCATTTGAGACATCTGGATGTAGTTTTGCAATGTATATCTATATATCGAAATATTTTTATATAATTCCACAATGTTTTTGTAGTAATATTCTTTTCCGATAGATTTATGTTAAATATTGAAATATCAGTATTGTAGTTTGTCCTGAACATGCTTGAAATATTTGCCACTGGATGTTAAGCGACCAACAATCAATCAATATTGTAGTCTCTTTTACTTTCATATTTGTAGATTACTGTATGTACAATGGTGTACCTTTCAAACAAGGACAGACATGGGACGATGGATGTGACCTTAAATGTGTATGTGAAAATGGGAAGACAGGGTTCTACAGATGTTCAGACAGGTAAAACATGAGAGCAAGAATATCAGGGCAACTTCAATACTTAATTTGATAGGGGGTGCCGCTGGGGTTCTGTTACCCCACCCTTTTCATATAATTTAGATTTTAAAAATGTATACCTTTTCATATATTGCATATGTATAAATGTAACCTTTTCCCTAATTTGGTTGGGTTTCGTGTGGGGTGTGTTGGAAAAGTGGAATATCAAAGTGTCAAAAGATGTGAAATTTGTGCATAAAAACACAGCCAGAACACCAAGAAAATTACAGGGCTTTTCATTTAACAAGTAATGAAAACTTTATTGACCTTATCATATATTTCTTATAGTTTTCCCCACCTATTGACATATTTTCAAGCTGGAAAATGCGACCTTTTCCAGCGGCACGTCCTATCACCTTGTATCCTTGTATATAGGAAGTGTCCCCCCTCGAGAATGATTTACTCATTCTTAGAAAGGATAACTGGAACTATCCAAATATATTACAACAGACCACACCAACCACCAACAACCGACTGAGAAAATAAACAACAATGCATGGTCCAGATAGACAGTACAACAGACCACACCAACCATATGTTCAGTTACTTTGCACAATTTTTTAAGTTTACCCCACATTTCATTTTATTCATATGTGTAATAGTATTTAAGTATTTGAACTAAGAAAAAAATTCTGTGTTTCTGTGAACCAAGAAATTGTTTTTGAAGATTAAAAACAAATGGGGAATTTATACATATATGAGTCAAAATGGGTTTTTTTTCTGAAGAAAGTTTGAAAGCCAAAATATTTGAAATTGATGTTTTTTTCCAGAGGCAATGTATGAATTTAAAGTTATCTTTTGAATTTATTTTTCAGATGTGCAAAATACCCAAGTGTACCTCAAGGATGTGTTTTAGTTACCGATCCATCAGACAGCTGCTGTCGTGTACCAAGCTGTAGTCCTCAAACACCACAACCAGGATTTACACCTTCACTTGGTCCAGGAATGACTCCAAATCCCAACCCAACACAGGTACCACCAATGATACCTACCGTACCAGCTGTTATCATTGGTGTGGGTGTGACACCAACACCACGCCCAGGCTTCCCAACCCCTGCTACAAATAGTCCACCAATTCCAGTATGTATGTACAAGGGAAAAACTTACACTCAAGGACAGAAATTTGATGATGGATGTGATCTTCATTGTGAATGTTTTGATGCCGTAAACGGAAGATATAAATGTACAAAACGGTATGATTTTATAAGTCATTAACTTTTATTTTTATAGAACATGTTTAAATGAAAACATGAAACTTACAAATATTTTTTTTTTCAAATATCTTCACTACATCTGAAGTTCATTTTGAAAAATCTTACAAATGTGTTATTAATTGGTGGTACTTGTATTGATTTGATGAATGATTACTCTCCCTTAAGTTTTTTTTCACAGCAAATTTAAAAATTGTATAGATATCTGTTTCCTGCATCAATAAATTTCCTGTCACGAAATTGTACAAATGTTAAGAAACAAATGAAAACATTTTTTTAATTTTAACAAGTCAGTTAAAAAGAAGTAGGGTTATTCTCAAATGGCAATCCAACAAGTTTCACCAAAAGCCAGCACAATATATGGTTATATCTAAATGGTCCTGAATATAGACAAGTTGAAAAAAAATAATAACAGAGTTTATCAACACCAAATTCAAAATAGACATTAAATGTATAAAAAAAATGGTGACAATCAATTTTGAGATTCCTGATTTGGACTTCACATAAACATTGGGCATTTTTAAAACAAGATTTGTGAGTTCTTCATCCTCACACTGTACTGTAACATATCCAGAAATTGAAGTAATCAGGATTTACTAATAAGTCGGAAATCATAAAGATTTTTTTCCCATTATTTGAAATTTTGGCTGGTCTAATTTTCCAAATAACCAGAGTCCTCTTAACATATTTGTCTCAATACGCAACGATTTTTGTTTTCAGTTGCCAGACCTATGTCAATCTACCAAGTAACTGCAGACTTTCTGTTGATCCAAATGATGCCTGCTGTAAGATTGCTACCTGTTCACCAACACCAGCACCAAACATGACACCAAATCCTTTAAATACACTTGTTCCAAATCCAGGAAATACTGGTCCAACTATTGCACCAAATATGAGGACTACTATTGCACCAAATATGAGGACTACTATTGCACCAAACCCCTACACTGGAGTTCCAACATTATCACCACAACCAAAAGGTAAGTCTTCATTGAATAATTATAAATTTTTATTTTTTTCATTCGTTCATATCCATTTGCATATAAAGGTAAGGCTATATATATCATCAAATGTTTAGTCCCTTGGATGTGCTTGCACGAATATTTGGGTTTGTTGTGAAAATAATTGAAATATTTGCAACTGGATAATAAGCAAGCAACAATACATTACCTTGAATGTGGATAAGGGATTTTTTTTTACTAAAAAAGAGTCTTCGTCTTCCATGGGTAAAATGATAAAATTCTGCTTAAATATTTTTATAATTTAGAAAGAAAGAAAATATTACAAGTAATCCCTATAGTTCAATCAAATTTGAAGTTTTTATTGTGGATTAAAAAAAATTGAATTCAACCTTATATTTATCAATTTCCTTCTTCTAGAGTTGTGTTGTAAAAAAAAAAAAAACTGAATTAAGATGTTGCTCGCTAAAAGTTTTGTTTTTAGTCCTCTTTATAACCTGTAAGCTAATAATAACATTGTTGAGACAGTTTCACTGTGCCCTGTCAAAAATGAAGTTTTGTCAAATAATGGAGAAGTTACCAACCAGGTGTGCTTTAAAAATGGTACACGTTATGTGTTTCAAATTAGAATAACAAATTCATGAATGTTTTCATTATACGCAAGTATTTTTATCTTATTTGTTTGTCTTTTGAGTTGGAAATGTTTTGCTAAACCTATTCCAATGCATGTGTTTAATAAACTAATATTTGGAAATCTGTGTTTTTTTATAGATGTCTGTATAATGAAAGGTCGTCAGTATACACAAGGTCAGACCTGGTACGATGGATGTGACAAGAAATGTGTCTGTGAAGATGGTAAAACTGGATTCTATAGATGTAGTGACAGGTATTATTTTTATATTTAACATCACAAACTATTCATCTGTCAATTTTTTCTTGTAACTCATTATTTATAATCAAAAGATTTTTAAAAAATTGTTGGCTGTTATATTCTAAATTATTCCACTATACCTGAAATTAATCAGATGTCAGCTTGACCAATTTTGTGTATAATAGTTGTCAGTTAATTTTATGTTGTTTTTCTTACACAAATTAAATGATTTAACTACCTAAAGAATCTGTTTAAATGAAATGAATTATACAGTATAATAGTCTTTCAATTATGTTCCATAAATCCTAAATGTAAAAAAAATTTGATTTTTTGAATTGGAAAAGGATTACAATGAAAATATGATTGATATATATATATGTAAACTAGAAAAAAGTGTGAAAATCAGGATAAGTCAGAAAATAACTAAGAAAAATTGTATTCTTGATTGCTTACTTTTTCCCTAGTTTTTTTAGTTATACTTGTTATAAATAAAAGATAAGATTTTGATAAAAGGTATAATTTTTTTCCATTTATTTTTTTCAGATGCCGAACATACAAGAATGTTCCTCAAACCTGTACAATGGTACCAGATCCAAAAGATCCACAATGTTGTCAACTTCCTCAGTGTATCCCAGGAGTCAACGGTTACCCAACCCCTGTACCACAAGTCACACCACGTCCAGGAATGACTCAAGCCCCACAGCTTGTGACAGGACAGCCATTGGGTGTTGTAACAGGATTTGCACCAAGCCCTACACCAACACCTCTACCTACACTAGCACCTAAACCAGGCCAGCCAATACCAACCAGACAACCTACCCCAGCTCCAAAAAGTAGGCTATAGTTTACACCAAAATTTTATCAATTTAATCAAGTGTGCAATAACATTCTTGTTAATTAAGGAATAACAGTCCTGTATTTGAAGAGTTCCCACTCAAATCCAAAATTGATGGTGGCGACTTTTTAAATACAGTACTGTTGTTCTTATTTTAATGCAATACTCTTAAAATGGTAAAAATCAAACATTTCAAATATCCCATAAACGTCAACTGCAATTGCGCAACGTTGTCGCCAATGACTGTGACCTTCTGGACTTGATGGTAGATGTACATATCCAATATAAGAAACATTAGTTAAAATGAAAATATTTGCAAATAAGTAAATTTTTTTTCTATGAAGTTGAAATTGTCAAGTCGTCATAATATAAATAACAAAATGATTATATTGTAGTGGTATGTGTATACAAAGGCAAAGCTTATGGACAAGGTCAGAGATGGCAGGATGGATGTGATTATAACTGTGAATGTACTGATGGTATGACAGGACATTATGAATGTACTGAAAGGTAATCAAATAGAGTCACTAAAATAGGTGCTTGGTTGGATAGAAATCAACCTTATGCAAGTGCAAGTGCATTTATACATATACACATATAAGACTGTGATTGATTAAGGAAAATTCAAATGCAAAATGAAAGAGAATTTTGGTCTGTTTTGTAGATTTTCTAATAACAGCTAAATTTTTAAACAGTTACAGTGGATGTTGTTTTGGAATTGCAAAAGTCTGCATACATGCCTATAGAAAATTGATACTTCCTTGAACATTTAAATTCATGATTAACCATTACCCACTAAATCCATGAAAAACTGGTACCCATGATTAATAATAATGAATCCACAGTAAGCTAACTTGTATCCAATCCTGTTCAGCTTCCATGTTCAAACATTTAAAGAATAAAGATATTTCATCATATCAAGACTTTTCAGATTCTTCTGTTTGGCTTTTTTATCACCTTATGTAAAATGGTTTTAAAGACCATTATCTCATCATCGACATTTTTAGATTTTTTGTTAGTTGATAATTTCACATTATTTTCATTAAATTTTTCTGATGCATTGACATGATTTTTTATATAGTTTGCTCTTACTTGGAAACAAAATTTTGCTCAATATTGTCCATAGATGAAATGGCACATATTAAGTGAAGGCTAATTTAAGGGAAGCAATAATCATGTTTTTGTATGTCAAAACTTTTAAAATGACAAGAACACCCATGTTGAACTACTGTTATGTCCACCATTTTAAGACAAAATAGAGCCAATTACAAAATGCAAACTATATGTGGCAGTCATTTTTCATAGGAGTTTTCTCGCTGTGTTGAAGACCCTTTGGTGGCCTTGGACTGTTTTCTGCTCTTTGGTTGGGTTGTTGTCTCTTTGACACATTCTCAATTTTGTTATCATTCCCAGTCATATCAGTAGTCTGATTTTTGTGGTAAGGTTTTGGGCTTTTTTGCCAAAAAAAAAAATGATTCTATGTTATGAAGTTATTGACAATTTGTTTCAGTTTTTTTCTGTTAAAAATGTAACTGTCAATTCAGAAATGTCTTTTTGCATGCATTTATTATTGCGAATTCTGAAGAATGGACTCAAATGCGAGATTATTTATTGCGATTTCAGGAAAATATGCATACAGTTATATGGTTCAATTATCGAGTTTTTACTATTGCGATACTCATTCAGCTGCATTATTTGCATTAATAAAAATCTCGCAATAATTTCTGAATTTACAGTAATAAAAATATTGAAAAAACTTGTGAATTTGCAATATAAAGAGATTAATACCTGTGCTATTTACTATTCTTTATAAGATGGCCATGTTCTAATATGGGTACTAAAAACATTGAAAAGAATTGAGAATTTGCAATATTTAGAGATTAATACATGTGTGTGTTTCCTATTCTTTTAGATGCCCAGCCTATCCAGCTATTCCTCCATATTGTCACCTGGAGACTGATCCTAAAGATTTCTGTTGTCAGAGACCAGTTTGTAATTATGATAAACCTGTGATCATACCCACACCAGGACCAATCTTACCAATCACAAAAGCTCCTATACCAGGACAACCCACATTGCCACCTACACCAGGACTACCTGGTACCCAGACAACACAATCACCTGTTCTAGGTAAAATATATTTTTTATACACCTATTGTGCATAGGGATTGGTATATTTAAATATTGACAAAAACATCAAATTTAAGTAAAAAATTAATATCAAATTATCGAAAAAAAATAATAAATAGATATTTTGAATAAAAATTTCTGTCATCAGTATGAACTGACCAATATAAATGGTGTCTTATTTCTTCTGCAATCCTGAAGTTCAAACATTTATGTAAAACAAACATTGTCTGGTTTTTAGTAAGCATTCTGTAATCTTGAAACTTTACAAATTAAGTATTAATAATAAAATACATCCATATCTAGTGTTTGTTCCTTACATGAATTTGAATTCATTTCACAAAATTTGGTATCATGTCGGATTTGAAACTTAATATAAGAACTGCGTCCAAAAATAAAAGTATTTTGCAAAACAAGTCAACGTTGGTTTTTCCGTTTGAATGGTTTTACACTAGTAATTTTTTGGGGCCCTTTATAGCTTGCTGTTCGGTGTGAGCCAATGCTCTGTGTTGAAGGCCGTACCTTGACCTATAATGGTTTACTTTTATAAATTGTAACTTGGATGGAGAGTTGTCTCATTGGCACTCATACCACATCTTCCTATATCAATTATTCAATTTTATGTTGCAGCATTCTGTGTATACCAAGGGGTAGCATACAAACAAGGACAGAGCTGGCAAGTCGGTTGTGATAAGAATTGTAGATGTGATGATGCTTCCAGAAATATTTACAACTGTATGGATAGGTATGGATCTATGATTGTCTGTGTTAGTACAAATGTAATGAGAAACAAATTTTGTTGTTAGAATATTGAAAAAGACCTTATCACTGTTTTTCTGCCCTTACATGATATAATGATTTTATTTAAAATTTTGATGCCACAAAGCAAAAGGGATTATTGATGATATCAATAATCATTTTTACAAAAGTTTGGGTAAAATATTGTAGAATCCCTTATAGCTATAAAGAATGTAGGATATGTTTATATATTATATAACCATAATATCCTCCTTTGATAATATATCAGTTTTAGCATAAAATCATCCAAAACTTTTCTTGAATCACACCCCCTTTAAAAGATCCTTGATCCGCCCTGAAAGGTTTCTGTTGTAATCATGTGGGCAATGTTTCATTTACTACAACAGAGTTGTGAAAAGATTTTAAACATTGAGGGTCTCAAACAGTCAGTCAAAGTTTGAGAGAAAAAAATGATGATAAATAGGTCATTGTAGATTGCATGGGCTACTTAACTTTTTTAACTTGTGAGTTTTGATTCATCCTTATGTTATAAAAATAAGGAGATATAGTATGATTACCAATGAGACAACTACCCGGTATCCACCAAATTTCAAATGAAGTGGATGTAAGCAATAGACTGTTTCTTAATTGAAGTCGTTTCTTCAATCTAACATTAAATTATTTTTTTCAATATTTCAGATGCCCTAGTTACCAGTTACAACCAGGATGCAGTTATGTAACAGACCCATCAGATCCCTGTTGTCAGGTACCCAGATGTCTCTCTACTCCAACACCAAAACCATACATAACTCCAGGACCAGGACAACCAACTCCACAACCAGGACTTAACCCCACCATTGGACCTAATTTCACACCTACTGTCACACCCTACCCTCAACCTCTAGGTGTTACAGGATCTGTCATTGGAAAACCACAGGTGCCAAGTCTCCGAGGTAAGATTGTGAAACTCTGGTCTTTCAAGCCTTTTCATTTGATTACTACATTTAATTACATATTTTAATGGTTATGTTTTTACAAGAACCTGATTTTGACAAATTTTGATTATTCATTCAGAAATTATCAAATTGATTATTTGATATGTGATAAACATTTTATGATTATTTGAAAACTAGATATCCTTCATGCCCCTATTTTGTAATTTTCTGTCATTATTAAAACTGTTACTCTGAATCACTATGACACTTACTAGAAATATTTTCTGTAGAACAGTGTATTGCTTGAGTACAGCTGAACCTTCATATCTGAGGGTCTTGATTGGGTTTACAGAATAGAGAATAATGCACTAATACTTCAGAATAATGGGGCATAAAGCATAGAGAATTATGGGGTGCTAATACATAAAGATTAGAGAATAATTATGGACAAAAATATAAAAAATAGAGAAAAATGACCTAAACAATTAAAGAATACAGAAATGAAGAGCGCATCCAGACTCTCATATCTTGATAAACCTAATAATGGTAACCCGAATTGTTTCACTTGACCGATGATATTTTTACAGGAACATGTGAATACATGGGTAAACAATATACCACAGGCCAGAAATGGGATGATGGCTGTCGATACCACTGTGTATGTACTGATGGAACAAGTGGTCAGTACAAATGTGATGAAAGGTAAGATCTTCTTCAAAACAGAACAAGCATGTGTCCATAGTACATGGATGCCCCACTTGCACTATCATTTTCTATGTTCAGTGGATCATGAAATTGGGGTCAAAACTCTACTTTGGCATTAAAATTAGAAATATCATATCATAGAAAACATGTGTACTAAGTTTCAAGTTGATTGGACTTCAACTTCATAAAAAACTACCTTGACCAAAAACTTTAACCTGAAGCGGGACAGATGGACAAACAGATGAACGGACGGATGAACGAACCCACGCACAGACCGAAAACATAATGCCCCTCTACTATCATAGGTGGGGCATAAAAACTGTACAGGGCAAAAATGTTCTGAATGCCGTTATCTTAATAGCCACTAATTCCATCAAATATTTCAGACAAATTATTTATTTTGCTTATTGAAGGATTTTTGCCCATAATCTTAAAATTTTGAAAGATAGACAGAAACTATTAACAGCAGAAATGATCAGTAAAAACTATATCTTTAAAAAGGGAAGTATGACTGAAATAATCAGTTGTCTCCTTCTTGGAGTTATTGCCCTTATTTGTGTTTCCTTCTTTGAGTTATTGCCCTTATTTGTGTTTCCTTCTTGGAGTTATTGCCCTTATTTGTGTTTCCTTCTTGGAGTTATTGCCCTTATTTGTGTTTCCTTCTTGGAGTTATTGCCTTTAATTGATGATAATTGATAAAGTTTAACATTTCCACCTATAATCTTGATAATTAAGATAGATAAACAGAAGCTATATAAACCAGTAAATGTGATCAGCAATACAACATCTACAAAACTGCAAATTTGACTATAAAAAACATCCTTTGAATCCTTACAATTGTTAGTACACTTAACTGTCTATATTTTTTTAATCAACAAAAAAAACAAATATAGCTTAAAAAAACAAATGACTGCTTATAGGAGTTATTGTCAAATATGAATTACATGTACATATGAATTATATATGAAGATGATATGTTGAAAACTGTAGTAGATAGGGGAGTTTTTGACTAGCAAAAAACACTCAGCAGGTCAAAAGATCTTTTATAAATCCATCAAAACTGTCAGCTAATTCCTTATTGAAATTATTCCCCTTGAATGATGATTTTTAAATAAATTTAGAGTTTTTTTTGGTATTATCTTGAAAACAAGAATGGAAAAAGAGAAACTGTAAACACCAAAATGATAAACAAACATTGAACTTGTTTAATATCCTAATTATTATTTTTTTTAACAATCTAGCATATTTTTACCAGATGAGTTAGTTAAGGTTCTTAAGATTTGATTATCACTGGTTCTGTTTAGTTACACCAGCCTCCTCCAACAATAAACACTCACTGGCTGCCACAATATAGCTAAGAGTGGTGAAAGTGCTGTAAAACACAAACAATCAATTAATCATAGAATTTAGTATCAAAAGTCAACAACATTTGCATGTCAACATACAGGATGTAAATTCATTTAAATAAATTATGAATATGTTGTTTTCATTGTCTTATTTCAGATGCCCAAGATACCCACAGATCCCATCGTACTGTGTTTTGGTACAAGATAAGAACGATCAGTGTTGTAAAGTTCCATCTTGTAGTAGCGTAGCACCAACACCAATACCACCATTCACCCCATCACTAAAGCCAGGAAATACTCCAGGCCCTGGATCAACATTGTCACCATTGATGACTCCACCAACACAAGGTCCACAACCTGTGGTTAAAGGTGAGTTTTACGTCTCCTACAAGATGTTATCTGTTGAGAAATGATTAAAAGAAAGATTTGTTATCAAAGTTAATAAGATTACTGTGGATTCATTATTATTCGTGGGATACCAATTTTCGTGGATTTCGTGAGTACAGGTGAACCATGAATTTAAATGTTCAACAAATTACAAATTTTCTATTGGGTTGTATTCGGACTTTGGTAAAACCACGAAATCATATGTGCACGAATATGCAAGATTTCTTCAATCCACGAAAATCGGTACCCACGAAAAAAAATGAATCCACAGTACATGCTTTCTTTTCGCCTATCAATTAACCATCCAATGAACAAAAGTATCCTCAAACATTATTTCATTAAGATGTCAGTAAAGTATTAAATGCTTTTTTTTTTTATCTTATCTTGCTTTTTTATATTCTTCATGGATTTATCTGGGTATTTTAGGAATTGCCTTTGTCAGACAATTTTTTTTTAAAATTGATGTGATTTGAGAGTGAAATGAATATTTACTTGACAAGTTGATATGTTTGAAAACTGTACATACTGTTTTAACATACTTTGCTTTTAATGTGTTTTTTAACCAGACCCTCATGTTCTCTACAAAGTGTATTTCTTTCTTTTAGATGTTTGCATTATGAAAGGAAAAGCTTACACTCAAGGACAGACATGGGATGATGGATGTGACAAAATTTGTGTTTGTGATGATGGTAAAACTGGACATTATTCATGCAAAGATAGGTGAGTTTGAACTGTTTATTTACATAAATTTATCATGTTTTTATTTTAAAACATTTTGATAGAATACGATTTTTCATGACAAATAAATACTATGGACTTTTTATTTTGTATTTCATAAAACTATGAAAAATATTAAAAAAAATATTTTCATAAATTCTTGTAAAAAGCAATTGTTCTGTAGATCTACATCAATTTAAAAAAAGAAAGTGAAAGAAAACAGAAATTAGGTGTAATTTCAAAGTGTTAAAAACTTTTTCTGACAATTATAACTCATTTAATCTGTTTTATGTGATTCCTTGTATAGATGTCCAACCTATGTGAACATCTCACCAACCTGTATAATGGTAGCAGATCCATCAGATCCTGTCTGCTGCAAGATCCCACAATGCACCAATCCAAACAACTCCACCATTCCACCAGGAGTATTCGGACAAGTCACTGGTCTCAACCCAACACCAATACCAAACCTGCAACCAACACCAGGAGGTGTGAACACACCAGTACCACAACCAAACCTAAACCCCACACCTTACCCAGGAGGAACCTATGCACCAGGCATGATTCCATCACAGATTCCAACTCTTGTACCAAATCCAAATTTGACACCAAACCCAAATCCAACTCCACAACCACAACCAAGTAAGTTTATATTCAAAAACTGTGTAAAATGTAACTTACAACTTTGTTATTGCATCAATGAAAATCACAAAAAAATTTAGAATTGACTGTACTTGATTAAAGTTTTTCGCCAGCTTAATGCATTTACAATAATGATGAAAAATGTATATCGGTACCGGGGTATTTGAATTCGGCACATAGTCTTTTGTTGGTGGAACCTGATGCTTTCTTGCCATACATTCAGTTTATTATAGTATTTTTACTATAACAATTTTTCAGAATACCCCTTATTTCCTTTTATTCATAACTAAATACTTTAAAGTTGTTTATTTTTGGGGCTAGTGAAAATATAACATACCGGTATATATGTTTTTTTTATTTATTTGTAATTAAAAAATGAAAACACCTTTAAATTTAAATCAATTAGATTCATTTTAGTTGATGTTCAAATTCACAGCTTTAATTAACTAAGGAATCCATAATAAATTACAGTCCATGAATAAGTTTCATTATGTGCAATGATGCTTTGATATTGTATGATTATTTGTTTATTCGTTTACAGAAGTGTGTGTCTACAATGGCCAACAATATACCCAGGGACAGAGATGGAGAGATGGTTGTAAATATAACTGTGTATGTGAAAATGGCATGACTGGAAAATACACATGTACCGATATGTAAGTACACTTATGAAGAAAATACACATGTACCTATATGTAAGTACACTTATGAAGAAAATACACATGTACCGATATGTAAGTACACTTATGAAGAAAATACACATGTACCTATATGTAAGTACACTTATATAGAAAATACACATGTACCAATATGTAAGTACACTTATAAAGAAAATACACATGTACCTATATGTAAGTACACTTATAAAGAAAATACACATGTACCGATATGTAAGTACACTTATAAAGAATATTCACATATACCGATATGTAAGTACACTTATAAAGAAAATACACATGTACCGATATGTAAGTACACTTATAAAAATGTGTTGTTTGATGAAGTTTGATGATATAACAGGGTTGTTGTAAACCCTCAAAATTTTGGGAGTAAATATTGCATTTGTGCTATTAAAATCCTTATGTGGCGTGCTTGAAAGTTATCCAGACTTTATCACTACTTTTGACATAAACAAAACATAGTGCATTAGACACACATTCTACACATCCTATCCATGAACATTTCAGCAAATTGTATCAATGAAATATAAACTCAGATATTCAAATTACAAATTAATGTGTATGTGTATAACAATACTTGTCAAGAAAATTAAATAAATTGTGCATGCTGCATGAATCTAGTATCAATATTTAAAATTAGAGTTATCTTCCTTTGTCCATAATTAAGTCTCCCAAACGAAGTTTGGGAAGACTTATTGTTTTTGCTCAGTTCTTATTATTATTATTCTTCTTCTTCTTCTTCCGCCGCTTTTAAATTTGAACTTGTCCGCACCCGTTCTCCAAAACCGCTTGTCAGATTAACTTAGGGTTTCACAATATGTTAGACTAACATGTCTAGTGGTGCAATCAGGGTTTTGTTTGTGCAATGGGGTTTATAAAGGGGTACTTTGAGGGGCAAAAAGAAAAGAGGGTTTTACTATAGAACCCTATGGGATTTTATTTTTTAAAATTTTCAAATGATTATAAATTGAAAACCGTTTGTGATAGACACAATCTTTTTAATTGAAAATGTTCTAAATGATAAAGCCCATTAAATGAAATACAGGGTTAGTCTCCAGGGGTCACCCCCACCCCCTGCCATTTAAGAAAGTTCTAATACCTTGTAAGTGGTCAAGATCTCCACCCCTAAACCATATATATTCTGGTTTGCCATGCTAAGATGGTTTGAATGATATACAGGGTTAGTCCCCAGGGGTCATCCCGACCCCCTGCCATTTGAGAAAGTTCTAATATCTTGTAAATGGTCGAGATCCCCACCCCTAAACCATATATATTCTGGTTTGTCATGATCAAGCACATCAAATGAAATACAGGGTTAGTCCCCAGGGGTCACCCCCACCCCCTGCCATTTAAGAAAGTTCTAATATCTTGTAAGTGGTCAAGATCCCCACCCCTAAACCATATATATTCTGGTTTGTCATGCTAGGATGGTTTGAATGATATACAGGGTTAGTCCCCAGGGGTCATCCCGACCCCCTGCCATTTGAGAAAGTTCTATTATCTTGTAAATGGTCGAGATCCCCACCCCTAAACCATATATATTCTGGTTTGTCATGATTAAGCACATCGAATGAAATACAGGGTTAGTCCCCAGGGGTCACCCCACCCCCTGCCATTTAAGAAAGTTCTAATATCTTCTAAGTGGTCAAGATCCCCACCCCTAAACCATATATATTCTGGTTTGTCATGCAAAGATGGTTTGAATGATATACAGGGTTAGTCCCCAGGGGTCATCCCGACCCCCTGCCATTTGAGAAAGTTCTAATATCTTGTAAATGGTTGAGATCCCCACCCCTAAACCATATATATTCTGGTTTGTCATGTCTCAAACATTTGAATGATGTATACGGTCAAACCCCAGGGGTTCCCCCCAGCCCCAATGTTCTAATATCTTGTAAATGGTTGAGATCCCCACCCCTAAACCATATATATTCCTGTTTGTCATGTAATGAACATTTGAATGACGTATAGGGCCAGTCCCCAGGGGTTGCTCCCCACCCCCAATGTTCTAGTATCTTGTAAATGGTCGAGATCCCCACCCCTAAACCATATATATTCTGGTTTGTCATGCCAAGATGATTTGAATGATATACAAGGTTAGTCCCCAGGCATCACTAATGCATATAACTTTACTGGACCAAACCAATTTTCACTGGACGTTGCCCAATGTCAGGCGACCCTGGGAATTACGAATTATGGGAGCTTCGTTTGGGAGACTTCGTAACAGCATCCTGTTACAATCATTTCTTGTTGTAGTTGAACTAACTACAATTATATCTTTATTTCATAGTACAGGCTTCCAGTGCTTAATACAATGCAATGTTCAATTTTTAGTTCACAATGCAAAGTGAATGCAATCTATACCCTTCAGTGCTCACAAGCTCTTTGATTAAGAATTATACATGGTCTGTTATAAATCTCAAAATTCATGGATTAAATTGTAGCAGTCGAAATTGAATTACAGATATGGTGGACATTGAATCATTGCATCTGTTTTCCATCTAAGGAATACTTTAAATCAACCATTTTACGCGAGCAGCTTATTTAAGTGACTTTTGCAAGTTGAAAATAGAAAAAATATAAACCATCCCTAATGTACAAAAGTTGGATTCTTTTTTATATGATTACATCAACATAGATAGTAGAATCAAATGGCTGCTAAATCAGCAAAAAAGAGCTAAAAGCATAAAACAAATATCAATAAAAATAAGTAGTAATACAGTATGGAACAACTGTTTTAAATTTTGCCTGTAGTAAATTTAGTAATATTGTGAAGTAAAATATGCTATTATTGAAAATTATGACATCAATGGTTAATTGCTGCATTCATTTATATTATAAAATGTAAATTTAGCTCAATGTTATACTTCCACTGTTATATGCTTTGCTGCAAAAAATTCTAAATTTACATTAGAGCTTTCTTGTATAAAATGGCAAACCCCATAATTTCATTGCAATTTGATACAGTAAAACATGTATAAAACAATGAAAGTCAAACAATTTCTGAATTTTTTTAAATGATTGATTCAATATTGACAGATGTGCACGATACCCACCACTACCAGCCAACTGTAGAATGGTTTATGATGCTTCCAATCCATGTTGTAAGAAACCAGATTGTTCCAACCCAACACCAAATCCTCTTACACCATCACCAGGAGGACCTAATGCTACTCCTAATCCATTTCCAACACTGGCTCCAAAACTAGGTAAGATAAATTAATCCATTACCAACACTGGTACGATAAATTAATCCATTACCAACACTGGCTCCAAAACTAGGTACGATAAATTAATCCATTACCAACACTGGCTCCAAAACTAGGTACGATAAATTAATCCATTACCAACACTGGCTCCAAAACTAGGTACGATAAATTAATCCATTACCAACACTGGCTCCAAAACTAGGTACGATAAATTAATCCATTACCAACACTGGCTCCAAAACTAGGTATGGTAAATTAATCCATTACCAACACTGGCTCTAAAACTAGGTAGGATAAATTAATCCATTACCAACACTGGCTCCAGAACTAGGTAAGATAAACTCATCCATTACCAACACTGGCTCCAGAACTAGGTAAGATAAATAAATCTATTAACTACACTGGCTCTAAAACTAGTGTGACGGGATTGCTTCCCTTAGTAAATGTGGTAGATACTTAGTCAGCCGTAAGCGGTTGAGCTAAGGAAGTACTTCTTTAGCTCAGTCGGTTAACACGCTGCCTTGTAACACAGAGGTCCCAGTTCGAGTCCGGGTGGAGACATGCGATTTTGCAAGTAGAATCATGCTCTCCGGTTACACTAGGTACAATAAATTGATTGTCTGTTTTTTGCCCTTTGGTTGGATTGTTGTCTCTTTGATGCATTCCTAGTTTCCATTCTCAATTTTATTATCAGAATTTTAACTTACTGCATAAAGAATTTGTATTAGCTCTTTGGTGTAAACTCTCCAGATATGAAAGAGTTTCATTGATTGTTTTTTTCTCCAAAATATCTTTCGGAAGAGAATCAAGAAGTTGGTCCAATCTCTTATAGTGAATACAAAATCTTCCATTTTCTCCCTCTTTAAACATTCTTTTACTATTCATAAGTACCTGCTTATCCAGTGAAAATTGATAAATGTTTGTCAAAGCATTGTTTACTTCCACAACTTAGCTAGTGAAGCTACTCACATTTTGTCTACAGTTGATTCATTTATTTCCGTGGATTGAGGGATACTTGTATTTTCGTGGACATTTGTTTTTGTGGTTTTGCTGAAGTCTGCATACAAGCCTGTAAAAAATGTATACTTTGTTGAACATTTAAATTTGTGGGTCACATTTACATACGAAATTCAGGAAAATTGATATCCCACGAATAATAATGAATCCACAATATAATAAGGTAAGAATTTTGAATGTATTAATTTTTTAACCATAAATAATTATATGATACAATATCATAGACAATCATGAAATAGGTTCTGCAGAGTGTGTCCTGCCTTAAATCATGAAAAGAAATTCTTCCTAATTATCATTAAATTAAAAAGTGACTGAAAAAAACTGATTAATAAAAAAGTCTCTCACATTGTTATTTAGATTATATAAACACATGAATAATATTGATTAATACATACAATTTCAGAGTTCTGTATTTACAATGGTATACCCTACAGACAGGGACAGAGTTGGCAGGATGGTTGTAGTAAGGTCTGTAGATGTGAAGATGCTGCTGCTAAACAAGTCACATGTAATGACAGGTATGATGAAGAATCTTTATTTTCAGTGTCAAGTGTCAAGGGGGAGAGGGGTCATTCTTGCATTTTATGTAGTCCTGTATCATCAAGCAACACAATCATTTAAAATTTGAAAAAAATACATTTAATGTCAATTTTGGTATTGAATTGTTTATCTTATGAGCAAAGCTTCTTTTTGTTTATTTTTTTTAGCTGATCATTTTGCAACTGTGTGTGTTGAGCTATGTTAAACCATCTTAAAATGAGGTTTTCTAATAGGGTAAATTATATTTTTTTATTGCTGTAACTTCATTTTTATTCGTGCGATACCAATTTTCGTGGATTTTGTGGGTATAGTAAACCACAAATTTAGATGTTCAACGAAATACAAATTATATAAAGGTTTGGATGCAGACTTTAGCAAAACCAAAAAAATACAATTTTCCCTCAATCCACAAAAATTGGTATCCATGAAAATAAATGAATCCAGAGGAAAAGTTATCACTTTCAGGTTTTTATGAGATAATCTCTATTGTATGATTCTTTGCACTAATGACAAAGTAAGGAAGAGTTTGTGATTTTACCATTTTTATCACAAAATCTTTAGGAAAAGAGTTAAAGAAATCTTGTGAATAAATTTAACAGAGACATTCAATTATCTACTATTAACACTTAATCCCCCTACAGGACTAAAAATTTAAGATATTACTAAAGACAAGTACCAACTAGGTTCCAGGAGTCGGTTTCACAAAAAAAACTTAAGACTAAGATTGATCGTAAATCATGAACAATTCAGTATACTTACGATCAATCTTAGTCGTAAGTTTTTTTGTGAAACCGACTCCTGACTTGTACTTTTTTTCAGATGTTCAACATACCCACAACTTCAACCAGGATGTACTTACATTACTGACCCAAGTGACCCCTGTTGTCAAGTACCTAAATGTGTACCAACCTCCAATACTACAGTTGTTGTCACTGGACCAAAGGGTACCATTGATGGGTCTAATGTTGTCAAACCAAATCAACCAAACACAGGAATTAATGGCAGATCTAGTAAGTTATTGTGATTTACATTTGGGTCAATAAGCACAATTAATTTCCAGTAGGTGATTTTAAAACAGATCAGTAACTTTGTGAGTGAGGTATTATTCCATATTTACGATTTTTTTTTAAAAACTTTTCTTGATGTCAGCATCAATTCTTTTCTAAATTTAGTAAATGATATCTCAATGATCACAATATCCACTACTACCCTTACAGTCTATGCCAAAATCTTTTATATATACTAGCCCGAAAACTCATTACTACCCTTACAGTCTATGCCAAAATCTTTTATATATACTAGCCTGAAAACTCATTACTACCCTTACAGTCTACGCCAAAATCTTTTATATATACTAGCCCGAAAACTCATTACTACCCTTACAGTCTATGCCAAAATCTTTTATATATACTAGCCTGAAAACTCATTACTACCCTAACAGTCTATGCCAAAATCTTTTATATATACTAGCCTGAAAACTCATTACTACCCTTAAAGTCTACGCCAAAATCTTTTATATATACTAGCCCGAAAACTCATTACTACCCTTACAGTCTATGCCAAAATCTTTTATATATACTAGCCCGAAAACTCATTACTACCCTTACAGTCTATGCCAAAATCTTTTATATATACTAGCCTGAAAACTCATTACTACCCTAACAGTCTATGCCAAAATCTTTTATATATACTAGCTCGAAAACTCATTACTACCCTTACAGTCTATGCCAAAATCTTTTATATATACTAGCCTGAAAACTCATTCCTACCCTTACAGTCTATGCCAAAATCTTTTATATATTACTAGCCCGAAAACTCATTACTACCCTTACAGTCTATGCCAAAATCTTTTATATATACTAGCTCGAAAACTCATTACTACCCTTACAGTCTATGCCAAAATCTTTTATAGATACTAGCCCGAAAACTCATTACTACCCTTACAGTCTATGCCAAAATCTTTTATATATACTAGCCCGAAAACTCATTACTACCCTTACAGTCTATGCCAAAATCTTTTATATATACTAGCTCGAAAACTCATTACTACCCTAACAGTCTATGCCAAAATCTTTTATATATACTAGCTCGAAAACTCATTACTACCCTTACAGTCTATGCCAAAATCTTTTATATATACTAGCCTGAAAACTCATTCCTACCCTTACAGTCTATGCCAAAATCTTTTATATATTACTAGCCCGAAAACTCATTACTACCCTTACAGTCTATGCCAAAATCTTTTATATATACTAGCTCGAAAACTCATTACTACCCTTACAGTCTATGCCAAAATCTTTTATAGATACTAGCCCGAAAACTCATTACTACCCTTACAGTCTATGCCAAAATCTTTTATATATACTAGCCCGAAAACTCATTACTACCCTTACAGTCTATGCCAAAATCTTTTATATATACTAGCTCGAAAACTCATTACTACCCTAACAGTCTATGCCAAAATCTTTTATATATACTAGCTCGAAAACTCATTACTACCCTTACAGTCTATGCCAAAATCTTTTATATATACTAGCCTGAAAACTCATTCCTACCCTTACAGTCTATGCCAAAATCTTTTATATATACTAGCCCGAAAACTCATTACTACCCTTACAGTCTATGCCAAAATCTTTTATATATACTAGCTCGAAAACTCATTACTACCCTTACAGTCTATGCCAAAATCTTTTATAGATACTAGCCCGAAAACTCATTACTACCCTTACAGTCTATGCCAAAATCTTTTATATATACTAGCCCGAAAACTCATTACTACCCTTACAGTCTATGCCAAAATCTTTTATAGATACTAGCCCGAAAACTCATTACTACCCTTACAGTCTATGCCAAAATCTTTTATATATACTAGCCCGAAAACTCATTACTACCCTTACAGTCTATGCCAAAATCTTTTATATATACTAGCCCGAAAACTCATTACTACCCTAACAGTCTATGCCAAAATCTTTTATATATACTAGCCCGAAAAATCATTTCAAGAAAATACTTTTATTATGTCTATGCGTCTAACAAATTTTTAGAAGTTTCACTAACCTGAACCAATGTTTACTAGTCACAGGCTAGGAGTAGTGTTTTTTGTTTTAGATCATACTGTACTTATAATTTAAAAATGTAGGCATATACAACATATATAGATATAAGAAGATGTGGTATGAGTGCCAATGAGACAACTCTCCATCCAAGTCAAAATTTATAAAAGTAAACCATTTTAGGTCAAAGTACGGTCTTCAACACGGAGCCTTGGCTCAAACCAAACAGCAAGCTATAAAGGGCCCCAAAAATTACTAGTGTAAAACCATTCAAACGGGAAAACCAACGGTCTAATCTATATAAAAAACGAGAAACGAGAAACACTTATGAACCACATCAACAAACGACAACTACTGAACATCAGATTCCTGACTTAGGACAGGTGCAAACAATTGCAGCAGGTTTAAACATTTTAATGGTACCAAACCTTCACCGTTATGACCATAAACTTTGATAATTCACTTATCAGCTGCATGTAACTATCATTTTTAGTTCTGATGTATTTGTTGTATGAATTGACTAACATTGCATTGCATATTTTTAGAATGTTTGAACTTTGATAATTCCAGTATTGATAGTTTACTATTGAGCCCCATATACCAGGTAACTATAATTGTATAATTTATGATGTATACATTTTGTATGAAATGATTATAATTCTGCAATTTCAGATGTATGTTTGTACAATGGTAAGATCTATACCCAGGGTCAAAAATGGGATGATGGCTGCTCCTACCACTGTGTATGTCTCGATGCTTCAACAGGACATTACCAATGTACAGACAGGTTAGTGTATAATCTTAAGTTACATTATTGAGAGATCTATTAAGGTAGAATTCTGGATTTATAAATATAATTCCTGTTTTATAATTCTGGTTTTAATTATTTCATTTTTCACTCAATTAAATAAAGTATCATGTTATTACTAAATTTACAATATTTCAATTTATTTTGGTGCAACATCACTAACAATGTCTTGACAATACCTATTATTGTATGATGTCAGAGGAGTAAAATTTCAGGATTTATCTCACATGTGAAACTAGTGGCTTTTATTGATAAGTTTGTTCTTCCACATGTCTGTCCATCACATATTATTTCCTCTCTCTATCTTTAAAACACCTTGGAGTTCAGAAATGAAACATGGCATGATTATTTGCCACTACTGGAAAGTGTGTTGAATACTGTAGATTCATTATTATTCATACGATACCAATTTGTGTTTGTAACGGTAATCAAAGAATTTAAATGATCAACGAAGTAAAAATTTTCTATTGACTTGTATGCAGACTTTGAATATACCACAAAATAAAAAATTTATGAAAATACAATTTTTCCTGCATCCACGAATATTTGGTATCCACGAAAATAAATGAATTCACAGTACAAGGTAGATGACCTTATTTTGAAAGTCATGGTCAAACACTAGTCCAACTTAATAATTCCTCTCATAAGAACCAAAAACGTTTATAATCTTTAAATTTTAAACACCTTGGAGTTGGATAATGAAACATGGCTTGATGACTCAAAACTACATGAAGGTGTGTTTTATACAAAAAAAACTGTTCATTTAAAGTCATGGTAAAATAAAACTCATCTTAATCAGTCCTATGCATATGTACGAAAACAGTTTCCACATTCTAACCTGAAAACCCCTCTTTGGATTTGAAATGATTTGATGTTGTGTATATAGATTTAATGTTTTGTTTCCAGATGCTCTAAGGTACCCCAGCTTCCACCATACTGTACTATGATCAGTGATCCAAAAGATCAGTGTTGTCAGCTTCCATACTGCCAGAACCCACAACCTACACCTAATCCAAACATGAAACCCACACCAGGAGTAACGCTTGTACCAAACCCTAACAATACCCCAGGCCCAACGGTGGCACCTAAACCAAAGAGTAAGTTTTATTTTCTGATTAGATATCAAAAATTATTTTTTTAGGGTTTTTTTCTGTTAAAAGTTCATTTTGTGGTAACGTTTTGTCTCTTCATAAAATTTTCTACATTTTCAAATGTAGAAACTAGAAATCTTTGCAAATGTTTTGGTTTTTTTTTTTTCTCTTTTTCTTTCCACAAAATCTTTTACATTTCATATTTGATGAATTTGAGTGAATTAAAACTCATCATTTGCTTCATCATACACTGTATGTGAAGTATTGTGCAGGTGATATTTTTCAATTGCTGCTGTCATTTGTACATTAGAATTGTTATGAATTGGAATTTATTTTCCAACATTATAACAATTTTTATGTTCTCTTTGCAATTGACAATAAATACTACATAATTGATTTATAAATTAGAAAATGTTGGTTGTGTTTATTAATCTTTCTATGTGATTTGTTGTGGCTTACGAAAGTACTTTCCATTAATAGGCATAGCTATATTGTTTTCAGATCCCAAACCAAAAGAATGAAATATGTAACGATACATGATTTTTACACTTCATAGAGGAGAGGTGAATGCCTTTTACTAATGGAATTCTTTAATTCACTTCCATAGACCAGAAAGTATTCATAATTTGCCAAAAATGTTTTTTTTTCATCAAAGATTTACTATAGATGATATAAAAATAAGGATATATGGTATGATTGACAATTAACAAAAAACAAAATATGATACCTATATGTTTGTGTATAACTTTTCTAGATGTATGTGTGTACAAAGGAAACATGTACCAACAGAACCAGGTTTGGTATGATGGATGTAATGCTAAATGTAGATGTGAGAACTCTAACACAGGATATTACAGATGTCAGGAAAGGTATCGGTTATAACATATTCTGTACAACTACTAATAAGAGAGTAACATGTGCAGATTGGTAAGACGTCTGCCACTGTCTTTCTCTGCTAACTAGACACAGTCTGAATTTTTTTTGCCTTTTTTTTTCTCCTCTCACTGTCCCATTTAGCATGCTTGAGTGTTTTGTTATGAAGGATATTTAGTCAGAAATTTGAACTGTCTGTTTTTCTACCAAAATATCAAATAATAGTATGTTTCAGTCAAAATTTATTTTTGATTAAGGTCATTTACTATAATAAGATGCACATTATAACTCAACCATTGTGAAAGTAAAACAAGCACAGGGGAAAAGTTCAACAGGAAAAGCAAAAATAGCAAAATAGCAAAATATATGTTGCTTTTCTTTAATCTGTTAAAAAAAAGTTGGATAGCAAAATAAAAAAAGAAGATTGAAATTAAGGTAAAATTACATTAAGAAGTTAGTATTTTATTATTCCATTAATTATAATCATTACAACAGAAATCAGTAATCTGTTGACCTTTTTGCTTTTACACTTCAAACTCTTAAGCTTATAGTTGTTGAAATTTAAAGTTTTCTGTTTTTTTTGTAGAATATGTCCTGCAACAATTTAAAAAATATATATCATGCAGAAAATTTAGTCGATAGGTGAAGTTTCTTCTGTAAAGAAAACATTTGATTTTAGAAGTTTCCCTCTGTTTTACTGTGGATTCAGGTATATGCGTGGGTTCCAATTTTATTTCATGGTTCTGACAAAGTTTAAATATATGCCTATAAAAAGCTTGTATTGGTTGAATATTTAAATTCATTGTTCAAATTATCCTATAAAATCGACAACAATTGATATCCCACAAATAATGATTAATTCACTGTACCAGATGAATTTGGTTTTTTGACCATCAGTTATTTTCATTAGATACTAATTACAAATAATTATATACTTCAGATGTGCCAGATACACTGCTATTCCAACAAGCTGTTTATTGGTTGCTGATCCTGCAGATCCAACATGTTGTAAGGTTCCAGAATGTCCTGTCGTACCAACAGGTGGTCCCACACCAACACCAGGATTTATTCCAACCCCACAGACTGCACAACCAGGTATCCTTACAGGTCTTGCTCCAGTCATAACACCAACTCCAGGTGTTACTCTTAGACCTCCTCAACTTGATGGAAGGACCACCTTAGCTCCCCAACCCAAGACAGGTATACTTACAATCCAATTGGATAGATGAAATTTGAGTTTTACGAATTTTCAAAGCATTATTTATTTGAGAATGTTTTCTACTGTGGAAGCACGAAATCAAATATTCATGAAAATACAACTTTTCCTCAATCCACGAAAAAAGTTACCCTTGAAAATAAATGAATCCACAGTATTCATTCAAAAATATGTCTCATTAATATTTTGAAATTGTATAAGTAATCTTAAAAATAAAATGAGAAATTCTTTGAAAGATGTTGAAAACTGTTAAGTTTTTCCTCCTTTTCAGTATGATATTTTTGTTTGTGTGTGTTTTAATCTACAAATACTTTATCCAACATCTTTATAACACAAAATATGTGTGTTAAACAGGCTGTTCCTACAGAGGAATTGTTTACCAAAAAGGACAGAAATGGGATGATGGGTGTACATATGTTTGTGAATGTTTGGATGATATGACAGGTCAATACAGATGTGTTGAAAAGTAGGTCACTGTTTCTCATTTGTAATACTTAGTATTTGGCTGATATGGCAGGACAAAAAAGATGTGTTGTACAGTAGGCCTATGTTTTTACTTTTGTAATGATCTATTTATAGTTAGGTTCAAATTCTTAATAAATTATTAAATTAGGACAGTGTTAGGTTTTGGAAAATTAGGGTTTGCCTCAATATGTAACTGTTACTTAATTTAGCAATTTTATATTTAGCAATGTGACACTATCTGGCAATGCAAATATTTTGACCAGCACTTTTGTATTTTCAAAGTTCTTCTGATTTTAGGAATAATAAAACTGATTAAAGTAATATACTCTGTTTCAGTTCATAGCATGTTATTTTGTTTTCACTCAGATATACTGGTAGTCAATACATGCTTATTGATGTTTTCTGAGACACCCATTAATCAATCAATCAATCAATCAGTGTTACTACTTTCAAATAAAAAATAACAGATCAACATCAACCAGTTGATAACAATATACCATTTTATGTAATTGTATTGAACACTATCAATATACTTAAATAAATTTACTTTTATACCATTGTATGCCTTGTACATGTTTGAATTTTTTGAAAATGTGTTTTTATATGAAATAGTAGGGTAATTTGGGATGGGTGAAACACTCTTGACCAAAATAGGCAGATTGTCAACAGGATTTTATTATAGCTATAATATTATGTATTCCATTATAGGTGTTCTAAGTTCCCCAACTTGGATAGCAGATGTGTACTGATACAGGATCCAAGTGAACCATGTTGTCAGAAACCATATTGTGATTTCGTCAATCCAACACCATTCCCCAACGGTATCCCAACACCAAGACCAAATAATGCTCCTACTCCAAGACCAGGACAGAACACAGTAGCTCCAACACCCATTCCATCCCCCACTCCGGGTAAATGTGTGTACAAAGGTGTGTTCTACTCCCAAGGACAAACATGGAATGATGGCTGTGATTACACATGCCAGTGTGATGATGCAATGAACAACCGATACTCTTGTCATCAAAGGTAATTATGTTCATTTTTATATGAAGTTATGCATCATATTATTATAGATTATCATTAAATTAAGTCTCGTATACTGTGGATTCAGTATTATTCCTGGGGTATTATTTTTTTTGTAGTTCGTGAGGGTAGGTGATCCTAGAATTGAATTGATCGGCAAAATACACATTTCCAATATAGGAAAAGGAGAAGGTCCGATAAGGGCTTATTTTGGCTTAAAATTTGAAGTGCATCTGATGAAAGATTTTTTACATTTTTTAAACACTTAAGTGTCTTCTTCAGTCGATTCAATTAGTTTATGTAAAAGATTTGAACTGATTTGGTCATTAAAGATGCCTAAATTCAAGCTTAAATATGAAAAATCTATCAAATAAGCCACAAAATGTTACTTTTCAGATGGTTTTTGGATAAAATGGAAGTGGCCACATTCGTGTTCAGTCTCAACCTTTTATATATGTTATGTATCATCATCAATATTTAAATGTTAAGACTGAACTCAAGTGCGGCCACTTCATTTTAGACAAAAACCGTCTAAAAATAAGCACAAATGCTAAAATTGTGAAGATTTCAGTGATTTTCCATGAATTAATTATGCTAGTACCTGATGCATGTGCAATGTAATGTAAAAAACAAGTCCATATTTATGTAACAAAAGTATTCTTCTTTCCAATAAATAGCTAAAATGTTATATTTTTAACAAATTTTTGAAATGCTATAATTTGGGGCCAAAAAGGAGTCTTACCGGGCCTACTCCTTTCTTATAGGCTTGCATGCAGAGTTTGTGAAAACCTTAAAGTTAGGTATCGAAAAAAAAACTAGATTTTTCCTTAATCCACAAGAATTGGTACTAACTAAATTAAATGAATTTACAGTAATTACAGAATTTTCTTCAGACTTTTTTTAGATTATTGATAATTTTATGAGAACTGTTTTGACTTATATACATCTTATCATATATATTTATGCTTCTTGTGAGGTAGTTATCTAGATATTTTTGAGTAGTTCAAATGCAATGTTGTTAAGTCTGAATGAAAACATAAAAGAAGGATAACAGATTTTATTATTGTGATTAATAGGTTTGTATTGCAGACTGTGGCAAAACCATGAAAATACAATTTTTTTTCTCAAAACATGAAAATTGGTATCCACAAAAATAAATGAATCCAAAGTATTTATTTGTTTATGATTTTTAGATGTAAAGTCTATAACCAAGTGCCAGCTGGATGTAAACTAAGCACAGATCCAAATGACCAGTGCTGTTTGGTCCCTAACTGTAACATCAACTTGTTCCCAAACACCCCCGGAACAGTTTTAGGAGGTACCACACCTAAAGGTTATACCCTCAATCCTCAATACAATACAGGTCCCTCTGGAACCGGGCCACAGTATATCTATCCAACACCTATCCAACCAGGGTCCTTTGTTGGTACAGGCGGAACTGGAGGACAGAATCCATTAATGCCAAACTCAGGAAACAGTTTCACTGGAAGCAGCAAAGGTATGCTTTATAAGAGTAAACGAAATAGTTACACAAACATCGACCGTGCATGACCCTCATGGGTAGTCAAGGTCGTTAAAAAATCCCCTCGTCGTTTACACATTCGTGAAGAATTGAGCACGAAAAAAGAACAGTAAAATTTGTCATGATTGAAGGTTTTATTTGGATTAAAGAGGTATCCAGGCTTTACAGTCATTCAAATTTTGAGAACGATCATCATACATAGACTTAGAAATCAACCAATCAAAATACTGGATTTGGTGTTTTGAGCACAAATTTTGTACTGAGTGAAGTTTATGACTGAAGGCCAAATTCCAGAGATTATGATGTTTAAGAATATTCATTATGAATTAAAAAGAGATGCTGGGTATATGCCAATGAGACAGCAACACAACAACACAAATAACCAAGTACATCTAGAGGTCAACATACAGTCTCAAATAATAGACAGGTATCTCTTAAGTAGGTCAAACTAAGTTGTCTATATATAAACAAAAAGATAGTGCCAAATGTAGTGTCCCCCTCCTCCTTCAACAGAAGCTTATATGGTCAATGTGTTGTGAAAACTAAATACTTTGAAAAACTGTACATGTGGAAAATATTGTGCGGGGTCATTTTTGCTAATGTACATTGCACAAACATAACCTCCTTACAAATTTTTTGATTAAATCAATAATTGAATGTCAAATGAGCAATTAGTGCTTTAGTTGCAAAGTTAACCCTTGCTCAAAAGGTTTTTGCATTGAAATTGTGAAAATATCCCTGCGTACAGTAAACATTTGACTTATATAAGAAATTGGTCCCTCCTGTTTCCCAATCCTTGATCCATCTCTAATATGTATTGTTTTGGAGTTTTAGATATGTAGTCCCTTCTGTTTTTCTTATCCTTGATCCAATTATAAAATAAGGCTATGACATATAATTTTGAATTCTAGATATGTGTATTTACAAGGGAGTTGCTTACCAACAAGGTGCAACTTGGGATGATGGTTGCTCATACCGATGTGAATGTTTTGATGCTTCTAGGAGACAGTATAGATGTACTGATAGGTAAGTGGACTTGTTACATTGATATTGGGGTATGTAAGTTTAAGTACAGAGAGTCATCAATTTAAATTCAGCTACTGTTAATTCAGAAATTGTTGTGAAGTTTTAATTATGGTGAATATTGTGATGAGATAGGTATTGCAAAAAATGATAAAAGCATTTAAAATTATGTTGGCATTATTTGTATGCTGTATTTTTGAAATTGCAATGATTAATCTCACATTTTTGTACATTATTTAACAATCACACAAATAAATGCATGCACAAATTTCTAAATTTACAGTAGCAATATGGCCACTCAGTCGGTCAAAGGTTTGGGCCTCCAAGGTTTTACATGATCAGTGTTTTGTAGTTAAATTACAGTTTAATTTAAGAACCCTGATTAATATCACTATTTATTCACACTTTTTATTTGCTTGTACCAAAAGTAAAAAACATAATTTTCATATATTTTTTTTTCTCTCAAGAAAACGGAAAAAAGACTAGCTAAATTATTTAAGATTTAACCAATTGACAATAATTTTTATTCTCACATGCTACATAGTTATTTTTAAATTCCAGATGTCCATCTTATCCATTCATGCCACCACAGTGTAAATTTGTCCAGGATCCTAAAGACCAGTGTTGCCAAATGGCCAGATGTGACTCCTTTTACACACCCGTGCCAAATCCTTCCAATACACCAACACCACAGCCAAACACACCCACATTCAAACCAAACACACAGCAACCACAGACAACAAACCAACAGATTGTCATCACACCAGGACAGAATACTGGACATGTTGGTACCAACAATTCACCAACACCAACCGGTAACACAATAACAGGACGTCCAGGTATTAGTCTGATTATTTATATTTTGTTAGAATTAAGGACTATGTTATATAGTTTTTGGAGTTTTTTTATGTTGAATAGATATTGACTATCATAGCTCTACAGCATTCGTAGGTTGAACATAATTTAATCAGGTTCAATTTTGTCTATATTATTTTTAATTGATTTATAATAAAGCTGTTGTTACGAAAGGGCCTTCGAAGGAATTAAGATCAGAATGTAAGATAAAGTTATATGCAACAACCTATTGTAACTGAGTATTTTATTTTTCTAACAGCAAGCTAAAGATTCTGTTAAGTTCAAAATAGAATAGACACCTACATGTAGCTTGCAAGAACATTGGTTAAAAACGTACAACTTATTAAGGGGGTACCCAACACCTTGACTAATATTAATTTGGCTCGTTTAATTTTCATAAAATTTTGACATAATGTTTACTTTGACCCTTTGACAAAAATATAAAAAGATCAAAAAATTTGAACCAACCACATTATCAGAAAAATTTCTTTGGTTATATAGCAGTTTGAAAAACACTAATTTTGTTCATTTAGAAGCTTAATATTTCCTTAACAATACAACGTAATTAAAACGTTTAGCTGATTTTTACAGAGTTATCTCCCTGTAGTGTTAGGTACCACCTTAAATATATAGTAATTTTATATACATTAAAAAAACATATGATGCTGATTTCCATTAATGCTATGCATGTTTCTGGGGAAATGTCCATGACAAAAGTTTGGAAAGGTAAAATTATAAAATAGAGAGCATTAAACCAAACAGACCTATTTAGAACAGTCAAAACCAAAAACCAAACAGACCTATTTAAAACAGTAAAAACCATAAAACCAAACAGACCTATTTAGAACAGTCAAAAACATTAAGATCATCATTGTCTAAGGCAGTTGAATCTTTAATTTTAGTACAATTAAATCAATTGGGATCTTCTGGATTTTATCACATTTAAGCCTAGGAAACACCAGTGCAAGGTTTGACAAACTAAACATTCAGGTCAAATGGGTCATTTGTTATAACAGACAATGTGTTGAGATTATTTTTTGTTAATACATGCTTTGTATGTTTCTGTTCTCCAAAACCAATTGATATTGGTCTGATTTTATTTGATAAGGTGAAAAAATGAAATTTAATCTAATTTTGAAATCATTAAAAGAAAGCTGATAGGTAAATTTTCAACAGCTACAAAAAGGTTTCCTACCGTCAATTGTATTAATGATTTGATATGCCTCAACAGGTTATTGTCTATACAAGAATCAGTTGTATGCTAGAGGACAGAGATGGCAGGATGGATGTAACTACAATTGTATCTGTCAAGATCCTGTAGGAAACCACTTTAGATGTACTGCCAGGTAAATGTTAATACTCTGGGTTCATTTATTTTACGTGGCTACCAATTTTCGTGAATTGAGGAAAATTATATTTTCGTGGATATTGGATTTCAGCGTTTTTCAAAGTTTTCATACAAGGCTATAAAAAATTTGTACTTGGTTTAACATTTAAATTCATTGTTTACCGTAACCCACGAAATCCACAACAATTGATATCCCATAAATTATAATAAATCCACAGTTCTCTTTGTTCGAGTAGGCTAGTAACTAGTACCTTGAAATTATAATACACATGCCTAAAAAGCTGGGTGTTTTCATATTTTTTAGCAGTGTGCTTTTGTGTTTTTGAAGCAGTATGTACCAAACATGTTTGATTCAATACATATGACATAAGTTTTTCTAAGAGCTATTGGAATGACTTTAAATTGGAGAGCCAAAGACAACTAAAATTATTGAGAGCAGAAAACAAAAAATGACCTGAAATAGAAAATTCTAAAAACTAAAAGGATTTGGTAAAATGTAGAAGGTAGTATCTCATATGCAGTTTGCCAATGACTTTGCTCATATGTCAGGACTGTAGAATGGGTATATTTGGACCATGTGCTAAGTCTTCATACAGCTCAACAAACTACTAATTTTCCCATAATATAGGTAATATATATATTTTGTTACTGGGTACTTTTGTATGTTAATGTAAGTCTACAAAATATTTACAAGCACTAGAGAAGAATGAAAACAATCTTAGTTATTTTTTCCAGATGTAAATTCTACTCCAGTATACCAAGCTTCTGTACACTGAAACAAGATCCTACCGACCAGTGCTGTATGACAGTCACATGTATGGCTAATGGACAACAGTTGACACCACTGATCCCTGATGGAAGACCCACTCCTTCACCAACTCTGTCACCTAGCATGATCAATGTTGTACCCCTAGGTACCCATTCTGTCGTCACAGGATCTGGTCTACCACCAGGACAGACACCCGGCATGACTGGAGGAAGAAGTAGGTTATCTTAAAATCCATGGATTATTTTGGACGAATTTTCTGATGGCAGTGGTGATCAAATTTTTTTTATATAAAATTAATTAAGTCATTGTAAAAAATTTTAAGCTGATCACAGAAACTTTGAGTTAACATTACCACATGTAATCATGTTAAAGTTTTTGTTTTAGGTAGTTTATGGTCATATCTGATTGAAACTTTGTTCACATGTTCATTATGAAGTGAACTTTTTAAAACATATGCAAAAATTAGGGATTTGACCCAGACTTTACGGTTCACTGAACTAGGAAATGTGATAGTGTGAGTGGGAATAGGTGTCCTATGGACACATATCCTTGTTCCTTGAGGACTTGGTTAACAGGTAAATGAGATTGGGAATTCATTTTGGTTATATCTATATCATATTTATTTTTATATTACAGGTGTGTGTTTGTACCACGGTAAAGTGCACAACCAGGGAGAGTCTTGGGATGATGGATGTAAATATGTCTGTACTTGTGAAGATGGAAGTACTGGAATGTACAAGTGTACATCAAAGTAAGTACAGATGGTTTGAGGGAAATATGTTTTTAACTTGAAAAGATCACGCATAAGAATGTACAAGTTAGTGACTGCCTATGAGCCAACCATTCAATCCACCAGGGTCCAAATGACATGGATATAAGCAATTATAGGTCACCGTACATGTTGCCTTCAACAATGAGCAAAACCCATACTGTATAGTAAACTATAAAAAGTTCAGACCTGAAAAAATATGCAACAATTCAAACGCAAAAACTGATTTATTACAATACAGTAAACAAGAAAAAAAAAGACAGACAGCAACCAACAACAATCACTGAATTACAAGGTCTTCTCAGTAAGTAAGTAAGTATTATAATTAGAATAGGACAATCAGCTTTTATGATAAAAAAACAAAAGTTATAGAATATATCTTATTTTTTCAGATGTCCATCCTATCCAGCTATACCATCCTACTGTTCCTATACCCAGGTACCAGGTCAATGTTGCCCTTCACTTCATTGTAACAGTCCAACCTTTGGTAACTACAACCCTATTCCTCAACTGATACCCACACCAAGACCAAATATTGCACCAACAGCAACCAACCCATACGTAATTGTACAACCTGGACAGCAATCGGTCACCAATGGTCAAGGTACAGTTGTCGTACCTGGTCAGGCTCTCACTTCTTTCAATGGAAATACAAACAGTAAGTAAATATTTTGAATTGTTTTAATACTGAAAAAGACATTTTTTATTACTTTCAAATGTTTATTTGTTTTTGTTTACTTTCAAAAGAAGTGGTTTCATGTTTGGGCATTCAATATTATGTAGGCCATTTCAGGTACAATCTACTGAAAATCCAGACATTTTTGTGATGATTTTATTATTTTACAAATTGCCACTTGATAACTAGGTTTTACAAAAATAAAATTTTGAATTTTGATAGCATTATTTGTAATCAGCGTTTCCTGTGGAAAATTTTACAAAAACAGTAATATGAAGTTGGAATTTTTGGTATTAGAATTATGCAAATACAATTATAAAGTTGAAACTATTTACAATGGAGGTAAATTTTGTATTCAAGAATTATGTAAATACAATTATAGAATTAAAATAAGTACCAAGGGAGGTAACTTTTGTATTTCAGATTTATTTAAATTCAAGCATAAAGTTAAAATATTTGCAAGAGTAAAGTGACAAGAAAGATAATTTTTATATTTCAGATTTATGTATCTACAAGGGTAAAGTGTACAACAAGGGAGACAAATGGGATGACGGCTGTGAATTCAGTTGCGAGTGTTTAGAAGGACAAAGTGGATTATATCAATGCAAAGCTAAGTGAGTAGAATGTTAAAAATACTTCTAATAAGGTACCGGTACTTGATGTTTTTCAACTAACAAATGTACAGATTTCAATAAAATATGAAAAATAAAAAAAATAAATAAAAACTTTTAATGTCAGTGTATTCACTTATCATTGATACTTTGTAATGAATGACATAAAGGCAAGAGTTGATTATGCAGCTGCAGTGCATGGTTTATTCATTCCATTTCTTGTATATCACAAACATAAATAAAAAATATATTATATATTTCTATGCACTTGAGAGGAATAGTGTTTCTGGAAATGAATTGAACAATCAGATTTCCCTTTCAAAATGTAAAAGAAAATGTAGGAGGTTAAAGAAAGCTTATTTCTCTGCATTTTGCCTTCCATTTAAAAAAAAAATCCACACTATTATTTTAAATTTACAAAATAATTTTTATCCTTGCCAGTTTATCCTTTTAAAATAAATGTTACAAATGGAATATTTATACAAGATATCCAAATATACTCAAAAAATACATTATTATACCCCACACAAATTTTTTGCGACGGGTATAATGTTTTTGACCCATCCGTCCGTCCGTCAGTCCTGTTTCTTGTCATCACAACTCCTCTCAAACCACACAACAGAATTTCATGAAACCTTTTCAGATAATAAGGACATACTATGTAGATGTGCATATCAACAGGAAATTACGATTCAATTTTTTTCCCAGGAGTTGCGCCCCTTTGAACTTATTTGCCCAATATACTACTGCAACCTTTTGTCATCGCAACTCCTCTGACACCACACCACAGAATTTCATGAAACTTTGTAGATAATAAGGACATACTATGTAGATGTGCATATTGACAGGAAATTACAATTCAATTTTTTTTCTAGGAGTTACGCCCCTTTGAACTTATTTGCTTCAATGTACTACTGCAACAATTTGTCATCGCAACTCCTCTGAAACCACACCACAGAATTTCATGAAACTTTGTAGATAATAAGGACATTCTATGTAGATGTGCATATCGACAGGAAATTACGATTCAATTTTTTTTCTAGGAGTTGCACCCCTTTGAACTTATTTACTTTAATGTACTACTGCAACAGTTTGTCATCGCAACTCCTCTGAAACCACACAACAGAATTTCATGAAACCTTTTTAGATAATAAGGACATACTATGTAGATGTGCATATCGACAGGAAATTACGATTCAATTTTTTTTCTAGGAGTTACGCCCCTTTGAACTTATTTGCTTCAATGTACTTCTGCAACAGTTTATCATCGCAACTCCTCTGAAACCACACACCAGAATTTCATGAAACTTTGTAGATAATAAGGACATACTATGTAGATGTGCATATTGACAGGAAATTATGATTAAATTTTTTTTTCTTACACTTATTTTATTTCTCCAATGACAATGTGGGGACGTGGGGTATGTGAGCGCGCTCACTAAGGTTCTTTAATTTCATCCTGCCTTTGCAAAAAAAAAAAAAGCCAGAATGAAATGTAACTAACTTATACAGAATGTTATAATGTCCATTATTATTTCATTATTTTGTAACACTATTTTGCAACACTTATTTTTCTCATCACACAGATGTCCAACCTACCCCAAGATGCCGTCTCAGTGCTACATGGTCAAACCCAATGGTGATTGTTGCTCCAAACCAATGTGTACAGGACCTGATGGAAGCCAAGTCAATCCTCTGTTACCAGGAAGTAAATACCCTGTTTATGGTAGCTATGGAGGAGGATACACTGGATTCAGACCAAACTATACCCCAGGCCAAAACATGGTCTCAGGAAGTAGAGCTAGTTAGTATGAACTCTTGTAGATAGTTGTCTCATTGGCAATCATACCACGTCTCCTTATTTTTATATATTATGATTCAAAAGTTTTGAACCTTTATAGAAATTCAGTTTATGTTCAGCTGGTCAGAAATGCTAAGTTTCATAAAAAATCAAAAAAATCAAATGTTATGATTATTTGTTTGGTCGTAAATGCTTAGTTTTAGTTTTTTGAAAGGGAATGATTCAATGTTAGGTCTGCAGCTTTATAATGTTGAGTTGTAGCGAGTAATATTTATACATCTGCCATGTATCCACTTCCCTGTTTGCTGATAGTTTGAAATTTCACAACACCATTGTACAATGAAAATTTTCTTCAAAGTTTTCTGGGCTTCTATTGAAAGGAATTATTTAGTATTTGGTCTGCAGCTTGGTTATGTTGAGTAAACAATTTTTACATCTGCCATGTAGCCACTTCCTGTTTGCCGAGTTTGAAATTTGATAACACTCATTGTTCAAGGAAAATTTTCGTCAAACTTTTCTTATCTCTTATTGAAAGATATGGTTTTAATGTTTGGTCTGCAGCTTGATGATGTTGAGTTGTATTAGATCTGCTGTGTAGCCACTTTCTGTTTGCCATTAGTCTGAAATTTTACAACACTCATTGTACAAGGAAAATTTTCGTCAAAATTTTCTTGGTATCAGTGAAAGGAAATGATCAGTTATGCTCCAGTATACATATAACCTCAATCAATTGCTTGCAGATACACATGTCCAGACCTGGTATTGGTCATGTTATCAACTTAAAATACTGAGTAAAATTGAGAATGGGAATGTGTCAAAGAGACTACAACCTGACCAAAGAGCAGACAACATTCCAAGGTCACCAATGGGTCTTGAACACAGCAAAAAATCCCTCACTCGGAAGCGGGGCTTCAGCTGGCCCCTAAACAAAAATGTGTACTAGTTCAGTGAAAATGGACGTCACACCAAACTCCGAAACATATAAAAGAACTAAAATTAAAAAAAACATACAAGACTAACAAAGGCCAGAGGCTTCTGACTAAAGGCAAGCGCAAAAATGCAGCGGGGTTAAACATGTTTTGTGAGATCTCAACCCTCCCCTATACCTCTAGCCAATGAGTGTCGTTTTTTTTTTAAAGTTACCAACACTTGAGCGTAATGTCAATTGCATTAATGTGTTCTTGTCCGATGAAATGCATGTAATATTTGCCACTAGACATTAATCACAATCCATCTTCATCAAGATATTTTAAAGTATTTTATGAATTACAGATGTATGTATATACAAAGGACATGTTTACCAACAGAACCAGAGATGGGAAGATGGATGTGACTTCACATGTGTGTGTACAGACTCCACCAAGGGACAATACAGATGTTCATCTAAGTAAGTATTCCATAGATTGTAAGAGTGTACAGACTCCACCAATGGACAATACAGATTTTCATCTAAGTAAGTATTCCATAGATTGTAAGAGTGTACAGACTCCACCAAGGGACAATACAGATGTTCATCTAAGTAAGTATTCCATAGATTGTAAGAGTGTACAGACTCCACCAAGGGACAATACAGATGTTCATCTAAGTAAGTATTCCATAGATTGTAAGTGTGTGTACAGACTCCACCCATGGACAATACAGATGTACATCTAAGTAAGTATTCCATAGATTGTAAGTGTGTGTACAGACTCCACCAATGGACAATACAGATGTTCATCTAAGTAAGTATTCCATGGATTGCAAGTGTGTGTACAGACTCCACCAAGGGACAATACAGATGTTCATCTAAGTAAGTATTCCATGGATTGTAAGTGTGTGTACAGACTCCACCAATGGACAATACAGATGTACATCTAAGTAAGTATTCCATAGATTGTAAGTGTGTACTGACTCCACCAAGGGACAATACAGATGTTCATCTAAGTAAGTATTCCATGGATTGTAAGTGTGTACAGACTCCACCAAGGGACAATACAGATGTACATGTAAGTAAGTATTCCATGGATTGTAAGTGTGTGTACAGACTCCACCAATGGACAATACAGATGTACATCTAAGTAAGTATTCCATATATTGTGTGTGTACAGACTCCACCAATGGACAATACATATGTACATCTAAGTAAGTATTCCATGGATTGTAAGTGTGTGTACAGACTCCACCAATGGACAATACAGATGTACATCTAAGTAAGTATTCCATAGATTGTAAGTGTGTGTACAGACTCCACCAATGGACAATACAGATGTACATCTAAGTAAGTATTCCATAGATTGTAAGTGTGTGTACAGACTCCACCAATGGACAATACAGATGTACATCTAAGTAAGTATTCCATGGATTGTAAGTGTGTGTACAGACTCCACCAATGGACAATACAGATGTACATCTAAGTAAGTACTCCATAGATTGTAAACAGTGGACAAAACAATTTAAAAAAGTTATCTACAAATTTGCCCTCTGCATTGCCTTGTCTTTCTTGAAACAAAAAATCAAAGTTAAGCTGAATATTTCATGTTGTGTAGCTAGCTGAGGATATGTTCCCTATTAATCTGTTCTGAACCTCCTTGAGAATGAGATATTATTTAGGAAATTATTAAGGTTGATATAGAATAAATGAGTTTAACCCTATGGAACAGAAATTTTATTTTAATGAATTCTTCAGGATTGTTTTTCATTGAAATGTCTAAAGTCCATCCAATTTAACACTGTTCGCTGCTCTATTTCAAAATAAAAAGCTTTTTAAGAGACTTTTTTGAATTGATAGTATATAAACAACGGATCAGAATAAGCAGCATGTAGATCAATGAACAATTGGAGGATAATAAATATGATTTCACAAAAAGTTGCATATAATAATATTTTACCAATTAATGCAATACTTCTCACTTCAAATTAATACATAGCAAACATTCTTGATTTGCAGTAAACTTGTCTAACCATGAGCAATTTATATAAGTGCAACTTCTCTGAAATGAGTTTTGATTAAACTTTAATCAATAGTATCATGTATGAAGATTTGCCTGATTTAAATTTGGTCCTTTTGTTTTAATGGGGTTAGTATGACTTTACACTCTTTTTGGGAACTTGTCATTTACTTTTTGTTAACAAACGGTAAGCCTGCTATTCTTTTAACTACTATGCTACTTCTATGGTAAGTTTTGCTACTTCTATGGTAAGTTTTATTGATCATCAGATTTGAATACACTTCCAAAAATGTTAAGAAATAATTGGAAGTAAATACTCTACAGGCAAGTCAAAATGATATTTATCATAATCTCCAAGTAATATCCATCATCAAATTTATTTATAAAATGTTTTTTTTTAGGTGTCCAACTTACAACGCACTTCCATCACAATGTAGAATGTATGATGTGCCCGGAGACTGTTGTAAGGAGGTCCGATGTGATATGAGCCAAGTACCACCAACACCAAAGGTCCCAACACCACAAACAAATACACCTGCTCCACATGTAGATCCTAACTGTTATGATGTACTTGATAACTGTAAGGCCTATGGAAAGCAAGCATGTAGCTCCCAATATGATACCTGGGCTAGGAAGAACTGTAACTTGTATTGTGGATTCTGTAGTAAGTTGTCATCTGACCTTCTGACGGGCTATGTTACTGTGGATTCATTTATATTCGTTGATACCAATTTTCGTGGATTTAAGATAAATTGTATTTTTGTGGATATTTGATTGCGTGATTTTAGAAAAATCTGCATACAAGCATATAGAAAATTATTACTCCATTTAACATTGAAAATTGGTTTTCCCGAATAATAATGATCCACAGTAGTAGGCAAATGTGGATCCAGGATTTTGAAAGTTTGAAAGGGGGGGGGGGGGAAGGGCTAAACGAGTTTGTTTGGAGTGGAACAGGTAAAAAGTCTGCATTAACCATAAATGTAGCTCTATAAGGTGGCCCTGCAGGCCTGCACCCTGGCCCCCCTAAATCCACCTCAGATAGATTTTATGGTATTATCCTGTGTCAATATATATAGAAACTACACAATTACCCCATTGATTATCAAATGTATCCTCTTGAGATGGTGAAATTTTCAAAATTTATAATGCAAGGATATCTAGAAAAATTTTATATCTGAAAATTTAACTTTTGAGAGTGGACAAAAATCATAAATAATAATTTAAAGGTGATTACCTTTGATTTCAAGTGATTTAATAAAAACTCTTGTGTTTAATATTCCAATGAATGCACAGGCAACAATTTAAACTACATATGGTTTATCAAACTGTTCAGAACCAGCAGAAAAAATAAGAGAAAAACAAACTTGCCATGGTGTAACCATTTTTTTTTATATATTTTTTGTCACATTGAAATCACACCATTTAAGGTCAAAAGAAAGACATACTTTTTTATTAAATCTCAATTTTTGGCAAAGCGTGCAATTTGAAAATGAAATGGGACATTGGGGAAATGCAAACATGGGAAAACAAAATGTTTTAAGAAGAATATAAATTTAAATTGATTGATGCGACAATACTGTTTACCATCCATCCCATGAAACCAAGACTAAAAGTATAATTGTTTACTAGAACAAATCCGTGACATCCATTACTGAATTAAAGTACCTATGCCTTATTTTTAGCCTGGATTTTTAGTATTCATATTGTCATCTGATAAAGTAATGCTGATTATAAGGTGCACAGTTTTCTCTGCTTTCAAAATCTTTGTTTGAACCGTCCTGGTGTTCTTAATACAACTGGAAACAATACAACTGGAAACTACATGTGACATATGCTATTGGTGTCGGTATCATTCGACCCAGAACTTGCTCATTATCGTTAATATTAATTACATGGAAAACAAAAGGCCTGGAATGGTGTAATTTTTAATCAACACTATTGTCCTGTATTAGTTATATTTAAAGTTGAATTTAGATTGGTCGTGTTTACGTCATGTCGGCTAACATATTGGACCTCGTTATTTTAGTGGTATAGATAATACATTCTTAACTGTAATTCTATATATATTCTAGATCCATCATTTACAAATGCTCCAAGAATATGTGCAGATAAACTTCCAAATTGTCCTGCTTTTGGAAAATCAGCTTGTCAAGGACAATACAAACCATGGGCAGAAGACAACTGTGCGCAATATTGTGGACTTTGTAAGTACTATTTAAGTCACAGATGTCAACTTTTTAAACCTCCAACATTGGAGATATCCCTTTGAAGAACATTTTATCCAGGGGGCTTATTTCTAGGGAGCTTTTGATAAAGAAAACAATGAAGATGGGTTGAATAAAGCAATAATTGCATAAAAAATTAGTTTTGATCAAGGTTGTTTAGAGATGAAAATTTATGTTGTTGAATAAACTCTCTGGTACCATACAAAACTGTGTCATGTGTATACAGTACATTTAAAATGATAGTGTCATTATACAAAACTGTGTCATGTGTATACAGTACATTTAAAATGATAGTGTGGTTATATAATTATCCTCAATAGATGTAAGAAGATGTGGTATGAGTGCCAATGAGACAACTCTCCATCCAAGTCAAAATTTATAAAAGTAAATCATTATAGGTCACAGTACGGTCTTCAACACAGAGCCTTGGCCAACTCCAGTCTTTATTGACAAGGATTGTCAGTTTTTATGTCAAAGGTCGTGGTTCTCTCTGGGCACTCCAACTTCCTCCATCAATAAAACTGACTGCCACAAAAAAGCCAATAGTGCTGAAAGTGGGTTTAAACACTAATCAATCAATACAATTATCATTAAAGAAGAAAGATTAAATTGTTCTATTTTTCAAAATAACGATAATTTAACATTATATTTTTCAACAGGTCCTGGAACTGGAACTGGAACTGGAACAGGTGGGAGTGGAACCACTGGCCAGTGTATTGATAAAATTACCAACTGTAATGAATTCGGACAGTATGCATGCAAACAACCATACCTCGCCTGGGCTCAGGAGAACTGCCCTAGATACTGCAACTTCTGTAGTAAGTTTGATGTAATGATAAATTGTGCATGTTGTATTATCCAGGAAAACTTAAATACTGTTGATTTATTAATATTTATGGGATACCAATTTTCCTGGATTTCATGGGTATAGGTAATCCACGAATTTAGATGTTCAACGAAATACAAATTATCTATAGGTTTGTATGCAGTTTTTGTCAAAATTATGAAATTGAATATCCACGAAAATACAATTTCCCTCAATCAAGGAAAATTGGTACCTACGAAAAATAAACGAATCCACAATATTTGTAAAGATAGATATTGGTCGATCTGATTAAAATACAGGTCCTGTGACCACGTTTCGCTTACAATGATCTGACCATGCTCTGTTCTACTCTCTGTTTTAAAGATCTTTTGGGATCCTCTTGTTTTATTGTAACGATACACACATTCAAAAAATTTGAAGGCAGGAATTGAAATGGCTGATGTTGTTTGATGTTATTTTTAACAGAATATAAAATTGATTGTTGTTAGAATTTTGTAATAATGTTGAATTTCTAAAGAAGACTCAGAGAACAGGAAAAACTATTGATAGATGCAAGACATAGAAACCAAACAAAAACTCTTTTGTATACTTTATTTAACTGAAATATGCTAATCTTGCATCAAAACCAAGTTTGACCTCAATATTAAACCAAGCTAAACATATATATTAATCCAAGCTAAACATATATATTAGTCCGACCTAAACATATATATTAAACCAAGCTAAACATATGTATTAAACCCAGCTAAACATATATATTAATCCAAGCTAAACATATATATTAACATAAAAAGCTTCTGTTCATATACATGTTGCTCAGATAGAATCTGGTTCCAGGTAGTTGAATTCTACCTGCTCAATAAAAATATGAATCTTAAAAAAAAATTGTATACTTCCTTTTGTGTCTTTCACAGATGGCACAGGTACTTTTGTAACATCTCAACCACATGTGGCACTCCCAGGTCAAGGTAAAACATTAAATTAACTTATTTGATTTATTGGAAGAGGAGGGAGGGCATTAACAAGTATTTTATCGTTTCAACTTTCATGGGTTATCTCCCATTTTCATGCATTCTCTCCAATTTTTCAAGAGTAATCTTTTATTTCAGTATGTGAATTACATTTACTAGCTGTAACAGACAAAAGGTAATGATTTAACAGTATAAATCATCTACTGTATTGACAAAATTAAATTTTGTATATTGAATATACCCATATATTAATAAGAAAATGTGGTATGATTGCCAATGAGACAACTATCCACCAAAGACCAAATGGCATAGATGTAAGCAACTAAAGGTCACAGTATTTCTATAATCTTATATATAATTACAGGCTGGATGATCATGATGAAGGGTGTGGCTGGTGTACCAGGTAATTTGTACCAGATATGGCAGAGCCCGGCCACAGTGAACCAGAATGTACCACAAGCCATGTATCTTACTGCTCAATATCCAGGACACTACAAACCAGACTTGGCTAATCACTGGTCACAACTCTGTATAGATAAGGTATGTTCCTTACTCCTCATTACTTTGAACGAATTTGTATTGTCCAATTTAGTTCTTTCCTATTTCGAACATTGTAGTCAATATTTTAAGCTCAACTGGCCTAAAAGGCCTGCTTTTTGCCATATCTTGCTGTTCTAATCTGTTCACCAATCTTTTATTGTAAATTTGTTAAAAATTGTCCAACTCTAAAACTAGTGGACCAAATCTTACCAAAGTTGAATGTTCCTTAGGGAATCTTATTTCAAATTTTTATCCAGACATTTGATCCATCATCGAACATGGCCGCTGTTGCTAAAAATAGAACATAGGAGTAAAATTCAGTTTTTAACTTGTATCTCTAAAATATAAAGCGATTAATGCAAAACTGATGGTTGTTCTTGATGGTCACTGGTCACGTTATGGAGGTAGCCATTCTTCAGCAGTGATTTAACATAAAATAATTCAATGCTCAAGGTTTCTGTCCTTATAGAATGGATTGTCTTTGGTAAGGGGATTACATAAGAGGGATATTATTGTACTTATTGAAATCATTGAATAAAGAAATTTCCTTCCTGCTTTGATAATTTCTATAATTTGATTACAGTAGATTTATGATATTTGTTGGGGTACTTATTTTCTTTTCTGTAAATGTTGACTACAAGTTCAATTGTGAAATAAAAATTCTTTTTCGACTTCTATGGAAAATCAAGTGTCCATAAAAATACAAGTTTTCCTAGATCCATGAAAATTTGAAACCACGAAATAAACGAATCTACAGTACTACAAATTTGAAATCATTTCATGGTTGATTGAACAATAATCAGAGCTCATGACAGTTTAACACAGAATGGTAGCTTTTAGAGGTTTTTTTTTATTTTTGATCATACAATTTAAGGCATTCAACTAAATATAAATAAAAGTGGAATGGGGGTATATTTTAATGGGACAACAAATTAATTAAAACAACCAAAGGACATTTGGAGGTCATGCAATCTTTGACATTACAAAGTATCTCTTCAATATGCTAAGCTCTAAATTGCAAAATTGTGTAATTTTTTATTTTTTTTTTGTTCGTCAAATTGAATTTAAAATGCATAAAATCATTTAAAAAAATGTAATTGTGTGCCATGGCTTTATAGGTGAAAGTTGCAATTTACAACAATGGGGTAGAGAAAGCCAACATTATATTTAACGCTGTTGGTGCTGACAAGAACAATTGGTTTGACAAGAGCAGAATCATCTCCTCTACATACACAGATATACAGAATGCTCCTACAGAATTCTTCAGCATGATTGGGTAAATATATTTATGCGAAAAATTAACGATTTCTTTTATGGTAATATGGACCAATGTCTTGCAAAAAAAGGGGGGGGGAGGGAGAGTGGGGGGGATGGGGTAGTAGGATGGTGTGAATAGACATTCTGAAAACTGTCCTTCCGCCCCTCTTGCTTGTTAACTCAAATCTGCAATTTAAAAAAATATCTTAAGCATTGTTGGGTAGTCATGGTCATTATTTTTCTTCTGTTCTTCATTTTCATTTGAGGCCCTGTATAATGGATAGCAATATGCCCTCATTATGACTCAGTGAAAAAGAAGCATGAAATGTAGATAGTTTTTACTGTTGTTTTATAAGATAGATGTTCCTTCAAATTGAAATAAATACATATAATATTTCTGTAAAGTTTATGTTATAATTATTTTTTACTGTAAATATTTTTAATACATTTATCCTATTTCTTTTCATTTTTATAAAATTGGTTTGGATTTTTTTACATTAAATAGTAAAAACAAACACAGGCATACCTGCCAACTTTTCAAAACTATAAGCACAAGAGGACCTAGAGCATGTTTTATACATGTCTAAAGTGTATATTTAATAAGATATACTATGATTTTTAAGGAGTATATATGTACTTAATGCCATTAAACTCATTTGAATAACTATTTTGAGGTATTGTTCATATACCGTAATGGAGGATTTGAATAGTCAGGCCAGCCTCTCTCATGGGGGATATCCCCTATAAATCGGCAAAAACATTATCATGAGGTACATTTTTTTGTACACATTTTGAAATACAGAATTTATAAACAGAAATTATGTGGATTTTTTCCACAGCCAGTATTGTAAGGTTTTACCAGATGTATTCAATGTAAACCGATTTTACTGTGACTTACACTGAGTATTAATGAAACAGAGCTACAACCAATTACAAGGGGTCATATGTTAGGCAAAACTTCTTAACCTACTCCATATGCCTTTGTTTTCTAATTGCATTTTTCATCCTTCCCTCATGTGCAGCTTTTTAGATCTTACCAACTGATGTTTTGGTTAACTGGTTCTTGTTTTAGAATTTGTCACTGGACATTAAACAAGAAATAGTCATATTTTAAGCAGATAACCCTTGAAGAAACAGATTACATTGGTGATAATTTATTTCTTTCTATTGAAAAAATCAACCTCAATCTCATGTTGCAGAATATTTATTTTTCAATATTTTTGAATATTCCCTTTCTCTCTTTACATTTTCTGTTTTCTATTTTCTTCAGAGATATGTCAAGTGGAAGACAATTTTACATGAGTAGCAGTTCCAACAATAAATGTAATTCTAATGGTTGGATGATGGTATCTACCCAGAATAATGGTTGTCCATATGAGACCAGTAGTGGTACAAAACCAGCGTTCTTATATGCTCCTGGTAATACCATGTCACACTGGAGTCAGAGTAAGAATTTTACTTTATATCAAGACCTGTTCTGTTTCTGAAGCTATTCCAGACAGGTTCCTACTTTTATATAGTCTGATAAATAAGATTAAAAATGGATTTATTTTTCATGATGACAGGTGTTAGCACAATCTAAATAATGATGGTGGTTAATAGATTGATTCTGAAATTCAACTTCCATTTTGTCAATTACATCTCGGCATTCTATTGTAGGTGAAGTCATGCATTTTTGCCATTTCTGCAAGTGAATGTATTGATCCAGTGAAGTGTTTCAGTAAAATAAGACAAACTTTTTTCAAGCGTTTACCAAATTAAGTTATCCATTTATCCACCAGTACAGGAAGGAAGGTTTTTCCTTATTTTTGTTGTTGACACAAATGAAGTCATCTGACCTTATAATTAAAAAAGAAAATTCTACAACATGATCATTTCAACAGACGCAAAATCTTATGGTTTACTGGTATTTCAATAAAGGCTAAGTTACATTTAATCATGATATTGAAATAAACAAAATGTTTAGAATTGTAGATTTCAAAATTGCATCATAGAATGTTTTACCTAAATTTATATGGCTTTTTTTTTCTACTCTTTCGTTAAATTTTCAAACACTTTTGATATAACTACATGTAAATGTATCTTTAACGAAATGGCCAAAATCTGCATTTTTCTGTTTTTTCCCTTAATATGAATATATAATATGCAATATATTTATAAGAGCTATTTTTAATTACTTTTACAGCCAGTGCAGGCAAAGGAGATGTGTTTGCCATCCTTGCCCATCAAGATTGTTCTATAAAATCTACACCACAACCCGGAGGAATTACTGGAACAAGTAAGTACATCATTAAGATTGTTCCATCAAATCTACACCACAACCCACAGGACTTATTGGAACAAGTAAGTACATCATTAAGATTGTTCCATCAAATCTACACCACAACCCACAGGACTTATTGGAACAAGTAAGTACATCATTAAGATTGTTCCATCAAATCTACACCACAACCCACAGGACTTATTGGAACAAGTAAGTACATCATTAAGATTGTTCCATCAAATCTACACCACAACCCACAGGACTTATTGGAATAAGTAAGTACATCATTAAGATTGTTCCATCAAATCTACACCACAACCCACAGGACTTATTGGAACAAGTAAGTACATCATTAAGATTGTTCCATCAAATCTACACCACAACCCACAGGACTTATTGGAATAAGTAAGTACATCATTAAGATTGTTCCATCAAATCTACACCACAACCCACAGGACTTATTGGAACAAGTAAGTACATCATTAAGATTGTTCCATCAAATCTACACCACAACCCACAGGACTTATTGGAATAAGTAAGTACATCATTAAGATTGTTCCATCAAATCTACACCACAACCCACAGGACTTATTGGAACAAGTAAGTACATCATTAAGATTGTTCCATCAAATCTACACCACAACCCGGAGGAATTACTGGAACAAGTAAGTACATCATTAAGATTGTTCCATCAAATCTACACCACAACCCACAGGACTTATTGGAATAAGTAAGTACATCATTAAGATTGTTCCATCAAATCTACACTACAACCCACAGGACTTATTGGAATAAGTAAGTACATCATTAAGATTGTTCCATCAAATCTACACCACAACCCACAGGACTTATTGGAATAAGTAAGTACATCATTAAGATTGTTCCATCAAATCTACACCACAACCCACAGGACTTATTGGAATAAGTAAGTACATCATTAAGATTGTTCCATCAAATCTACACTACAACCCACAGGACTTATTGGAATAAGTAAGTACATCATTAAAAGAATGCATGGCAGTTACATATTTCTTCTAAATGAACAAACAATTTTTTTTTTAATTATATTTTAGATCACAATAAAACGTCTGTATTCCTAAGATCTGAATTTATTTTCACAGCACACGTTAGATCATAAATACCTGGGAGTAAGTGAACATATGAAAATGAATTCTCAATTTAAAGGAATTATTGTTTAGAATCAAATCAAGATCAAATTGTTGCCATGAAAAATAAATATTGAAGGATACTGTAAAACATCTCATTTTGATGGATACTTTTTTTGTATTTAGCCCTTTCTAGCGGAATTCTCAGGGATTTATTTTCCAGATTTCAACTTTGATGATAGATTCTTTTAACAAAAGATGGAAGTTTGACATATACACAAAACCAATGTAAAGAACTCGCCTGTGACAATTAGTTGGCTTAAAATATATATTTGGCTCATTTTTTTTCAGCTACAGCCTGTATTTACAAACAAAATATATACAGACAAGGAGAGCACTGGGTAGATGGTTGTGATTATAACTGCACATGTGTTGACGAGAATGCTGGACGTTATGTCTGCAACAGTTTGTAAGTTTTTTCACATATTAATGTGATTAAAACTGTAATGTGTTGAAGAGCAGAATATGTGTTACATTTGTAGTAGTTTATAAGTTTTTTTGTACTGGTTCTTGTGATTATAGCTACATGTGTAGAGACGGCCAGACTGAACATCTGCAACAGCTTGTACATTTATTGTACTAGATAAATGTGATTATCACTGCACATGTGTTAACAGACTTATATATCTTTAACAGTTTGTTTATTGAAAAAAATGCACATGATTACATGAGATTATGTGTTATTGAGTAGGCAGAATATTGTCTTTAACAAATTTTAATGTGTAAACAGCCCCTTTTTTAAACTCCTAATTCTTAGACGATTAGACCTTTCTTATTCTTTGAAAGGGACCAGGAGCATTTTGTGCTATACTGTTACTGCCTACCATTAGATCCAACCCTAACTCAAAGCTTAGCCTCACTCTCAAGCCAAACCTAACCTTAACATTAATCTAACTCATTCCTGTCTGTTAACTGGAGCACAACACTTAAGTACTTGAACCCCTCAATAAAAAATGGGAAAAATTTATGACCACTTGAAATTTTGGAACTAGGATTAAGACAGTTTGTCTACTGAAAAGCTAGTTATTTTTTTTTTAAACCTTTATATAAAGAATAATGAGTGTTAATAAATGATATTTTATTTTTTTCCAGATGTCAAACATACAACAGTTTACCACCAGGTTGTACTTTAACCAAACCAGCAGGACAATGTTGTTCATTCCCAGACTGTGGTAACGGTATAATCACGAATGGACAGCTTACAGGTATACTTCAAAAATTAATATGACATTTAGAACCTTTCGAAATTTTGGGTCCTCAATGCTCTTCAACTTCATACTTTATTTGGTCTTTTTAACTTTTCTGATTCGAGCGTCACTGATGAGTCTTTTGTAGACGAATGGCGTGTCTGGCATACTAAATTTAAATTCTAGTATGTATGATGAGTTTAGTATTGTAAATATCTGAAGGCCAACAAGTTTCCTGTGTTCCAAGCTCTTTTCTGGATTCAACTTCATTAAAGGGATATTTAGTATATAGCAAATACAGTGTTAACTGTTTATTCATCTTCTGACAATCTGTTATCAAGAACTATTCTCTTTGTATAAAACTGGCCTTAAGTGGACATCAAGTCAATCGATCAGAATATACTCTTATGATTTTATTATTAACACTATGTTAATGAATAAAAGGAGATGTGGTATATACATCAATTGGACAACAACCCAGTAACCAAAAGCTAAAGACTTTTAGACAATACCATTCTGTTTTCAACAATAGACAGGTGTTTTTAAGCTCACCTTTCCAAAGGAAATGTGAGCTTTTGCCATCGCTTGGCATCCGTCGTCATCCTACGTCCGGTGTAAACTATTTCAAACATCTTCTCCTCTGAAACTACTAAACCAATTCCAACCAAACTTGAGCGGAATGATCCTTAGGGTATCTAGAATAAAGTTTGTGTTTTATTTTCTGTTTTGTCAAAATACATGGCCACCATGGCTAAAAATAAAACATAGGGGTAAAATGCAGTTTTTGGCTTATATCTCAAAAACTTAAGCATTTAGAGAAAATCTGACTGGGGTAAAAATGTTCATTAGGTCAAATTCTATCAGCCCTGAAATTTTCAGATGAATCTAACAACCCATTGTCCATTAATTGGTAATTTTAAGGAAATTTTGCACTGTTTGGTTATTATCTTGAATATTATTATAGATAAAGATAAACTGTAAACAGCAAAAATGTTCAGCAAAGTAAGATCTACAAATAAGTTTTTTTATGACCAAAATTGTCAATTGACCCCTTAAGGAGTTATTGTCCTTTAAAGACAATTTTTCACAATTTGTTCATCTAGTTTGCTTACTTTAAAAAATCTTCTCCTTTGAAACTGCTGAATCAATTTCAGCCAAACTTGGGCTGAATGAGTTTCAGAGTATCTAGTATAAATTTTGTATTTTATTTCCTTGTACGTCAAGAAACATAGCCACTATGGCTGAAATGGAACATAGGGGTAAAATGCATTTTTTGGCTTTTGAAGAAAATATGACAGCTACAAAGAACATTTAAATGGCATTTTTAAGCTACTCATTAATATATATTGAAAAGCAAAAATAATCATTGATGAAAGATTTAAGCAAAAAATTACAGGTGAGCGATTCAGGCTCTTGAGAGCCTCTTGTTTTTATATGTAGAGCTTTAAATCTTATTAAGTACAATTATTGTTAAATCGTTCAAGATAAATTTATTACTTTTCTCTTATCGACCTGATTTGTAAGTTTGTATTCTAATTCAAATGTAACCTTAGCCACCAATGTTTCATGAAACAAAAAGACTAACTAAAGAAAAAATGAAAGTAATTTTGCTTGTAGAAATTTAGGTAGCAGAGTTCAAACTTCCTTGGAGGATTATTTATTGTCTTCAGAAAACTATTAATTTAATGACTTTTAATTTGTATTTATGTATTTATGATGTGATAAAAGACTGATTGGGTTAATGTAATTATAGTATACATCACTTTGTTCTTTCAACGAAATTGTGAAAACAGTTTTGGGCATATGAACAAAAATGGTTGCAAGATTTGCCTTTAGAATTGTGTATTTCGTCTCTTAAGGAATCTTGTTTGAATCTGAACAAGACATATATAGAATGTCAGAAATGCTAGCAAGATTTGACTTTAGAATTGAATATTTTGTCTTTTTAGGAATGTGTGTGTATCAAAACCAGACATATAGAGAAGGTCAGAAATGGTCTGATGGATGTAAATATAACTGTGAATGTACAGATGGCACCCATGGTAGATATGTTTGTAAAGACAAGTAAGTATCATTATCCCAGTCATGAAATTTTTGGCACCTGAATATTGAATTATAATATGAGCTGCATCAGATAGAAATCATCCTTATGCAAATGAATATCAATAAATCTGTTAATTTATTTTGGGTTGAAAAAATTTCTACTGATAGTCTAACTGTTTGAAAATTGAGTTGTTATAAAGCACCCTACAAAACAGACCAAAATTTATCCTTTATTTCGTATTTGAATGTTCCAAAATCAATCAAAGTCTTATACATGTACATGTATACATACATACACTTGCATAAAGTCAATTTCTATCTGAAGCAGCTCATATGTATTATTCTATTTGAGATTGACTCTCACAGGGGAACTGACATTTAGTTTTTTTTTTATATGTTAGTTGGAGGTAACTGGATTTTATTGTAATTTTTCTGTTAAAGTGTGGTCTGTGCAAAAATAGGCGTCATATACCATTTCTACTTACGGTAAATGGCATACTGTTTATTATTCTCAGTATATTATAAAAGAGAAACCATAGTATATGATAAGCAGCTTTTTCTCAGTTTGTTGAGAGTACAAATGAATTATACATTTTCAAACGATGTATAAATCCCGAAGTGTTTAGTTATTTTACACAAATTTAACAAGATTTGGTATGATTGCCAATGAGACAACTCTCCACCGGAGACCAAGTGATGTAGAAGTTAGCAGCTAAAAGTCACAGTATGGCCTTCAATAATGAGCAAAACCCATACAGCATAGCAAGCTATAAAAGGCTCAAATGCAAAACAATTCAAACCAGAAAACAGTTTTTTTTTAATTGTATTTCAAAGATATTGCTTGGGTTAGGGCCACAAAGTAGACTGTTATTTCAACAGTAATTTGACTATGACTGTTTGCCCATAATAGAGTCAAAATACTCAAAAATAATACATATTGTAGACAGATATGTTGCATTAGAAATATTTGTATGGTAAAATACTGTGGATTCATTTTTTTTCATGCTTTAAGAAAAAATTGGATTTACATTGATACTTGATATAGGGCTATTCCATTAAAATGTATGTGGGAGGGTAGGAAGGGACTTTCAAAATATCCCTACAACCAAGAACCATTTTTTTGATAATTTTGCATAATGGTAATAGACGAATACTGAAAAAAGACCCATGACCCACATTCAATAATTAGACTTCCCTTCCTACCCTCCCACATTCATTTTAATGGAATAGCCCTCAGTGGTTTTACCGAATTCTGCATACAAACCTTTAGAAAATTTGTAATTTGTAAAACACTTACTGTAAATTCCTGGTAAACCTTTACGCACAAGTTCTATGAAAATTGGTACCTCACAAATGATAATAATTCCACAGTATAAGTAGCTGATTGAAGCATAAACTAAATCATTATCATCTTATTTTACAGATGTTATACATGGAATTTACCAAATGTATGTACATTAGATCCACCAGCGGCAGGATTCTGTTGTTCTACGCCTAAATGTCCAGACTATGTACAAATAACATACCCACAAGGATATGTCAAACAATAGTGTAGTGTTACCACATAGAACCTTAACTTATTAGAACAATTCATTAAATCCCATTGTTATCATTTTCTTTTGTTTTGTTTTATTTTAAGTTGCCTTTATTTACTCTGTACAATGGAGGAGAAATAAAATCATATCTGTAATACCAGTATTACTGTAAATTCAGAAATTATTGCCTGCATTTATTATTGTGATTTTTGAAGAATGGACACAAATGTGAGATTGATTACAGAGGCGGATTTAGAGGGTTTTTCAGGGGGCCCGGGCCCCCCCCCTTTTTTGGGAAAAAATTTGGTTGATTATATTGGGAATCACTGAAGCATGACTGGAGAGGCCCCCCCCCTTATGAAAATTTCTGGATCCGCCACTGGATTATTGCGATTGTAGGAAAACTCCATACAGATATATGTATCAGAATGTGAGTTCTTATTATTGCAATACCCACTCAGAAGCATCAATAAAAACCTCACAATAATTTCAGAGTTTACAGTACTTAAATTTTACTACAGTAAAAAATCACTCATGTACAATAATTCAACTGAGCCCAGTTTATAAGCTGTTGGTTTATTTTCCTCTATTTTGTTAAAAGAATCAGTGATCCTATTGATAAAACTTTTATGCCCGTGCAAGTTAGCCATAATTTGTGATGCAACTTACAAACAGAAACATATCACATATTTTATCAATGTGGACCTTTGTAAGAATGGCATGTTCGTTAGCTATTTTGGACTTTGAATATGTTAGATGATATCCAGGGAAATATATTCATTCTAGAAATCTAATCTATGGCAAATGCTCTTCTTTTACCCTTGTTGCAATAAAATATTTAACTATAGTCTGTTTTGATCTTCATTGCATTTAAAGAACATTGTACCGAAATTTTCACAATCACGGTCACATAATCTTATCAACTCCCATTCTGATATCTGTATGTAACTTTTCTAAAATCACAGTTTTGTTCATTCTTCAAATATCGCAATAATAAATGCACACAATAATTTCTGAATTTACAGTTATTCATATCAAGAGATATGCAACAAATGACCATAGATACATTTATAATAGAAACACAAAGGATATCGGATATCCATCCATGACACAAAATCAGTCCATGCACAGTAAAAAAACACGAAACTAGAGGCTCTAAAGAGCCTGTGTTGCTCACCTTGGTCTATGAGCATATTCAACAAAGGACACTCTCCATTGTAGACGAGAACAAATTCATGACAAAAATCTCTGTTTTGTTGATCTTGTATTGCTGATCATTTAGTCTGTTTAGTTTCTCTCCATCATCTTTAGTTTTTGCTCATAACATAAGAGGGTAAAAAAAATCCTTGTTTAAGGGCAATCACTCCTATAAAGAGTCTACTCGCTATATCGCCAAAATTTGACTTGTTAGTCGATCTTGCTTGTTGATCATTTTTGTGATTTAAAGTGTCTATCTATTATAATTTTTATCATATAAGGCAAAACGCAAAAAAAATGGTAAATATCGTCTTTAAAGGGCAATAACTCCAATAAGGAGTCATCGGACGATTTCCTCCATTTTGTCTTAAATGTAGATCTTGTCTTGCTGATCAATTTCGCTTATTTAAGTTTCTATCTATTATAATTTTTAAGATATGAGGCAAAAATGAAAAGAAATGGTAAAATTTGTCATTTAAGGGCCATAACTCCTATAAAAAGTCGTCTGACAGTTTTGACATATATGTGCAACTGGTAGAGCTCAAAATTCTGAACATATTTCCCCTGTCAGATTTTCTCTATAACAGTTTTCAGAATAATAGACAAAACTTGCATTTTACCCCTATGTTCTATTTTTAACCATGTTGGCCATCTTGGTTGGCAGGCGGGGTCATCAGACACATTTTTTTTAAACTAGATTCCCCAATGATGATTGAATCCAAGTTTGGTTAAATTTGGCCCAGTAGTTTCAGAGGAGAAGATTTTTGTACAATTTAATAGACGCCAACGTAAGCCATGTGAAGAGAAAAGCTGACACAGCCCTTTGGGCCAGATGAGCTAAAAAGCAAAGGAACAGCACTTTTATTGCTGTTCTTCATCTCAAAGTCACAGTGAGGCCTTCAACACGGAGCTAAAAAAATTCCCACTTCACAGTGCAAGTTTAAGACAGCCCATAGCACCAATTTGGACCCTTCATTACATTTGACATACTGGCCTAGTTGACCAATGGGCAATGTAATGGGTGTTGTGTGTAAAGCAGGACGTCTTCATAAACATAAGATATAGCATTATTGCCAATGAGACAACTATCTACCAGACTAAATGTTGTAGATGTTAGCAACTATAGGTCACTGAACAGCTTTCAAAAATCAGCAAAACCTGTACTGTATAATTAGCTTTAAAAGGCCCTGGCATGAAAAAATGTTAAACAATTCAAACCAGAAAATAAACAGCACGATATATGAAAATAATTATTTATAAAGACAGACCGCAACCACTGAATTACATGCTGGAATCATGCACATGATTGAGCAACACAGTCTTCCGACTTGGTTTACCAACTTTAAGTCACTACTCCCAAATTAGACGGAAGTTCAAATTGTCTGAAGCTTATTAAAGTGTTTGTTTGTATGGGTCTTCTTGTTTGCCCTTACACCTGGGTCATTTTTTTTCATTTGTAAAGTTTGTGAATTGTTTTATGGGTTGGGAGTTTTTATTCCCCTTTTTAGCTCACCAGGGCCCAAAGGGCCCCATGTGAGTTTATACCATCACTTGGCATCCGTCGTCGTCTGTCGTCTTCTGTCGTCGTAAACTATTTCAAAAATCTTCTCTGAAACTACTGGGCCAAATACCTTCAAACTTTAACTAAATGTTCCTTAGGGTATCTAGTTTATAAATTGTATCCAAAGTTTTGATCCATCGACAAACATGGCCGCCATGGCTAAAAATAGAACATAGGGGTCAAATGCAGTTTTTGGCTTATATCTCAAAAACTAAAGCTTTTAGAGCAAATCTGACATGGGGTAAAATTGTTCAATTGGTCAAGATCTATCAGCTCTAAAATTTTCAGACGAATTGAACAACCCGTTTGTTGGGTTGCTGCCACCGAATTGGTAGTTTTAAACAAAATTTTGCAGTTTTTTGTTATTATTTTGAATATTATTATAGATATATATAAACTGTAAGCAGCAATAATGTTCAGCAAAGTAAGATCTACAAAAAAGTTAATATGACCATAATTGTCAATTGACCCCTTAAGGAGTTATTGCCCTTTAAAGATAATTTTACACAATTTGTTCATCAAGTTTGCTAACATTTAAAAATCTTCTCTGAAATAGAGGTGAGCGATTCAGGCTCTTGAGAGCCTCTTGTTATAAACATGTTGTTGGTTTGGTATTTTTTACCTTTTATTCTTCAAATAATTTTTTTTTATAGCATATCCATAGTAGGCATCTTCAAATTGGGCGTGCACAATCCAACAAAAATTTCAATTGGTAAAATGTTTTAACCAAGAACTACATGATAATAGCAAGTCAGCAGTGTTAGAAGTGCAAGAAGTTGGTATCATGAAATTTGATATGTAATCTAGTTTTGTTTGTTAACAAGTTTGTCAAGGAATTTTCATCATTAAGTTTCTGTGCCTTGACTTAAGTGTTGTAGTTCTAACTTGATAGTTGGATTGTTTTGTCATGATTACATCTCCTTTTATTTGAAGGTCGTCTCTAACTTGAACAAATTTAAGAGGTCATAAGCAGGGTTCATATTATAATCACATTAACCTGTTCTAATCTTGAATATGATTAAAAGATTATCTGCTGGATGTTATACATGCATCATTTCATGTCAATCCAAAATTAAAATGACGCCACCAAAATTCAAACTTGATCTGTGTTTTGTGGTAATAAGCATTGTGTATAAGTTTCATAACATTTGGTTGAGGCAAACTAAAGTTAGAGAACGGAAACCAACTTTGGGACGTACGGATGTACGTACGTACGTACAGACAGACAAGGGTAAAACTTAATGCCCCCTCCACTACGGCAGGGGCATAAAAAAACAATTAACATTTGAATAAAAGATGTGAAGTATATATATACAGTTGACCTATTTATACTTATATTAAATAAGAAACTTACCTAGTAATGAAACTTAATGTTGATCAATGAACCATATGGTCTGGGTCAGATGAAACCTGTCACATTGACATGTACTCCATACAATCATTGTATGGAACAAATATAGTTGACCTTTAATACACAGTACTGTAAATTCAGAAACTATTGTGTGTACTTATTGTTGCTATTTTTAACAACAAACGGAAATGTGAAATAAATTATTGTGATTTCAGGAAATACTTTAAACAAAAATTGCTATCAAAATTTAAAATGATAACTTTTATTTTTGCGAAACGCAATTTTTGCAATAATGAAACATCACAAAATTTTCTGAATCTACAGTATCTGCAAAACTGATCTGATAAGGAACACTTGAGGCTGACCAACCAGATGTAGGACTTGTAGTTGCTCGGGAAAAGGCACTAGAAATGTTTCACAGATGGAGGGATGTCAGATGGGTACAGGTACTGCTTACAATCATACAGTACACCAATTATTGTCGACATATTACTTATAGTATCTGAGATTGACAGAATCATAGAAAACTTATTGTTGATCACTAAACCATGAGATGAGTTTAAACATTAAGTCAAACCTATCTGACAGACATGTTTATTTTGCAATGAATCTATATACTGTAAATTCAGATATTATTGCGAGGTTTTTAATAATGCGACTTGGCGAGTATTGCATTAATAAGAACTCGCATTCTGATATCTGATACATGCCTCCAGTATATCTTAATGCAGATATTCCTGAAATCGCATTACCAGTAATTAATTCCGCATTTTTGTCCATTTTTCAATAAAATGCTCCGCTGGGGCGCAGCTTGATACGACCACAGAGGTCCAACCCTGAACAGTTGGGGCAAGTATGGACACAACATTCAAGCTTGATACAGCACTGAATTTGGATTGTAATTAAATATTTGACACAGCATAGGTTTCTGACACAGAATGAATGTGGTCTAAGAACTTAAAAAATTTTAATTTACCTATTCAAACCATATCATTATTATTTGCTTTTATATATAAATCAGAAATAACCAATTTAAAATGGAAAATTTTAAAGAAAAAAAAAGGAAAAAAAAATCCCCCCCCCCCCAAATCTAATGAACCCCCTTATGATTCATCACCCCCAAACTCAATCCCAGCCTTCCCTTTGTGGTATGGTACCTTGCAGTACAATTTCAGAGAGATCCATACACTTGAACACAAGTTATTGTCTGGAAACTAGAAAAATGCTTGTTTTTTGGCCCCAAATTCCTAAACATTTAGGGCAATTACCCCCAAACTCAAACCCAGCTTTCCCTTTGTGATATGGAACCTTGCAGTACAATTTCATAAAGATCCATACACTTACACACAAGTTATTGTCCTGAAACTAGAAAAATGCTTGTTTTTTGCCCTTTTATGGCCCCTAATTCCTAAAATTTTGAGGGAATTACCCCCAAAATCAATCCCAGCCTTCCCTTTGTGGTATGGTACCTTGCAGTACAATTTCAGAGAGATCCATACACTTGAACACAAGTTATTGTCTGGAAACTAGAAAAATGCTTGTTTTTTGCCCCTTTTTCCTAAAATTAGGAGGCAATTACCCCCAAAAAATCATTCCCAGCATTCCCTTTGTGATATGGAACCTTGTGGTACAATGTCAGAGAGATCCATACACTTACACACAAGTTATTGTCATGAAACTAGAAAAATGCTTGTTTTTGGCCCCTAATTCCTAAAACTTGGAGGCAATTACCCCCAAAATCAATCCCAGCATTCCCTTTGTGATATGGAACCTTGTGGTACAATGTCAGAGAGATCCATACACTAACACACAAGTTATGTCTGGAAGTTACAAAAATGCATATTTTTGGCCCCTAATTCCTTAACTGTTGGTACCATAACCCCCAAAATCTATCCCCACCTTCCTTTTGTGGTATTGAACCTTATGCTAAAATTTCATAGAGATCCATTCACTTAAACTTAAGTTAGAGTGCGAAAACCAATGTGTCTTTGGACGACGACGACAAGGCGGATGCCAACGTCATACCAATATACGACCTCAAAATTTTTTTGCAGTCGTATAAAAAACGCAATAATAAATGCACGCAATAATTTCTGAATTTACAGAACCAAATAGTTTTGCTCGATAACTGGAAACAATCAATGACAAAAATATTTTTTATGTTGTTATCTAACCATAAAAATGAGTTCAAGGACAATGGACATTTACCACACTGAAACTTCAAACCATAAGGTATTTGTAAACAAGATAAGGATTTTCCAGCATTTCTAATCTCTTAAATATATCAGCTTTACACAACACATTTACGAAAGCTGCCTCTAGATTTGTATTTCTAAGTTTCACATGTGACATTAGTTGCAAGCTTGACAATACTGTCCGTTTAGATTTTTCTGAATCGACCTAAACTTTAATCTCCGTTTGATTGATGGTCTAGACTTGTATAAAAAGAAAAATAATGATTATCTTTAAAAGTCAAATAAATTTTCCCAAGTTTGAAACATTTTTAGGTTCATTTATCTGAAAAAAAAGATGAACCAATGAATTTGTTCCTGTATCATTGTTACATATTTTTTTTTAAGTACTCAGATAGTATGCAGAGTTTCACCATACAGACAAACAAGTTGACAAACCAATACCAACTTGTGTACAGCTATTCAAAGATAGCTAATCTACTAGGATTTCACCGAGGTGGAAAACTTGTAGAAAACATACAGTAAAGGACACTGTTTCAGATATGGACGAAAAAAATTGTTTTTAAGTTTTTATTTTCTTCTTAGGAGGTTCATCTTTAGATTCTTCTTTAATGTCTTGTTTTGGCGCTGGTGGTACACTGAAGCCCGGTATCTAAAATTTATAAAATCAAAACATTTCAATAAAATCTATTTTTTATCATTCTTTTTAGGTCCTTTTTGGTTATAAAGCTCCTAACGTTTCTACATACTTACACATCACTGGTTATTAAATATTTAGGTTTGGTGTGTTACTGATGAAGGTAATTCAAGAAAAGCTCTTCAGATGCACAAAATTTATAATTCATTGTTTTCATTCATCACAATCACACTGAAAAGAAGTGTCAATTTAAAATGAACAACTCTGCATTCAGACAACTTGTACACAATGTTTTAGAAAGTCCTACTACTTTTCAAAATAAATACTTATAACTATACAATAGAAACATGTCTGTTAGAATACAAATCAGCCTACATATAATGCATACATTTACAATCTGCAGAGTAAATGAGTGCAGAAAAGAAGATTACATGTTCAGGTATTGTTAAATCTATAAATTTCACTTTTGAATAATGTTGATTTGAAAAGCTTTCCTGCTTTTGCCATTAATTTTGAATGACTGAATATTTTCTGGCAATTTAATAATTTTGCTATTTCTGCAATTACCCCTCCAACCCCCCCCCCCAAAAAAAAAAATTTCAATGAGATGAGAATAATGTGACAGATCCAACACGGCAACTTCCATTTTAATTGTTCTCACTAGTATTGGATCACTACAATATAAGTACCGTTATTGTATTCATCAATTGTAATTTTTTAAAGATACATAATAATAAATGCACACAACATTTTGAAAACGCGTCTACATTTTTTTACTCTTGCCCAAAAATAATTTTTCCTTCTAGAAGTCAATAACAATGCAATACCCTTTATTCCTTTGAACCTACTACAATAATGAATAAATTTACAATCTACGTAAATGATGGTACGCTGACTAACTCCTCATCACTTAGAAAGTTTATACTTTAAAGCTTAACATTAAGTATTCACTTCAAATCCTGACTTATTCACATAGAACACTTAACTTACCTCAGGTTTAACAAGTTTAAGACAAAGTTTTAAATGTTGGACATTAGACCGGTCAATACTAATCTGTATAACAACTCTATCAAACACATGTAGAGTAACTCCACCACATGACTGTGTGTTTTCCTGAAAGAAATTGAAGTTCATTCCTTGAAAAACTCATGTGATGATCTGACTTGAAAAATAAACATACTTTCTAAACTAGAGGCTCTCAAGAGCCTGTGTCGCTCACCTGATTCTACTTTGGTTTTGGAAATCATGTAAAAGTAGATTAAAATCATAACAGATACCCTAATAATGATTGTGGCCAAATTTGGTTTAATATTGGCCCTGTAATTTAATCAAAAGCAGAAAACTTTTGTAAAGTTTACAGAAATTACCAATAAATTCATTGAAATTGTAGAAAATGACTTTATAAGGACAATAACTCTAGCAAGATGTAAATTGACAATTTTGCTCATGTTGACTTATGTGTAGATCTTCTTTTCTTGATATTTTTGCAGTTTACAGTATATCTCAATCTATAAAGATACATGTATTAAGGTCTTCATCAGCACATCATAAGGAACATTTATGCCATGTTTGGTTTCATTCCATTCAGTGCTCCTCTAGAAGAAGCATTTGTATGTATTTCCCATAGGGTCTTATGTTAAACTAAGTCTCCTGCTGGCGGCCATCTTTGATGATGGTTAGCTACAAAGTAACAGCACTTGGTCAGCACCTCATTAGGAACATTCATGCCATGTTTGGTTTAATTCTATTCAGTGGTTCTGTAGAAGAAAACATTTGTATGTATTTCCCATAGGGTCCTATGTTAAACTTACTCCCCGTGCTGGCAGCCATCTTTGATGACAAATCAGCTACAAAGTAACAACACTTGGTCAGCACCTCAAAAGAAACATTCATACCATGTTTGGTTTCAATCCATTAAGCGGTTTTCTAGAAGAGGACATTTGTATATATTTCCCATAGAGTCCTTTGTTAAACTAAGTCCCCCGTTGGCAGCCATCTTGGTTGATGGATCGGCTACAAAGTAACAACACTTAGCCAGCACCTCATTAGGAACATTCATGCCATGTTTGGTTTCATTCCATTCAGTGGTTCTCTAAAAGAAAACATTTGTATGTATTTCCCATAGGGTCCTATGTTAAACTAAGTTCCCCGCTGGCGGCCATCTTTGGATCTCAAAGTTACAACACTTGGTCAGCACCTCATAAGGAACATTCATGCCATGTTTTATTTCATTCCATTTAGTGGTTCTCTAAAAGAAGACATTTGTATGTATTTCCCATAGGGTCCTATGTTTAACAAAGTCCCTCTCTGGGGGCCATCTTGGATGATGGATCGGCTTCAAAGTAACAACACTTGGTCAGCACCTCATAAGGAACATTCATGCCATGTTTGGTTTCATTCCATTCAGTGGTTCTCTATAAGAAGACATTTGTATGTATTGTCCATAGGGTCCTATGTTAAACAAAGTCCCCCGTTGGGGGCCATCTTGGATGATGGATCGCCTTCAAAGTTACAACACTTGGCCAGCACCTCATAAGAAACATTCATGCCATGTTTGGTTTCATTCTATTCAGTGGTTCTCTAAAAGAAGACATTTGTATGTATTGTCCATAGGGTCCTATGCTAAACGAAGTCCCCTGCTGGCGGCCATCTTGGATGATGGATAGGCTTCAAAGTAACAACACTTGGTCAGCGCCTCATAAGGAACATTCATGCCAGGTTTGGTTTCATTCCATTCAGTGGTTCTCTAGAAGAAGTTCAAAATGTAAAAAGTTAACGAAGACAATGGACGACGGACACCAAATGATGAGAAAAGCTCACTTGTCCCTTTGGGTCAGGTGAGCTAAAAAGTCCTATAACTCTGGAACGACAAAGCAAAATATTTTCAGAATCAAAAGGGAGCTTTATTCTGTCAATCCTAATTACATGAGAATTGCTTAAAATAAATTTAAGTTATGTACGAAGTGTTGACATATGTACAGACATTGGTATACCATTATACTTCCCATCGTTGATCAGGTATAAAAATTGTTCCCTTGCGGGTCATAAAAAAATATGGCTAACAAGTGTTTTTTTTTAAATGTGAAAATTTTGCCTTCATTATACTGTGCAATCAAAATAAGTCAAAACCTGTTTGAACCACTTTATTACACTATCTATTGAGCATTCAGTGTTTGTCATGACCTGAATTCTACTTTCAAGACCAATTCCCAGGCTTTTACTTGGTTCATCCATATTGCCTCATAATGCCTATCTTCAGTTTTCTGACTTAATTTTTATGGCTTTCTCTTGATCATTATGAAGTTTTTCCTTTTCAAATAATGAAAACCCTTGGTATAATCTTATTTTTCTTAACAGGCATGACAAAAATAAAGGTATAAGAATTAAGCCTTTCCTGTTTGAATTGTTTTACACTAGTCATTTTGAGGCCCTTTACAGCTTGCTGTTCGGTGTGAGCCAAGGCTTCTTGTTGATGGCCGTACTTTGACATATAATTGTTTACTTTTTACACATTGGGACTTGGATGGAGAGTTGTCTCATTGGCACTCATACCAAATCTTCTTATTTCTACTTAAAAAAATACAACAATAACGTACAAACCTCTTCATTGAAGGTAAATGTAACACCTGACTTCTCTTTGTTGATGTAAAGTGTTCCCTCTAATCCATACTTGGGGATCAATATCTGCAGAGCATTCTTACGTATGAATAATACATAGCCCTCTTCATCAACTGCTCTATTCTTAAAGAAAATCTGCAGAAGAATAAACAGAGTTATTGACAGAAAGAAAAAAAATAGAAAAAAAAAAAAATAAAAATAATATTTTTTCAAGAAGGTAAGCTCAATTAGTACAAACATTATTCTCCCTTGAGGACCTCACACTCCACTCACAATGTATGACACAGAATTTTACATAATTCAGCTTAACTATCGTACTACATCCCAACACTAGAGATGATTAATGATTGCAACTACTAAAAATATGTAGAAGTCTTTACTGAGTTACAAAGCCTGTGTCTGATCCATTTGTCTTTTCCAGCTATAAAATAAATTTAAACTACTCAATATCACACAACTGTATTCAAATAAAGATAAATTTTTCAAATCTTAATGTTGAAATTTGCTGAATTCAAAAATAGTTGAAAAATCAATCATTGAGAGTAGAATAACTTTGTGATACTGTTAAATAACTAAAATATTTTTGTCCTTTTTCACGATCAATAAACAAAATTGTGATTTCTGTACGACAATACAATAAAAGTAGAATTTTTTCACTTAAATGAAATAAATGACAAACAAATGAATCTGTGAGCTACTGCTCACTAATGAAACCCCGCCCGCTAAAAGTATAAGTTAAACAGGAAGTTGTTGAGTGATGAATATGAAAACGCATCACACAGTATAGCAGTATATAAACCCTGAAAACAAATTTCAGAAATCCTTGTATTGTAGTTCCTGAGAAAAATGTGACGAAAAATATTCATGGGACGGATGGACAAACTAACGGATGGACTGAGGGACTGACGGATGGATGGACTGACGGATGGACAGACAGAGGTAAAACAGTATACCACCACTTTGTTAAAGCGGGGGTATAATAAGAATTGCAAAGCAATTTTGAATTATAAAATTAGTTTAAATTAAGTAAATCACATACAAAGTTCATTACTTTGGAAAAAGTATAAATTGGCAAAAAAGTTAAAAAAAAAACCAACTTTACAACCTCCTTGAAAAAAATATTTGCCTCTGCATTATTCAAATATAAACATATGCCTTGTAATGGCACAAAAATTTTGACATAAGCCATTTGTAACTAGTTTGATTGTGGTGTGAAATGTTTTCGGGATTGTTATTCCTTCTTACAGGTGTTTTATTTGAAATTTTTCTTTTTAGTTGTTTTTGATTTGTGTTTCCTTTGTTTCTTTTTCTTCCTTTCTTTTGCATCAATTCTCCATCTTCTCCAACTGGAATTCAGTCATTTTGAAATGTCATGAAATACGATTACATATTTTGTAATCTAAAATATTCTAGATATTGTCCGATAAAATAAACTATTTGTCAGCAGACAGACTTACATTTTGTGCACTTATTTTTCCATAAAATCTATCCTATTACTGTTATAAAAAAAATTATCAATATCACTTTCAGTTAATGATCAAGTTTCAACCTTTCATGTATTTTCTTTATGGCAATCTTAATAAAAATGGCTGTTCTTTTAGCAAATCTGACTGTTTAAAATTTATAATCAACTCACATGTGTATGAAGATTGACAGAAGCTCTCCCTGCATACTGTGCCATTTTATGTCTGTAGTTCAGATTATTGCTTAGTAACTGTAAAAAAGATTATAATGAAATGTATTTTCCAATATAAAAACAATGTAAAATTATTATGCTAATTTTACTTTTAACTCACATTCATTCTAAGGCAGTCAGTTTTTTAATTTAAACAAAAATTAAAGTTCCTACAGAAAAACGATGATCAGACCTGTTGTCAGCAGTTGTTGCCATTTGTTTTATGTAGTAGTGTTTATGCCAGGGCTCTCGGTCATAAAACTATACTCATTCCACAGAGTACAAAATTTGTGCTCGAAACACCATACAGTATTAGGATTGGCTGAATTCTGAGTCTGAGCACGATAATCATACTGGAAATTTTCGAGGCCTGTTCTTAATAAAAAGTAAAATCACCAACCCCTGATGCTCCATATTGATGTAAGAAATCAAGTCATCCATTGAGTTAGTTTACTTGTTAAGACTCAGGTTGATTAAGAACTTTGTATGCCTTGTGGGCAATTGTCAATCATTAAAGACCATAAAGTGACCACGATGTACTTTTCTGTTGAACTTAGAGATTGTTATAATTCTGTCCTAATAAAATTTATCAAACATCTTCTTTCACTGTATATATTTATGTGTATGTCCTAACCAAGGGTCCGGAAACGGTCATATTTGCCAGTCGTGTCCTAAACTGAAAGCTATTTGTCCTAAATGGCTGATTGGGATTTAGCACAAAATTATTGTTTTTAACAGAAATAATTTCAGTATAATTTTATTGAGATCGGGTTTCTTAATCGCCATTTTGCACTTGTTTTTCTTTTTTTGTAATCCTTTTCCTGTTATAAAACTGCCACTCCAATATAGTATGATAATCCTGAGGGCCCTCCTAATAACCATATCAATGCCTCCGGGAAATATTGGCTTGTGATCGCTAATCATTTTTTACCTGTGTTTTTAATTCACACCTGACAGTGATCACAAGCTCAGAAATGATATTATTATACAAGAAATTGAAATTCCATCAATGACGACTTTTTTTAGTATTTAATTACTTTTCAGTAAAGACAATCGTCAATTCTGATCTTAAAATTAAAACTTTACTTAATTTAAGAAGAAAAAAGTATTTTTTCACGATTCAAACATGTGCTTTATTTACCAAGTAATAGGCATGAGTGAATTGTCTTCAACAGGAGATGAGACACTAAATCGTAAAATGCAAAATGATTTCATGCTAAATTAAACGAGTGCAACTATCATGTTATATTTAAACACTTTTAAAGTTATATAAACTTTAAAAATCTGGGGATTTTCTGTCATTTTAATAAACAGAACGAATCCCAGAAATGAATCCAGAATTACTCCTACTTTAGTATTGTCGTGAAACTTCCGGAATCGAAAGAAACGTTAGCAATGTCTGAGAAATTTACCATTTTGAGTCATTAAAATCATTTTAATTTTAAACTGTTGCATTACATAAACTGTTCTTGAACGTTTTCAGAAAAACGGTAAGAAAATTAATGAAGTAAATCCGATGAAACAGTAAATATGTTTCGTTGATGCTATGCATCTAGTGTGATTAATTTCGACAGTTTGAAAAAAGGCCCCCAACTTTTAAGCCATCTCAAAATGACAGAAATTGGGAGAAAAAATTTCCGGAACCTTGGTCCTAACCCACCAATTTCAAACAAAAGGCTTTTAAATTGGTATTTGTTTCTGCCCCTTCAAATGTGAGAGCAATTGACTGGTCAGCTAAGATTTAGAATTAGGTGTCTTGGTAAATTGACATGTCTTCCTATGAGCTAGAACATACAAATCTATCTCAGCATGTCAATCTAGTAGAAGGCAGGGTTAATTATAAATCATATACACATGTAATAGTCCTATAGATGCATGTAATATTTGCTGTAGGGCATTCATATGCATAACTTTCCATCAAAATATCTTTTTCAAAAAAAAGTGTCCAATATTAGTTTTTATCTTTACCTGACTTTTATGTTTCTCTAATAAGTCTGGATAAGACGAATCGGCTCCAATACAAACAGCTAACAATCTGTGTACAATTATATCAGAATATCTGGAAAAAAATTTACTAAGATTTATCTCCCTTTATAAAAATCTGGGAGATGTGGTATGATTGCCAATGACACAACTATCCATCAGAGTTCAAATGAAGTGGATGTAAGAATTTAAAGGCAACCGTACAGCCTTCAACATTGAGAAATACCCATACCATATAGTCGGCTAAAAAAGGCCCCAACATGAAAAATATGAAACAATCTTATTGAGAAAACTAAAGGCCTAATCTATAATTTTTTTTTTTGTCCAGCATTAACTTCCTCATATTTTTCAGCTATTAAATGTTTGTTTCTGTATTATCATTGTTTTGTAAAATTACTGATCATACAGAGAACATTTTAAATTGTAAAAGTGTTACATGTTAAAATCAGGAATTTTGGCAACATTAAAAGAATACTATGAAACTGTAGCAAATGCAACCAATCTTAAACTTCTAATTCTTTATCTAAAGGAGTTGGTTCACTAACTTATAATTATGGCCCTAAAAAATTGCAAAATTTTAAACTTCAATAATGTTGTGATTGATTGATTGGTGTTTAAAGCCACGTTTAGAACTTTTGTGCTATTTCGTGGCGGTCAGTTTTTATGGTTGAGGATATGTTCTGAAAATTTGATGAAAATAATATGTAATTCAGTCAAAAAAATATTTACACCAATTGTGTCATAAGTGATGTATTTGTTACGTTAAAAATGTACTTGAATTTCATTTAAACCTGATTTGTTGCATCCTTAAGTAAACTTTTAAGACAGTTTTCTGAAAAATTTAAATTGGAGCAACAATTTTTTGCTGAAATATTCTTTAAGTACTATATTCTCTCCTTTTCAACTAAAATTTCAATGGGTGAGGGGTGGCGCCAGATATAAAATCATGAAAAAAAGTTTCAAAAAAACAAATTTCTGGAAAAATGGACTTAAATAAAATCTATTTCAGGCTAATTTATTTATAATATATGAAGCAGATATACAAATTTTCTTTTATTGTTTTCAAAAACAATACATTTAGCAATACATACATATTATATTTACTCAAACAATTTAAGTTACAGGGTCGTTTATTGGGGTTCCTGGCTCTAATCCTTTAGAAAAATTATCGGTTAAGATAATATTGGATTTATATCTATTTTGCAAAGTTCCTTCACAATCTGCAAATGCATCATACAGGTGTCCAATGTTTTGATGTTTTGTCTGTGTATTGCGTTATGAAAATTTGACTCTTTATGTCACATTTTACCTTCAGTCAAGAGTATTCATATGTATTATATACCGTCTAATTGGAGAGGTCTGTAGTCTCTTTTTAAATATTATGTAATATGTACCTTCTAATTGGAGAAGTAAAATGTGTATAAATAGGAGCTGCTAAACCATAATGGAAATATTCTGATTCTGGTAACATCCCACTACAGAAATAAACAGCCTGCATCATACATCGTGTGGCCATCATACGTAACATGGTGTTAAAGTATGGATCATTTGGAATAACTGCACCTTTTATACTGTCAGCAAATACTTTTCCTTTGGACACATCTAATTTAAATCCCTGCAGAAATGAAACAAATTAAAAAGGTCAAATACTTATTAAATTAATGAAGTTTTGCAAACAAAAGTGATGAAACAAAAACATTGTTAGTTTCAACCCTTTTTTATGCTTGGCCATATGCATGGTATTTAACATCACAGATGCTTATTTTTGAACAACTTCCTTTTCCACAACAGATCTTTTTGAAGAAAATAGTTTACAATCAGACATCTTCATTTTCAAACTGATGTTAGGTGTTGATGGCATTTCTATTTCATTTGTTCATTTTTATAGACTTTTATTAAGATTATTTAGAACCGTTGCATTCTATAAAGACACATGTCTGGTGTTTGAAGACTGTATGTTTACCCCTATATGTCTCTCAAGTTATTTTTGCCTTTGGCTAGCTTTCTCATTGACACATACTTACACATCTCCTTTTATTCATAAAAGACTCAACAAGCAGTATATCCTGTTCTGTCTAAACACATGATATGATTTTTGTTAAGTTTTTTCATGCTTTGTATTGATCTGATTAGTTAAGCCCTTTTCAACCATTTTTTTTTCATTTGTTCTTATCATGTATTGTTTAAACCACTGGGCCAGGTTAAGGGGAGGGTTTGGCACCAGCAAACATGTTTAACCCTGCCACATTCTGTATGTGCCTGTCCCAAGTGTGGAGCCTGTAATGCAGTGGTTGAAGAAAATGTGCGGAATAATAAAATTATCATATTTCTGTAGGTAGGGTTGAAGAATGTGTACAGAATACAGATAGATGCTTGAAAAATGTCAAACTGGCACAATGACCTTCTCTGTTCAAGGATGCAGGGATCCAGTTTGCCTATACAGCATTAAAATGACATCAGAAATCAACATAAATTTAGAGATTTTCCGGTAATGGAAATGATATGAATTAAACATATTGGCTGAATTGACATAACATCCTCATTTGGTATTTTTTTGTGGATGGAACAAAACTACAATTCATTCTCGGTTAACACATTTTTCTAACAAGTGGCCACAACTATTTAAATTTCATTTAGTGCTATTTAAAATTCTAAATATAAAGTAAAGTCATCTGAATCCAGGCTTCACTTCAGCTATTTTGAATTTCAACACTTTTTGTGAAATAGCATAATTGATAATTTTAAATTTGGATCTTCTATCAAAATTTTAGTAGCTTTTAATAAAATTCAATTTGCTACAACATTTTAACTAGAGGCTCTAAAGAGCCTGTGTCGCTCACCTTGGTCTATGTGCATATTAAACAAAGGACACAGATGGATTCATGACAAAATTGTGTTTTGGTGATGGTGATGTGTTTGTAGATCTTACTTTACTGAACATTCTTGCTGCTTACAATTATCTCTATCTATAATGAACTTGGCCCAGTAGTTACAGTGGAAAATATTTTGTAAAAATTTACAAAAATTTACAAAATTTATGAAAATTGTAAAAAATTGACTATAAAGGACATTAACTCCTTAAGGGGTCAATTGACAATTTTGGTCATGCTGACTTATTTTTAGACCTTACTTTGCTGTACATTATTGCTGTTTACAGTTTATCTCTATCTATAATAATATTCAAGATAATAACCAAAAGCTGCAATATTTTCTTAAAATTACCAATTCAGGGGCAGCAACCCAACGTGTTGCCTGATTGGTCTGAAAATTTCAGGGCAGATAGATCTTGACCTTATGATCAATTTTACCCCATGTCAGATTTGCTCTAAATGCTTTGGTTTCAGAGATATGAGCCAAAAACTGCATTTTACCCTATGTACTATTTTTTAGCCATGTCAGCCATCTTGGTTCGCGGGCGGGGTCATCAGACACATTTTTTAAACTAGATACCCTAATGATGATTGTGGACAAGTATGGTTAAATTTGTCTTAGTAGTTTCAGAGGAGAAGATTTTTGTAAAAGATTACAAAAATTTACGAAAAATGGTTAAAAATTGACTATAAAGGGCAATAACTCCTTAAGGGGTCAACTGACAATTTTGGTCAAGTTGACTTATTTGTAGATCTCACTTTGCTGAACATTATTGCTGTTTACAGTTTATCTCTATCTATAATAATATTCAAGATAATAACCAAAAACGGCAAAATTTCCTTAAAATTACCAATTCAGGGGCAGCAACCCAACAATGGGTTGTCAGATTCATCTGAAAATTTCAGGGCAGATAGATCATGACCTGATAAACAATTTAATCCCATGTCAGATTTGCTCTAAATGCTTTGGTTTCAGAGATATAAGCCAAAATCTACATTTTACCGCTATGTTCTATTTTTAGCCATGGCGGCCATCTCGGTTGGTTGGCCGGGTCACCGGACACATTTTTAAAACTAGATACCCCAATGATGATTGTGGCCAAGTTTGGTTTAATAAGGCCAAGTAGTTTCAAAGGAGAAGATTTTTGTAAAAGTTAACGACGACGGACGACGGACGCCAAGTGATGAGAAAAGCTCACTTGGTCCTTTGGGCCAGGTGAGCTAAAAATGAATGCTTAAAAAATGAATGGTTTACCCTGTAAGTTAACTAACATGGTTATCTGTTTAGAAATAAGCAAATATATTCAGGAACTATTGATTGATTGGTGATTGGTGATTTATGCCACTTTCAGCACTGTTGTCTATTTCATGGAGAAAGTAGACATACTGTGGTTTCATTATTATTCGTTGGATACTGGTTCTTCTGGTTTTTGTGGGTATAGATGTACCACTAAATTTAAATGTTCAACGAGGTACAAATATTTTTACAGGCTCAATCCATGAAAATGAATAAATCCATAGTATTTTACCTTTGATTCTGCTGCTTTGATTAAAGGTTCAAAATTAGACGGAGGGGGTGCAGGATGTCTACGTAGCATGGCACAGTTAGGAAATTCCCTTAACGTCTTCTCTGCTGTGGCAACATTAGCTAACAACATGAATTCTTCTACCATTGAATTTGTATCTCTGAAAAAGTTGGCATGAAAACTTGAACACAGTTTTACATGTGATAAGCATATTTCACTTTTTGAGTACACAGCTATCCGACTTTAATCTAAACAAGAATATGAGGCCATAGGACAACAAATCCATGCCCAATTTGCATACTGTAAACCAACTAATTTGCATGAGCAATTTATTCACTATTAAATGATTTAATTGTAACCATATTTATTAATAAATTAATATCTTTATTAGATGAACTCTTTTGTCTATTTTGTTTCTTCCTTTTTATATAATGAATCAAAAAAGGTATAGAAGCCATCTAGAATAATACCTTTTTACCATCAAAATACAAAATTTAGTTCCAAACTTCATGACCCAAGTGGCAGAAGGACTTCTTTTAAAACTAAACTAGAACACACCTGTGACATCATAAGTCCGTGACTGAATTAAAGTACCTATGACTTATTTTTAGCCTGGATTTCTAGTATTCGTATTTTCATCTGATAAAGTCATGCTGATTATAAGGTGCACAGTTTTCTCTGCTTTCAAAATCTTTCTATTTGAACCCATCTTGTTTGTTTTTTTTACTACAACCAGAAACTACATGTAACATATACTATTAGTATCAGTATCGGATTTGACCCGAAACTTGTTAATGGTAATATTAATTATGTGGAAAACAAAAGGGCCTGGAATGGTGTATATTTTAATGAGCACCATTTTTCTATATAAGTTATAAAGTTGAATTCTTTGATTTGTTGTTTTTACGTCATGCCGGCTAACAAATGTGACTTCGTCACATTAGTAGATAATTACCCATTTTTTGCCTAAAGGTACCATACCTTATTTGTTTTGTCTGTACATCAATTGGATCATGGGTTTCACTGTCAATGTTGAATCTGACTTCAGATGAGGCCAATGTCAAGGCTCTGGATAAAAAAGAAACAAACAATTAAACTATATTCAGAATTTTCATCCCCTTCCTTGACTATTTGTTTCAATGATGTTGTTCAATGTCAACTTTAATAAATTCAAGCAATTGAAAAGATGTCCATTTGACACAACTGACAGAACTCTATTCCTACAGGGAGTCTCGCCTAGGATTGCTGCTGTCTGTGTTAATGTTGACTGTAAAAAGTAAGTCTATTTGTCAGTAAAATATGGAATTTATTTTAAAAAATTAAACTTAACTTCTGTCCAAGTTTCATAACAATCCATGAAGGTTTACCACGTCAAAAAACCTAAATCCTATACTGTATTTAAGTAAATGTTAATTGCAAAAAACTGAGTCCATCTATCAGTAAAATACTGAAAAATGAAAAAAAAAAAAAATTCAAAAGTTTGCTTCAGACATTATTTGTAATCTAAAAAAGGTTTGACAAAGTAACTGATGTCTAACAAACATTAACATCAGACTGTATTGACATGTTAATTGCAAAAAATAAAACTGACTAAAACACAACTGTTTTAATTGATTATTCCTTTGCTAATTTACCCATTATCAATTCTTCTTTGTTTCAGTATCTTTGCCAGTTTATTTAACCACCGTAAACTTTTTGTTGTGTTATCTGTCATGGCAGGATCATCTATCCTCATTTGGGCTTCTGCATAAGTAAGAGATGCCTAAAATTTTATACATAATGTGTTAATAAACTTAATGCTTGTGAATTAGGTTATATAAATATTTTTTGTCAAAATATTTAAGGTCATATGACAGACATAGGCTGTATTATTTTTATGCTTAAGGATGTACTTAGGTGAGGTTTAGGAATTTGTGTCAGATATTTGGACTCCTTGGTTTTTTTAGTACATCCTTAATTCCAACAAAGTAAAGTTAAAAATAAATATGTCTGAAACCAAGAAATATAGATGTCCCAGCTGTAAAAAGTTACTTTCCTAATCAATCAGTAAAATAAATGTTTGCAAATATAAAATTTTAGATAGTTTTTATTGGTTGAATGAAAGTTAAAACTTCAGTTTCATTTTGTTGCTTTTTTTGGATTGGATCTCTACATCAAATTTTTTCTCTCTCACTTTTTTCTTAAATGTATCTGTATTATTGTGGTAAACAATTGAAACATCTTATCATAACCTACTGAAATTATTTATTTGTATTTTATTACTTTTTATACAAATTACTTGCATCAAAAACAGTTTATCGATTTAATTTGAGTTACTGCCCTTTGTATACTCTCTGCTAAATACTGTTAATGTAATATTTGATATGCCAGTTGCTGTTATACATTTTATTGAAATACGGAGTTGAATTAGAAACTTTTGCATTGTCTGTGCTCTTTGAAAGCAAATTAAATAACTCTAACATTTAAAAAAAACTTACTTTTGACAATATTATACTCTTTGTAAAATCTGTTTTTACTATTTCTGCTTCTTTTGTCATTTCCCATAATACTGAGAAGGCAAATCTAAAAATAGAAAGTAAGTTACACCACATCTTAAAATTTACCATAACTGAAATGCTAACATTCAAACATTTCTTTTACCCTCACAGCTCCCTTTATTCATATGAAAGTATATAAAGGCGGAGATAATCAATCATGCATTATTAGGTCCTAATAAAAATAATAAAAAAAGATGGGAAATTCATCAGAGCAATTCCAGAAATGGAGAGGTTGTGATAGACTAAAGAAGGGGTTATAAGATTCAGGTAATTCTTAAGATTTCTTACTTACCTGAAATATCAATTTCATCATGTCTTTTCTCCAAAAGAACAAATATTAAATTGAGGTAACATTTTCAACAAATTTGATGTGACAAAAGAGACTTGTGTATAAAAAAATGTTTTTCAAAAGATCTAATACTGAGTTATACTGCTTTTCTTCTTTCACATAATTATTCATACACTTCTCATGTGTTGTTTAACCTACCTTTCAACATTAGATCTCAATGAACACAAATTAGAGCTGAGTAATTCTGGTACCATATCTATTCTCTGTAAAAAGCAAAAATCATGACATTCTTATTTAGTTTTTTGAACTAGTGATATTCTAATGGCTTTAATTCTAGAAGTATAAATATGGCAAACTAAATGTTAGAACATTGTCATGATGAAGAACAGCAATATATGCATTGTTCTTTTATATTGTTTGGTAATGTCCTAGATTTTTATTTGACTGTTGCCTGATGTACATACACACATCATTTCTTTTCTAAATTGTGATCAATATTTCGATATTAATGATTAACTAGCAGAAAAAGTTCATATTTATTGTCATTCATATCCATTGGAGTAAAAAGTTAAATTAAAAATGTAAACGTGTGGTGCCATACTTAGGCTAGTTAATGACTAGAGTTATCTATTTCTTGCCGTTACAAGAAAAGAAATAAATAAATATAATTTTCATCATGTTTTAATTTTTTTTTTATTTCATATTGTTAACTGTTTATTCTGATTAACTTATTTTTATTTTACCAAAAATATTTTTCTTTTCTTTTTAATTCTGCAGTTCGTGGAGAAATATGCAAATAAAATATTTATCAAAAATACTATAGCTCACATTATTTACTAAGTAAACTGTGGTCCCTCTCTTGGCAGCTTCTTTATCCATGGCATTTCCTGGTCTGATAAAATGTGAAACATCTGCTATATGTACTCCTACCTAAAATAATTAAAAATAATAAAATCCATTTTTCAGTCTGTGTGCAGTATTCCATACATATTTTAAAGTATTACCTCCATGATATATTTATTGTTTCAACAAATCTTACTTCTAATGATACTGTAGCACCTGTACAAAATAAATCATGGTTTCTACAGATCCTAAAATCTCCACAATAATGATGTTAACCAATTTAAAAAAAAATAATAGATGTGTTAAAAGTATAGTAAAATTTTTTCAGTTATTCAAAAAAAAAAAAATAACAACAGTACACAGTCTAAGTGGTACAGTTCAAATTAATATTTTGTTTTTCAGTAAAGAACAAATCTAAGGATTCAATGTAAATTTGGTCCATATTGGACTGATAGATTAATTTTTTTGTGTATTTCTTGCAGTGAAAAGAACCAAAAGCAAGGTATTTTTGGTTGATTGACTATTCATAATTTATATCAAATTGATACAAGAGGTTATACAATTTACCTATTTTGGCTCAGGGATTATATTCATCATATAATTAAATTGTTTACAGTCAAACTTGTATATAAAGGTACCATCAGGACCAGAGAAATTTGACCTTATACATATATTTGTTTATTATAGTGCAACCTGAATACATACATAGTTATACAATTTACAATACAAATACCAGCCAGCCTCCATAGGCTTATGAAGCACTCTTATAAGAGAGGTGACCTTTCAAAATGCAATGGTATAACTGAAATGGGACAAGAATAGAATGACCTGATAAGACAGGTTTTCACTTAATAAAGGTGACCTTTATAACAGGTTTGACTGTAATTTGTACTGAATCTGCATAAATATATGTAGCTGGACTTTTAACAACAACAAAACTAGAGGCTCTCAAGAGCCTGTGTCGCTCACCTGTATTTAATGATGCTTTGGAAATCATGTAAAATAAGGTTAAAATCATAATTAATAGTATTAGATATTAGATATTATAATGATATCTAAGATAAAAACAAAAAAATGCAAAATTTCTGTAAAATTACTAACTAACGGGTTGTCGGATTCGTCTGAAAATTTCAGGGCAGATAAATCTAAATCTGATGAACATTTTTGCCACCTGTCAGATTTGCTCTAAATGCTTTAGTTTCAGAGATATAAACCAAAAACTGCATTTTACCCCTATGTTCTATTTTTAACCATGTCGGCCATGATGGTTGGAAGGCGGGGTCATCGGACAAATTTTTTAAACTAGATACCCTAATAATGATTAAGGCCAAGTATGGTTAAATTTGTCTCCGTAGTTTCAGAGGAGAAGACTTTTGTAAAAGATTACAAAAATTTATGAAAAATTGTTAAAAATTGACTATAAAGTGCAATAACTCCTAAAGGGGTCGACTGACAATTTTGGTCATGATGACTTATTTGTAGATCTTACTTTGCTGAACATTATTGCTGTTTACAGTTTATCTCTATCTATAATAATATTCAAGATAACCAAAAACAGCAAATTTTCTTAAAATTACAAATTCAGGGGCAGCAACCCAATAACAAGTTGTCCCATTCGTCTGAAAATTTCAGGGCAGATAGATCTTGACCTGATAAACAATATTACCCCACGTCAGATTTGCTCTAAATGCTTTGGTTTCAGAGATATAAGCCAAAATCTACATTTTACCCCTATGTTCTATTTTTAGCCATGGTGGCCATCTTGGTTGGTTGGCCCGGTCACAGGACACATTTTTTAAACTAGATACCCCAATGATGATTGTGGCCAAGTTTGGTTAAATTTGGCCCAGTGGTTTCAGAGGAGAAGATTTTTGTAAAAGTTAACGGACGACGGACGACAAGTGATGAGAAAAGCTTACTTGGCCCTTTGGGCCAGGTGAGCTAAAAAGGATTAAAATGTTAAAATTTATTCAGACATGACAACCTTGTATATTACATAATAATGTCAATTTGAAACTGCTGATATTAAACATAACTTATCGTTTTCATTTGAAACAGATTTTCAGACGGCAGCATATTGATATAATGAGCTACTGTAAACCAACTTACTTTTCACAAAAAAATTATTTTGTGAGAAGACATGAATTTTCAAAGTGTGTCATATTGGATTTTCTTTTATACAAATACAACATTAGAAAATCTCTAAAAGGGATCATCACAAAATCGGTTAGAAATTGCCTATATGTGAAAATAAGTATATTTAAAAATAAATTGGTTAACGTATGCAAATAAATGCATATTGTGCCTGTACTTTAAACTTACCTCAAGATTTCCATTATCCAGTTCTCTACAGTGTAAAGCATCATCTATATCAGTACAACCAGGTGGATCTACGCTACAAATATCTATATGTCGTAAATCCCGTCTTTTCTTTCTGTCCTGTTAAAATGGAAATTACATAAAAGCTAGGAGTCAGAATAATAATATCCTAGTCTGGTGACATGTCTTATCTTGTTAAATGCCAAAATAAAAATCTAGCTAAGTATAAAAATAAGGAAATGTGGTATGAATACCAATTAGGCAACTACCCAAATCATGTGGACCAACCCGTGTTGTTTCTGTACAAAGCAGAGTTTATATTCATATTACATCAACATGTTCATGTCCTGAATATACATGTAATATCTAATTATAGAAGTTAAACATCCAATCATCCTTTAAGATACTAAAGATACTTCGCTACCATCAACATTGTTGTGTACAATTTTTCAAACAGTTTGTGGCAATTAAATTTTGTAAATATTAATTGGAAGATATCAATATGAGGCAATTTTGTCAATTATTTCTTAAATTCCAAAAGTCTCAAACAAAAATGAGAGACAAAATGTCATGTGAACATCTGAAGAACACTTTGAAACCTTATACTGTAGATTCAGAAATTAATGTGTGCATTTATTATTGCTAATCCTCGACTTCTGGAAAGATGTGAAATCTAATTAATGTGATTACGGAAATTATACTAAGGAAAATCACTACTGAAATTATGAATGCAAGTTTTAATTATTGCGACCTGATATTGTTACATTTTTCACATTCATAAAAAAAAAATTGAAATAATTTCTGAATTCACTGTAATTCAAAGGACTAAGAAATAGTGGCTTTAATGTATTGCCCACTTCCTTTATACAAAATAGGAAACATTTTCCTCTGATATTTTTTCACCTCATCTGTGATGGACCATGGCATCTTTGGCAGAAAGCTCAATACTGCTTCAGAAAATTTACTATGTGGAACATCATGTTCTAGTAACAACACTTCATTTTCTGTATCTTTATCTCCTATGTTACCAAGCTTCCTCACAAAATGTCCCTAGAATAGAAAGTCACATGATTAAAGCATTTTCTTCTGAATGTGTTGTCTTCTACTGTTGCTGTTTAAACTTGTTTGGTGTTTTTTAAGTTTTGTTTTTTTCAGTATTTTCCTCAAGGCTGTGAGTAAATGGTAGAATGTTTTCAAAATCTTTAAAAATTATACTTTTGAAATACAAAGCAGATTTGTTCTAAAAAAAATAGTGAAAAAATGTATAAGATGAACCATATCACATGCAAGACTTCACAGATTACCAATCTAAATGTAAATATTCTTAAAAAATCTGTTTAACAAAATGAAAAGGGACATATATTTGGAGCTTCTCTTGCATGTGTCTTGGAATGGTCTTAAAATACTACATGATCATTGCTGATTGCCATATACAAATGTACCAATTTTCTTACCATTCTGTACCACGATATCCGATTGCTCTGTTTTTTATATATTGTAAACCAACTTAATTTGTGGATACTTTATTTCATGTTTAACCCTTTCCAGTCCATTTTAAAAGTGAACTATTTGCATGATTTTTTAATTTCTTTAAGTTTTTATACAAGTGAAGATTCAAGTTTAACATGTTTGAGAGGATTTATATTTGTCTTCTTTTTCTACTTGTGAAAATGAATTGCTTGCAAAAATAAGTTAGTTTGAGGTCTGAAATGAATATTATATGACAAACTATAAGTGTTTCAAAATATCTTGAAAAACAGTTTTGAATAAAACATGGTCTTTTCAAGTAACTAATGACTGTGCAGTAAAAAGGAGCATAACTGTCTATCAGTGGTGGAAACTAACTTCCCTATGTCTTAAATACTGAACCACAAGCTTTACCTGCGGATATCTTGAATTCCTTGGCCAGTTATCAATAGCTACAACAATTCTTTGACTTGCAAGATCATGTGCTTGTCTAGTTTCTATCCTTATCCTAGGAATTCTTCTGTCAGCAGGGGTAAAAATATGTCTTGTGCTCTGCCAAAAAAAATCACATAAATATAAACCAAAATTGTACATTTCAAATAATGTAGCCAAAAATATAGTTTTCAACAAAAGACCAGTGTCTATATCATACCTCATACTGTATATCAACCTGAGTCAACTAATCAACACTATAAGTAGTGATTTTATATGTAGATATGTTTACTCTTTTTTTCAAGTTTTTAACCCCAATTTGTATTTTGATAAGAATTCTAATCAAATTTTTAAAATTGCAAATTAAAGGAAAAGGATTTTTTATGATGCAAATGCATGAACAGACTTCAAATTAGTGTTTTGTTAAAGAATTAATAAAATGTCTGATTTAAAAATAGCTAACTGATCAGAGCTGGTGATCTTTCTAATGTAAATTTCTAAATTTACATAAATTCAATTCTTTCATGGTTGTTTTGGGGAATAAGACAAGGGTGTTTTTGAAGACTCTTTTAAGAGCCCAACCATACTTGTAATTTAAGCCATATGTATAATATATGTACCAACACTTACGGAAATATATACTGTAAATTCAGATATCATTGCAAGGTTTTTTTTTCATGCGAATAATGCAACCGGGTGAGTATCGCAATAATAAGAACTTGCATTGTGATATCTGACGTGTATATCTGTATTCAGCTTTTCCTGAAATCGCAATAATTAATCTCGCATTTATGTCTATTCTGCAAAAATTGCAATGATAAATGCATGCAATAATTTCCGAATTTACAGTACCGGTATACAGTACCTTCACAGGGCTTCAGACCATTTTTTAAGCATATTATGCTCATCAGTTTAAAATATACAAATAAATTACAATGATAAATGATAGATAGGAGAAGCATGCATATTGTGTATTTGATTGATCATGATCAGAGCCCAAACACATAGGTAGCTTAAATCTTTTGCATTTTAAGACTTCAGCTATTTTAACTTTAACTGTAAGCCTTAAATAATTAAAACAGACATATTCAAAAATGGGATAAAAAGAAAATGTTGAATGCATCAACCATAAATTAAGGCATGTGGGAAAATTCTTTTTTGCAGATAAGTTGAATGATGCATCCACTACACTGCCTGGTTAGTTTTGGTGAAAACTAAGAGTTACTTCCCTAAAACTACAGATATTTTTTTTAACCAGGTACCAAAAAAAATATCTGTAATTACTGTCAGCATCAGTTACATAATCTGCTTACACTACATCATTAAGAAAACTGTTATTATTTTGATGTTATGTTGCATCACTCTGATGTTAAAGTCTTATTAACAGTGATTAAATTTCTTTATTTTTGGGGGAAAAGCAAATTTAACAAAAGTTGAAAAAAAATATGCTTGTATATCTTAACCCACCTCCTTTAACGCTGATGGTTGTAGGATACCACAATACTGCCTCCAGTTTCTTTTAATAATTCCCACAATTTTTCCTGTTGGCTGTCGTAACTCTTTAGGTACTTTGTTTTTCCTCATTTGTTTTTCCTGCAATTATGGTATGTTTAAAGTTTGGTTATTTCCATATTTTCACCTATCATATCATTCAATACATTAAAACCACTGTCATTTTGTTTCTTGTAAATCTGCATCATGTATATTTTTTCTCAAGAAAACAGATATAAAACATTACTGTTTTAAATAAACTGTTAACACATCGATATGTCTCGCCTATTTGTTATTTTGAGAATGCAAATGTTGAAATTAAAATAGCAATACTTTAACATGTAAGTTATGCAAATATTCAAAGTCAATGAACCATGACTGAAGGTACAGGGCTAAACAATCTCCATGGAAATGAGATGTGCCAATGCTAATACAACTGCAAACCAAATACCATTGACTTTTCATATGTCCTTCCCTTTAAACAAACCTAAACACAAACATAAACTTGTAAACTATGTAAAAGTTTCAAAGTCAATGAACCATAGTTAGGGGGTGGGGTTATATAATCTCATGGAAATGAAACTTGCAATTTGCATACCGAATATCATTGACTTAACATTAGTGGTTCATCTTAAACTGACCTAATCACAAACTAATACATGTAAACTAAGCAAAAGTTTCGAAGTCAATAGACCATGTCTGAGGGGTAAGGACCAAATATTCTCCATGGAAATGAGATGTGCTAATGCTTATACAACTGCACACCAATTATCATTGACCTACCACTAACGGTTCCCCTTAAACTGACCTAATCACAAACTAATACATGAAAACCAAGCAAAAGTTTCAAAGTCAATAGACCATGAATGAGGGGGCATGGCCAAATAATCTCCATGGAAATGAGATATGCCAATGCTTATCAACTGCATACTAAATATCATTGACCTACCACTAGTGGTTCCCCATAAACTGACCTAATCACAAACTAATACATGTAAATTAAGCAAAGTTTCAAAGTCAATAGACCTTGACTGAGGGGGCGGGGCCAAATAATCTCCATGGTTATGAGATGTGCCAATGCTAATACAACTGCATACCAAATATCACTGACCTACCACTAGTGGTTCACCATGAACTAGACCTAATCACAAACTAATACATTGTTGATGCCGACGCCGGAAACAGCATACCTATGTCTCGCTTTTTGACTCTGTCAAGGCGAGACAAAAATAGATAAGACATCAATGTAACATATCGAACCATACACAGCTGTATTCAATGATGGTAAATGCACAATCAAATATATAGATTTGTTGTAGCTATCAAAACTAATTCTAAATATAACGTCAGAAATATAATTTTTCCCTAAAACTTTTTGATTTAATTAAAAGGTTAGGCAACTATTATTTCTTTTTTTCTGTGTTTAGTCTATTTTGCAGCTTTAAATAATAAACAGCTGCGCCATGAGCGCATGATACGCACGTCGCTTTTTCATAGAATAAGTTCAATGACTTCTTAATGTCATATCAGAAATTCATGAAAAACTAAAGGGAGCTTATCTTAATAGATATAAACCAGTCACCAAAGTTTCATGTTGCTCAAAGCATTGTCTGAAAACTGGAAAATCCCCCCTTTTTTATGAATAAAATCACATAACTCGGAAACATAAAATCTAATATTTATAAAAATCGAAAGGGAACTTACGTCAATAGAGATAAACAATTCACCAAAGTTTCATGAAAACTGCTGAAAGCATTTTTGAGTTATTGTCCGAAAACTGGAAAATCCCCCTTTTTTTAATGAATAAAACCCCATAACTTGGAAATGTAAAATCTAAAATTTATAAAAAAACGAAAGGGAGCTCATGTCAATAGATATAAACAATTCACCAAAGTTTCATGCGAATTGGTGCAAGAGTTTTTGAGTTATTGTCCGACATGTTGACGACAGAAGGACAGACAACGGTATACCATAATACGTCCCGTAAATGGGCGTATAAAAAGAAATAAAAGATGGCTATTTTTTAAACAAGAGAAGTTTTTCGGCCAAAATAAGGAAAATTCATGAAAAGTCTACAATACTATGATATCATTACGTGACAATTTTTGTATTGGCCTTGTTATTGGTCCGAGGCTTGCTGTATTGGCCTGAGGCGAAACTGAAGGCCAATGCAGCTGGCCATGGACCAATAACAAGGCCAATACAGAAATAGTCAAGTAATGATATCTTTATTAACTACATTTTTACCTGTTTTTTTATGAGTGTGTTTTATTTCATTTCACAAGAGTTTAACATTTTTTACCTTGAAATAGAACTATCCAAATCTGAGTTTCATTTTATAAGCTGCAATGTCAAATGATCTGGTGCTGTTTCGAGGTGGTTTACATTTTTTTTTAAAAGATTTGTTCACCCTTTTCAGTCACTATAAAGTGTTACAATTCATTTTTAGATGCAACACATAAATAGTTATTGGAAAGGTACTACCATTGCATGAGAGATGCAGAAACAAAAGGATTAAATAAAACGAGTTGAATATGATTGACTATGAGACAACTATCCATAGACCAATTGACCAAAGAACAAAGACTTGAACAATTACAGGACACCCTTCACCAATTCATATGCCTGGTTTGGATTGAAAAATAAATGGCACCTTACAAAAACATGAGAAGAGAAAGTGAATAGTAAATCAATTTGTATCCCTTAAATTGATTAAATGATTTAAATAGCTGTGAGGTAGACAAGAAATGAGATTAGTGGTAATCTACAGTTTTGTTGCTCAAACCTGAAATAATTAAACTTTCTGCTTCCAAAAGGCTTTTTAATTGAATTTGACCGTCCTCAGCATGATATATTTGCCACACTAAATGTTTTGGCATGTTTATGGTGTGTATATAAAACAGCGTCTTCCAAACGACAGTTTACATTAAGTTGGTGTTCATCATGACTTTCGATCTAAATATCCAAGACGTTCCGAAATCCTGTATTGGCTGGATTAGAACTAGGCCAATAAGAACAAAATCTGTATTGGCGGAGTTGACACTTTTGTATAGCACAGGCAGTTATGATCATATTAAGTCCTATAACAGAGTAGTTAATTAATAATAAAATATATTTGTGGCCTCCATACTGATTATTACTACATTTTTTACAACCTTAAACATCAAGTTCATTCCAGTTAACTGCATCAGTTTAAAAATATTCACTATTGTACTACTTATCTCCATGTTTTCAAGTAAATGCAAGAATTTTTTTTTTTTTTTTTTTTAATATGGTATTAAGCTGTTTTACTAGACATTCACTCATTAAACATGTTAAATGAAACCTTTTTACTCCTTCTGAAAAAACCCAAGAACTTTAGTATGAACTATAAGAATTAATCAAACTGATACCTCTATTTCCATATTATCTTCATCTGCCTTTTCTTCTGTTTCCTCCAACACCATTGAAGAAGGACAACTCCATTCCTCCTCCGGTAACAGCTCAATAGCAACAATGTCATCCTTCACCGCTCTATTTAAATTCTGGTGACCTTGTACAAAAATCTGCAACGGAATACAACGGTAATTTATATGGTAATAGTGCTATTTGAGAAGTCCGATTTTACTGACTGTAGATCTTTTGACAGAATCTTCTAATGTGATTCAGTTTTAAGATGAAGCTAAATACACATAATTTTGCCACTTTTATAATAGCCATAACACCTCTGAAACAATTAACTTATTCTATATACCACCAAATTAAAATATATCATGACTTATATCCATCAAACTATTAAATGCCCGGTTTACATAGGAATGGAGTACTAGTGATAGTATATTTATAATATTTTGTGATTTTTCAAGGGAAGGAGCCAAGCATACTATATTTTGTCCTCGATGAAAAAAAATATTTTATTATTTTTATTTTTTTAAACTGACAATACAAAAAAAAATCTTAGAATTTTATCAAGAACAATTATCTTGAGGTGAAACAAATAACACCATTTTATCCTGACATTATACTGTAAATTCAGATTTTTTTTTATTATTGCAAAAATAATGATGAGATATGTGTCGCAAAAATTGAAACCTTTTAAATATTGATAGCATTAAGTGTATGCAGCGATTTCCTGAAATTGCAATAATTTAACTCGCATTTGTGTCTATTCTCCAACAATCTCAATGACAAATGTATGCAATAATTTCTGAATTCACAGTAGTATGTAAAGCCTGGTAAATCAAACAATCGTCAACAACTCAGGATGAGAGGAGAACTGTCTTATCATTCTATCATTTTGTCTGACAATTGCCAGACAGTGAAATTGTAGGGAAACAATTGTCAGCCATTGAAATTAAAGAGAGACAATTGCCAGACAGTGAAATTAAAGGGAAACAATTGTCAGCCAGTGAAATTAAAGGGAGACAATTGCCAGACAGTGAAATCAAAGGAAGACCATTGCCAAACAGTGAAATTAAAGGAAGACAATTGCCAGAAAAAGAAGTCAAAGGGAGACAATTGCCAGACAGTGACATCAAAGGGAAACAATTTTCAGCCAGTGAAATTTAAGAGAAACAATTGGCAGACAGTGAAATTAAAGGGAAACAATTGTCAGCCAATGAAATTTAAGGAAGACAATTGCCATAGTAAAGTCAAAGGGAGTCAATTGACAGACAGTGAAGTCAAAGGGAGACAATTGTCAGACAATGAAATCAAAGGGAGACAAATGAAATCATACCATTCTATCCTGATCATGAACACTGACGTTGGCTTCCAGGTAATTCTCTCTGCTGGCCATGTAACTTCCCTGTAAATATTTCCCAGTTTTTATACCCTTCTGTATTGTAGACAAAGGCAAGTGTTCAGGATACATAATTTTGTCTCCAAATTTCTGAAAAATTACATATATAAATTATATAACTTTCATAATATCAAAGGAAGCAAGACAACAATAAGCTCTTTTTTATAACTAGTTTAATAATGGGTAAAACTGTTTGGTTAAGTTATTGTATTTGTGGTTTAGCTTTACCAATTCTATCCAGTGAAATGTACATTAATGTAATTTTTGATGTTTTAACCTGAAAAATGATGGAGAATTCAGAAATTAATGTGCACATTTATTCTAACCAATCTCATCCATAAAAGAGATTTAAAGCTATTTTAGTAATACAACATTTTTCAATTGGATATAAAAATGTAAAGATCCTCCAGTTACATTATTGGCATAAAAAAAACATCACAATGATTTCTCAATTTTACAGCAATTTTTTTTTATTTTGAATACGTTTAATAATACAAACCAAAAGAATTTTTATATAGTAACAGATACACTGTTAGCATTTTTTTGTTGTATGTGTCAATGAATGGAATATGTTTTAGATGTACAAATAGAGAGTTAAGACTGATTAAAAGTAAAAGCTATGATTATCTATAATGCTGGAATAATAAATGGACAAAGTATAAAAAATTAAAAGTAAGTTTTAATATTAATCGAAAGTAAACTTCCTGCTTGAGGTTTAAAATGGTTTTTCCAAGAAATATCAGAAGTGTATAACAAGATATATGATGTCAAAGATTTACATTACATGTAAGTGTAGTTGTCAATATAAATCTCCACTGAAAACATTTGATTAATGAAGGCATTTTTCGAAAAAAATAAAGAACTTACCACATGAGAACCAGTACTGGAGAGACGATCAACAATAGATCCACAATCTTTTAAACTTTTAACATATTCTTGAACTGTAAAAAAAAAATTCATTAAAACTGATAAAATTACAGTGTCAATACAGTGTAATTCAGATAAAAAAATGCTTTCACACTATGGTCTATTTTGTCTTGATATTTTCTAGTTTTTGACGTATAATTTCTTCTTTAATGTAGCGCTTTAGTCCTTTACACATTTACCAGTCGAGAGCTAGCATATATGTCAAATCCTGGAGTTCTGCAATAGCAGTTTTGTACAGTAGATATAGTTCAGGGGCTTTTTTTTCTCTGAAAATGAAAGAACCAACTTTAAATTAGTTATTTTTGTATACCTGTGAATGACTGTAGCCCTTCAGCTTTGGCTTTTGTTCTGTTGTCTTCATCATTTGTAAGTAAGACAATATCAATATCTTCTGAAGCATGGTCCTCTAAATGTCTTTTGTACCACAAACTTGCCTCCCTTATAGCCCTATCATTTCTATCATTGGCACTCTCTCCTTTCTGTCTTTCAACATATGTATCTCTGAAGTGAAAAAAAATAAAATAAAATAAAAATAACTAGATGAAAATACATTTTTTGTACTTAAAATCTCTACAATAGGAAGAGTATTAACAGTCCATAGAATGACATATCGTAACGTTTATTTTACCCCTGATCTCCCTGTTTCAGGTTAGCAACAAGACAGTAGGGTAAGAAAAGATGTAAAAGATACTATTTAAACTTAAAGATAATGTTAACTCAACCATAAGGCAGTACATTTACTGTCAGGCTACATTTACTATCAATCACAAGGATGTGTAGCTTTAAACTGGAATTAATCGGCTAATAAAATAAATTCATTTGAATAAAACAATTTTTTTTGCAATGTAGTTCATCAGACCTTTTCACAGGAAAGGATTCTTCTTGGCAAAACTCAAGATTTCTATGGAGAGGATTTTTGTGAAACACATGTCCAACAATTAAACTGGCATAATCAACAATATCATGTAAAAATTTATTCCCTAGCAGTGAGATGAACAAATTTTTTTTATCATTTTCTTCCTCTACTTTTTCATGTCTGGGCCTTTTAAAGCCGACTATACAGTATGGGTTTTTCTTATTGTTGAAGGCTGTACAGTTGCCGAAAATTGCTTACATCCATTTCGTTTTAACTTTGGTGGATAGTTGTCTCATTGGCAATCCTACCACATCTTATTTTTATATAAAATAAAATGCTCCGCTGGGGCGCAGCTTGATACGACCGCAGAGGTCGAACCCTGAACAGTTGGGGCAAGTATGGACACAACATTCAAGCTTGATACAGCACTGAATTTGGATTGTAATTAAATATTTGACACAGCATAGGTTTCTGACACAGAATGAAAGTGGTCTAAGAACTTAAAAATTTTTAATTTACCTATTCAAACCATATCATTATTATTTGATTTTATATATAAATCAGAAATAACCAATTTAAAATGGAAAATTTTAAAGAAAAAAAAAGGAAAAAAAGGAAAAAAAATCCCCCCCCCCCCCCCCCCCCCCCAATTTGTTGAACCCCCTTATGATTCATCATCCCCAAACTCAATCCCAGGCTTCCCTTTGTGGTATAGTACCTTGCAGTACAATTTCAGAGAGATCCATACACTTGAGCACAAGTTATTCTGAAAACTAGAAAAATGCTTGTTTTTGGCCCCTTTTTGGCCCCAAATTCCTAAACGTTTAGGGCAATTACCCCCAAACTCAAACCCAGCTTTCCCTTTGTGATATGGAACCTTGTAGTACAATTTCATAAAGATCCATACACTTACACACAAGTTATTGTCCTGAAACTAGAAAAATGCTTGTTTTTTGCCTTTTTATGCCCCTAATTACTTAAATTTTGGGGGAATTACCCCCAAAATCAATCCCAGCCTTCCCTTTGTGGTATGGTACCTTGCATTACAAATTCAGAGAGATCCATACACTTGAACACAAGTTATTGTCTGGAAACTAAAAAAATGCTTATTTTGGGCCCCTTTTTGGCCCCTTATTCCTAAACTTTTTGGGCAATTACCCCCAAACTCAATTTCAGCTTTCCATTTGTGATATGGAACCTTGTAGTACAATTTCATAAAGATCCATACACTTACACACAAGTTATTGTCTGGAAACTAGAAAAATGCTTGTTTTTTGCCCCTTTTTGTCCCCTAATTCCTAAAATTTGGAGGCAATTACCCCCAAAATCAATCTCAGCATTCCCTTTGTGATATGGAACCTTGTGATACAATGTCAGAGAGATCCATAGACTTACACACAAGTTATTGTCATGAAACTAGAAAAGTGCTTGTTTTTTGCCCCTTTTTGGCCCCTAATTCCTAAAATTTGGAGGCAATTACCCCAAAAAGCAATCCCAGCATACCCTTTGTGATATGGAACCTTGTGGTACAATGTCAGAGAGATCCATACACTCACACACAAGTTATGTCTGGAAGTTACAAAAATGCTTATTTTTGGCCTCTTTTTGGCTCCTAATTACTTAACTGTTAGTACCATAACCCCCAAAATCAATCCCCACCTTCCTTTTGTGGTATTGAACCTTATAGTAAAATTTCATTGTGATCCATTAACTTAAACTAAAGTTAGAGTGCGAAAACTAATGTGTCTTCGGACGACGACGACGCCAACATCATACGACCTCAAAAATTTTTTTGCGACCGTATAAAAATTGAAATATTTACTTACTTGTTGAATTCATTACAGAATGTGTAGAAATGTTTGTCTGGATTTGCTATGAAGTCTTTCACTCTCTTGTAGGCAGGAGCACTTCTGTGTCGAATCTGTTAAAGGTTGATACATAAACTTTGTAAGTAAGGATAAATTAACAATACTTAATAGTAAAATAACAATTCTAATATGTATTCTTATACCTTTTCAACAACCAGTACTAAAACTTTTACTTAAAAAAATTAAAGAACCTTAATGAGCGCGCTCACATACCCCACGTCCCCACATTGTCATTGGAGAAATAAAATAAGTGTAAGAAAAAAAAATTGTATCAGAAAAAAAAATTGAATCATAATTTCCTGTGAATATGCACATCTACATAGTATGTCCTTATTATCTACACAGTTTCATGAAATTCTGTTGTGTGGTTTGAGAGGAGTTGCGATAACAAAAGGTTGCAGTAGTATATTGGGCAAATAAGTTCAAAGGGGCGTAACTCCTAGAAAAAAAATTGAATCGTAATTTCCTGTCGATATGCACATCTACGTAGTATGTCCTTATTATCTGAAAAGGTTTCATGAAATTCTGTTGTGTGGTTTGAGAGGAGTTGCGATGACAAAAGGTTGCAGTAGTATATTGGGCAAATAAAAATCAAAGGGGCGTAACTCCTGGAAAAAAAATTGAATCGTAATTTCCTGTCGATATGCACATCTACATAGTATGTCCTTATTATCTACACAGTTTCATGAAATTCTGTTGTGTGGTTTGAGAGGAGTTGCGATGACAAAAGGTTGCAGTAGTATATTGGGCAAATAAGTTCAAAGGGGCGTAACTCCTGGAAAAAAAATTTAATCGTAATTTCCTGTCGATATGCACATCTACATAGTATGTCCTTATTATCTGAAAAGGTTTCATGAAATTCTGTTGTGTGGTTTGAGAGGAGTTGCGATGACAAACTGTTGCAGTAGTACATTAAAGTAAATAAGTTCAAAGGGGCGTAACTCCTAGAAAAAGAATTGAATCGTAATTTCCTGTCGATATGCAGAACTACATAGTATGTCCTTATTATCTAAAAAGGTTTCGTGAAATTCTGTTGTGTGGTTTGAGAGGAGTTGCGATGACAAGAAACAGGACTGACGGACTGACGGACTGATGGACTGACGGACGGGTCAAAAACATTATACCCTCCGCAACTCATTGCGTGGGGTATAATAAATGTATCAACTTTATCACATGTACTGTGGACTCATAACTTTCCAGGGAAAATCAAATCAAATATCCAAAAAAAGTGTGTCAATCCACGAAAACGGATACCTACCAAAATATAAGATCCCATAATATTCATCATTTTGCAAAATAAGTCCGACAATACCTTAAATACTGTTTAAATATTATACACATTTAAGATTTCATGTTTTTAAAGTTCTTACTCTAATTAATTGACTTATTTTAATGATAAATTTGTTATAATATACCCATCTTGTGTTAAGGTGGCATGTATGTAAGCGAACAGTTGATAAATCAATGTTTATACTAATGAACTTAAAAAATTAAATTCACCAGATTAATTTTAAGTCCCCTTTTAGAACACTACTATATTAAAGCCTTTATAACCTAAATACTGCCTGCTCATGGGTTAAATAATATGGGGATAGTACACCACTATCTGCTACAATATCATAAGTCCAACTATAAAAAGATAAAGGAGTGAAAACATTCAAAATCAGATTTAAATTAAAAGTTAATTAAACAACTGGCTGCCACAAAATAGCTAATAGTGCTGAAAGTGGTGTTAGAACACCAAAAAATCAATTAATCAAAATCAGATGAACTCCATCTCACATCTATTCTTACTGAAAGCTAATCGAACTAGATATCATTGAGATGGGACCCATCTCTTTGGGCCCAGCTGTGAATAATGTGCGTTAAAAATTTGTATCTTTACCATAGGACATGGGGTTGTCAACTGAAACCAAAGTTTTTGACCTTGACCTTTGACCTAGGAAGTTGTACATAAATTATGACACACCCTTTGGTGTTTGTTATATATGCATGTCAAGTATAAACTTTGAAATCATAACGGTTCTCAAGATATCGAGCAGACACGATCTTTACCATAGGACATGGGGTTCTCAACTGAAACCAAAGTTTTTGACCTTGACCTTTGACCTAGGAATTTGTACATACATTATGACACACCCTCTGGTGTTGGTTAATATACATGTCAAGTATAAACTTTGAAATCATAACGGTTCTCTAGATATAGAGTGGACACAATTTGTTACGGACGAACAGACTGATCACTATAGGGCGTCCGCCATTCCGCGGGGCCCTAATTATTTTCATACTAAATCATCTCTTTATTTTTCTGTACAAAGGGTTGTTCTATAATAAATGTTGGGGAGGGAGAAACTTAAATAATAAAAAATGTGTGTTGTCCCTATAAAAATCTTTAATCTGAAATTGGAACAGTTTTTTTGTTGAAATGGTGGATTAAAAAAGTCATTTCTCAATAACCCTCCACACATAAGCACAAATTTTGAAGTTATAGAGAAGTCCTTATCGTTTCATATCCTATTTTTTGTAAAATTTAATATACATGTATATACACTGATATATGCTCTTACCTCCTCTAAAACAGTCTGTAGAACTATAACATTCTGAATGGAAGGATCTTCTACTACATCAATCTAAAAAATAAAAACACTGGTTTAAAAATGGAAAAATCATGACAATGTCTCGTATTATTATAGCGGTAATTGATTCAATATACATTAATTGGGATTGATCAACTGATGTCCACAATTATAATAATAATAAATGGACAATGTGTCCATGGGACACAGATGATGTCCCTATTTGCATATAATGTTATAAAGGAACATAACTAGAGAACTGTAAAAGTGACGTCACCCAAATTCGAACTTGATCTGTGTTTTATGGTAATAGGCATTGTCCTTAAGTTTCATAACATTTGGTTGATGCAAATTAAAGTTAGAGAAAAGAAACGCAAATTCAGCAGTTTTTTCATATATAAAGGATTAAACTCACGAAAGGTAAAAGTTATGCTACCCAAATTCAAACTTGATCTGTGTTTTGTGGTAAATAAGCATTTTTGATGTGCCTGTCCCAACTCAGGAGCCTGTAGTTCAGTGGTTGTCGTTGGTTCATGTCTGCCATATTTGTTTTTCGTAAATTGATTTGTTATAAAGTAGGCCGTTAGTTTTCTTAATTGAATTGTTTCATATTATAGACATATCAAGGCCTTTTAAAGCTGACTATTTGTCGTTGGTTCATGTCTGCCATATTTGTTTTTCGTAAATTGATTTGTTATAAAGTAGGCCGTTAGTTTTCTTAATTGAATTGTTTCATATTATAGACATATCAAGGCCTTTTAAAGCTGACTATATACAGTATGGGTATTTCTCATTCTTGAAGGCTGTATGGCAGGGTTCGACACTAACGCTAGTCCGCTAGCCCGAGGCTAGTAAAAATTAGGGAGGGCTAGTAAAGTTTTCATCACAGTAGTCCGACGGGCTAGTCAAAATTTTGTTTACAACTGGGAATTTCACAAAATTTTAATTGTCAACAAATCCCAGATTTTTTGCTGACCTTAACTGTCTTTATTGTACAGTTTATTCACGTATATTTTGATTGTCAGACATTTTTAACATGAAAGGTACTTTTTGAGAAGGGCAAAGAAACGGAAACAATGAAGGTACTAGAATAAGAATATTTTATTTCCAATTAAAGGGCCCTATAAAGAGCTTTCATCACATTACATACAAGTACATAAGATTAGACATAAATTAGAGACATATAAGAAAACAACATCGTTTAATACTATTAAAAAATGCTATAAAAGGCCAGGACAGAACCAGATAATACAATTCACATCTTTGAAATATACCATTCAAAATCATATACCACTCAAAATATGTGTATTTGTGGCTAATTTGCATTTATTATCTTTGAACTTCTTCTTCTCTCAATATTTTTAGATAAATACTTTCCCAAACATTTATACATATTTAAATTTTCTTGTGTAAATAGCCATGAAAACTTTGAAAAATTGTCTAAAGATTGAAAATTATTACAAGTTAGAGAAATTTCAGTAAAAAACTCATTTCTGTTATCAACATATAGTGGACATTCAGTCACAAAGTGTATCTCATCTTCAACTTTATTTAATATACAGTATAAGCATTTTCTAAGTGTTCTATTCACATAAATTTTGGCATATCTATCAGTCTCAATCCTTAATGGATGAGCGCTTATTCTAATCTTACAGATTGATTGCCTTAATCTAAAATCTTTTAGATCCAAATATTTTTCAAAACAAAATAGAGTTTTAAAGGAAAAATAGGTACATTGTATTAAGTTTACCTTGATCTGATTGTAAAATTTTATTTCTATTTTCCTTCCAGAAATGGAGATAGTTTTTATATAGCTTATCTTTGATAAATTTTGTGAAAGAGTAGATACTGGTATTTAAATTACATGTTTGTATGCCCAGCTTTTGTAAAATACAGTCTATACTTGAGAACCATGTATTCACTTTATTACTGTGAAGTTCTTTACTACATAAATATGCATCATATAATAACATGTTCTTAGAATTATCTAGTCGATGATAATATTTTAACATTGCTAATATAATATAACTAGAGGCTCTAAAGAGCCTGTGTCGCTCACCTTGGTCTATGTGCATATTTAAACAAAGGACACAGATGGATTCATGACAAAATTGTGTTTTGGTGATTGTGATGTGTTTGTAGATCATACTTTACTGAACATTCTTGCTCCTTACTATTATCTCTATCTATAATGAACTTGGCCCGGTAATTACAGTGGAAAATACTTTGTAAAAATTTACAAAAATTGTCCCATGTACTAGCTCCACGACTGAAAAAAGTTTTACCAAAACTCATAAACACAGATCAGTCTGGATACATAAAAAATAGATTCATTGGATTTAATTTAAGGCAAATACAAGATATTATAGATTATGCAGATATATATAATATAGAAGGGGCTATTGTTTTTGTCGATTTTAAAAAAGCTTTTGACACTCTTGAATGGAAATTTATGTTAGATACTTTATATCACTTTGGATTCAATGAATCATTCATAAATTGGGTTAAAACTTTGTATACTGATATTCAAACATGTACTATTAATAATGGGTGGATTTCAGAAATGTTTAAGAATTCAAGAGGGATAAGGCAAGGGTGTCCTTTATCTGCTCTACTTTTTGTAATATCCGTTGAAATATTGGCACTGAGACTTCGAAATAACGAAGATATAAAGGGATTTCAGATAAAATTTGATACAAAAACACATTGTATTAAAATAAGCCAATTAGCTGATGACACAACTTTATTTTTTAATGATAAAAATGACATCGAACTAGCATTGAATGAAATTGAAATCTTTGGATCTTATTCGGGATTAATTATAAATAAAAATAAAACAGAAGGGATATGGATAGGAAAACTCAAAAATAGTAAAGACAAAATTGCAAATATTAGCTGGACAGATAAACCTGTAAAAGCTTTAGGGATTTATTTTGGAAATGATAATGAAGAATGTGAGAAATTAAATTTTGAAAATAAAATAGATAAAATGGATAAATTACTTACTCTTTGGAAAAAGCGAAATCTCACTATGTTAGGGAAAATTTTGATAATAAAGTCTTTGATTATACCACTCTTCACCTTTTTAGCTAGCTCATGTGTATTTCCAGAAAAATATAAAAAAGACATAGAAAGAAAATGTTTTAAATTTATCTGGAATGACAAACCAGATAAAGTTAAAAGAAATACGATGATTGGTAGTTATGAAAACGGGGGTTTGAATATGATTGACATTGAAAGTCACTTTGAATCACTAAAAGCATCATGGATAGGTAGAATCTTAAATAAAGATATTGCCAGATGGCAACTTATACCTTTAAAATATTTACAAGGCTCAGGAAAAAATTGCCTAGCAGTTTATATGAATATGGATTATAATAAAGTTGATCAATATCTACCTAATTTACCAAAATTTTATAAAAATGTATTAAAATGCTGGATGAAAGTAGGAGGAGGACAGACAGATATACCAAAAACCTTTTACGAAATTAGAAAACAAATTATTTGGGGGAATAAATACATTAAATTTAATAACAAAAGTCTTTTTTTCAAAAATTGGATAAAAGGTAATTTGATTTATATAAATGATATTTTAGATGAAAATGGGGAAATTTCACAAGATGTAATTTTGCAAAAAATTGAAAATAAATCCAACTGGATAGCTGAGTTGACATCCATAAAAAAAGCAATTCCAAAAGATTGGTTACAATGTCTTAGATCAGAGAATTCCACGAGAAGTATAGTCAATGTAAACAGACAATGTTTGTCAATAAGTGGTAATTATATTGACATTTCTTTTTTGTCAAATAAGTTATTATATAACAGATTAGTAAAGAAAAAAGTTGTGAAACCGATTGGTATAAATGTATGGTTAAATGTACTACTACCATTACAGACAGAATTTCATTTGAAACCATTGTACAACTTTATTTTTCACTATTTAGAAGAAAATAAATTGAAGATGTATCGATGGAAACTTTTACAAAGTATATTACCTACTAAAAAGTTATTGTTTAGATGGAAGGTAACAGACAATGATTTATGTAACAAATGCTTTACTGAAGAAGATTATCAACATTATTTTATGTCATGTTCTCTTTTAAACGATTTTTGGAGAAAAATTCATAATTTATTGCAAAAAGTAAATATAGAAAAAGCTATCACATTGAAAGATATTGTTTTTGGCTATAAAATATCTGATAAATATTATTTTGGCTTTAACTATCTTATTACTATAATTGGGTTTTCAATTTATAAATCCTACTATGTATCTGATCAGAAAATGAAAAGACTTGATGTTTTTTGTCTATTCATTAGAGAATTTACAAAACGAATGTATTATTCAAAAAAGTTAGAAGAAGTTAAATTTTTAGTTAATGTTAAGAAACATTTATTAGATTGATGTTTTATTTATTAATATAATAGAATTGAAAATTATATTTATTCTTCACAAGAAGCTTGGACTTGTTGAAGACAATGTAACAAGCAACTGATGGAAATAAAGAAATTTTAAAAAGAAAAAAAAAAATTTACAAAAATTTACAAAATTTATGAAAATTGTAAAAAATTGACTATAAAGGGCAATAACTCCTTAAGGGGTCAAATGACAATTTTGGTCATGTTGCCTTATTTGTAGATCTAACTTTGCTGTACATTATTGCTGTTTACAGTTTATCTCTATCTATAATAATATTCAAGATAATAACCAAAAGCTGCAAAATTTTCTTAAAATTACCAATTCAGGGGCAGCAACCCAACAACGTGTTGCCTGATTGGTCTGAAAATTTCAGGGCAGATAGATCTTGACCTAATGAACAATTTTATCCTCATCAGATTTGCTCTAAATGCTTTGGTTTCAGAGATATGAGCCAAAAACTGCATTTTACCTTATGTACTATTTTTTAGCCATGTCGGCCATCTTGGTTCACGAGCGGGGTCATCGGACACATTTTTTAAACTAGATACTCTAATGATGATTGTGGACAAGTTTGGTTAAATTTGTCTAAGTAGTTTCAGAGGAGAAGATTTTTGTAAAAGATAACAAAAATTTACGA